CAAATGCGTCTGTTTTTTTTGGTTTCTCTGGAATATTCATTAGCGCGCGTTTTTTTTTTTTACTTCCTCGTTTTTTTTTCCAACATACCTTGCTTTGGATGGGAGAAATGCCAGAGGCTAATTTATTGTTTCTTGTTGTTTTTTTTCTCCCTCTTGCATAAGAAACTGGCGTTTTTTTTCTCTCCATCTCTCTATGGTACTACTACTTAGTTCGATTTAAACAAACCTTTTTTGATTGTTCTTTATTTAGTAGTCAAATGGAGGGGGATTTGGTCTCTCTTCTTACCTCTTTATTTCTCTCTCTACGTTTTCATGTTTCATGTGGGGGCGCGGGAGGGGGTGGGCTAAAGAAGGTATGTGTGTATGGGTCTGTGTGTTGTGTATGTGAGTGTATCTGTGTGTGTGTGTGTGTGTGTGTATGTGTGCGTATGTGTGTGCCGAAATCTTACCTTACCTCGTCCATGTCCAAGTGTTAAGTATGTTATTTAATCTTTACTCTCTTGGCCCTTTTTTTTAGTACTGTTTTCGCTTGGGTTTCCCAATCAGATTTTTTTTGCTAGTGCCAGAGTGAAGGAAGGAAGGAAAGAAAGAGAAAAAACATTTATGTAGTGTAGTGTAGCACGTATACAAACAATTTCTTCGGGGCTCTTTTGTTTTTTGTTTGACATCGTTTGACATGCGAATGACTTTAGAGATAGAGGTGAGTTATAGGTGAATAACTTTTGTCCTTTTGGTATTTGACATGCTTTGATGTTACATATTGTCTATTAAATATATATGTTTTTACGCACAATTCCAGCAGGTTGCGACGTAGCCGGTATGTCTTTGCTTGAAAAAAAAAATTCATCTAATACGCTATAAGATAAATAGATACGAAGAGTAAAGTCGTATGTATGTTTAGTTTAGGATATAATTGGGATAATGGAGATATATTTCCATGTCGACGACAAAGGGCAACATCGTGTCCCTTGTATGTGCATCTTAATACAGATTTTTACTCACAAAAGACATTACTTTGTATATACCTTTTTTTTTCAACACGCATAGCTAGCTTCCATGTCATCCGGCGCTGTCATCAGAGAAATTACACGCGTGATCGATTTTGATCCCAGTACGCATGTGTGCGTGACTATGTATCGTGACGGTTCAAAAAAAAAAAAAGGGGGGGGGGGGGGGTTAACTGCATTTTGCACGCTGACAACACACTTGATCAATGCGTTATAATAAGCAAGATATACAATGACTTTGGATGTATAGGTGAGACAGAGAATATGATAGTTAGTTGATTGGGATTTAAGATTACACATACATATAACTAGGATAGTGTTCAGCAGCGTGAAACCATGATTGTCTATGTATTGACTAGTACAGGTTATTTGAATTAGCTAGATACTGTGTTTTAAGTCGGAAAATAGTTCAGAGTCAAGGAGAAATGAGCAAAGCTTATTCGGTACTATAGCTCTTAAAAAACTTCTCTCTACGTCGCAGAAGTCGAAATCATACTAGGTTTAATGCTTAGATGTTCTTTAGATATCAGAATTCTAATTTTCTTTTGGGGCGCGTGGGGGATCTGGAGGGTGCGAATATTCGAAACGATAATATAAGCAAAAACATCGGTAGAAAGCATATATCGAAATAGTCACACACAGCACACAAGAACAAGTCTTAAACATCATAACGCCTCACTGAACAAACAACGCACAAGCAAATGTCGACTTGGGATTCTTGACATTCACACTCTACTAAAAATGACACGATTCTATAAAAATCCGGGTATCATCCCTGTGCAGAATTGCCCATAACTCGCTTTTTGTCTTTCCCTAATACACAACATAATTACAATTTCCCCCAAACCCGACTTAAAATCTATGTATGCATTATAGCGCCCACTTCCTCAAAATGTGACTTGTTTTATGAAGGAGGCAATTGACCACCTTCCTTGGTCTCGCCAACTGGTAGAGCGGGCTTCTTGCCACCAGCAGAGTTGAGGTAGCTGAGGTAGCAGTTCCATCCTGTTGGAAAACCCTTGCGTTAGCCTCGAGTCCAGCCGCCGAGAGAAATAGTAAAAAGGGGTGTGGCTTACCGAGCGAGATGATGTTGACAACCAAGACCCTCATCTCAGCAGGGACATACTTGAAGTTGACAAACTGGACCCATGGCCAGATCATCAAGTTCTTTTGGTATCCAGGCACGAAAGCGTCCTTGAGGCGCTGCGTGGGTGAGTTGCCCTCCATGTAGGCCATGCTGGACAAGAAGACGGTCATGTTGAGGGGCGCAAAGAGGAACTGATCGCAGGCGACGCGCGCAATAATCGTACCGTTCTTGGATGGCAGGTTTACACGGCTCACAAGGAAACCAAACCATTTTGTGGCTGCGGGGCCGAAGATGCCTGTGGGAATACTGTTAGCAACCCGGTAGATGGTGCTTGTGGGCGGAAAAAAGAAAAGTCATGTCCTCGAACAAGACAGAATGGGCAACATACATCCTCCGTAGGCGGCCATACGACCTGTCCGCGTCAGATCATGTTTGTCAAGACCTCTCCTTTCGACACCCTGCTGTGCCATTGTGTCGCCCGTTGCAAAGAGCACCTATTGTACGTCAGCATTATTCAATGCCTTCTTCTTGTTTCCCCCCAAATCCATTCCCAAGTCTGGTTCCTGAGAACAGGGCTTTTTGACACACGTTCTAGCCTTATCGTCTTCGTGTTGTGCGTAGGCGCAAAAGGAGATGGATTGAGGGCCGAGAGGTCAAGGGGTAAGAAAATGCGTACCGCAGTAGTGATGCTCTGCGTCAGGAGCGGTGATGTCCTCAGCTTCGATTGGTACCTGGTATCTCGATCAGCGTCGACTCTCTTGACTGTTGACCAATTATTTCAGTGCGACATACCAGCGGAACGCCATTTTGAGAAAGGTGTGCAATGTATTTGCTTAGAAGAGGGAGATGAAAAGGATATATATGAAGCGGTCAAGGGCGACACACCGCAAGAGTTGGAAGAGTGGAGATGGCTGTGTTGTGTGAAAAAGAAAGTCGGACAATTGAGAAAGATAGTTTGGTCAGCTTGCGGGACCGATGATGTCGGTAGTGCAGCAGGGTCCGCGCCGCACATGGCGGTCGGGGAACTTAGCTTGACCCCTGATTCCCACTCCCTTCTCCAGGGCAAACAATTCTTTACGCAACCGACTACAAAAAGGCCCTACTTTGTCACGGTCTAGGCTTCAGGCCACAGGGTAAGGTTTGGAAAAAGATCATAACTCAATTCAGTTTCGCGACTCGTCTGTTCATGGTGGGGTATAGTATGAGCAGACAACTAGTTACAAAATGCGAGACCTGTCTTGTACAACGGTTCTTGCATGTGGGAAAAAGAGAATAAGAAGAAGAAGGAAAAAGTAAATAAAACAAAAGTGGCGCGGACATAGTATTACACGTGGTGCTTGGATACGACATCAGATCCCATCCAGGTCCATCCGTGTCTCGATCTCACCGCCTATCGCCCAAAGCAGATTCCAAGATGAAATAACGCCAGGCCAGCTGATCTCGTCTGGGTATGATCAGAGCTGTGCTCACGAAACGCGGGTATCCAAGAATTCATGTCGTAATTTAATTTTTTTTGTTGCGTAAATTGGGTATGTAGAAAAGCCGACTTAATCAATCTCCATCCGTTGCGACGGGACTGGTCCACTCAGTGATGGCATTTCTGTGCTGTATGGCTTGTCGTTTTGCACAACCTTGTCGTTGATGTGAGGCTTGAGGCCCTTGTTGAAGTTGTGTGTGCACAGACATGCCGTTACAATGGTGCAGATGAGTAGCAGAATGGTAAGGATGGCGAACGCAGTCAAAGACTTGCGGGCTGGCTTGTAGTCCTCCTGGCGGCTAGCGTCGGCAACCCACATTCGAATGAGCTTGAACAAGAAGTAACCCATGGAAATGAAATAGACAATGATGATGCTAATCATGCCGGCAAAAGACTCGCGACGGACCCACCAAGCAGCGAGGAACAAAAGGATAAAAGTGGCGACGAGGGCGGCGGCGGTAAGGGCTTGTTCCACAGTTTTTGTGTTTTCAACCACGACGAGAAACTGTACGGTGAAGGCTAGGAAAAAGAAGAAGTCAAACTTCAAAAGAGCAATATAAATCTACAAGGGTCAGTAGGGCGCTCGGACAGAGTTCAACCGTCGGAGAATTAAATACCTGGTAAGTCAGATAGCGCTTTTTCAGGCGCGTATCGGCGCTGATGCGCTTGTAGATTGTCCAGGCAAACTCATCATACAACTTCCAGGCTTCAAAGGCAAAGATGACGGTAGCGAGAGCCATGAGGCAGGGAAGAGCAATCAGCATGGGCTTGACGTCTGCCCAGAAGAAGGCGGGAATGAAGGCGCTGTCGTTGAGGTCGTCGGCTGCATCCTTGATCTGGTCGAACTGAATACCAGCGTAGACGAGAATACCGATGTTGTAGAGAACGAGGCCGATGACTTGGATAGTGTTCTTGAGGCGCAAGGCGTCCCACGTGAGGAAGAGTTGGTAGATGTAACCGAACATGAAGACGGCAAGGAACGTAGGGATGGTGCGCGTTTCGTTTGCACCTGCGCCTTCGGCGGCGAAGTGGATCTCGTTTTGGAATTTGCCAAAGACATAGCTGAGGTCGTGTTAGTTGAGTGCGGTTGAGGATGGGGTAAGGGGGAGGAGGGGGGAGGGAGGCGCACGATTCTAGGGCAAGGGCGATGGTGACCTGGGCAATGGCCGTGAGCATGAAAGCCCAGGTCCAGCGCGTGTTGGGCATATACATTCTGGGTGGACGGCGGACGGGGGGCGGAAGAGTCGTAGGGAAGCCCTCACGATGGTGGTAGCCTCCAGGCTGGGTATCCAGGTTGGGCGGTTGTTGATAAGGTTGCTGGTAAGGTTGTTGGTAGGTGGTGTTAGCGTAGGGTGGGTAATTGCGGCTGAGAGGCTGGCCTCCAAGGAGGGATGTGCGGGCTTCGTGGTGAGTAATTTTGGCCGTGGTATCAGCCGCTGGCGGCGGCTGAAAGCGTGTGGATATAGGCGTGTTTGGCGGGGAAAGACTTGCTTTTCGGGCACAGACGAAGTGTGCTAGGTGAGGACAGAGGCAGCAGACGGTTTGTAGGGCTGCCGGGGACAGGTGAGACGCTGTATGCGCACCGAAAGAAGAGGTGAAACCAGACGAGTCGCTTTAGTTTGGGGGCGTCTGGGAGTGGACGGGGCGGGCGCGCGTCGCTGAAACTAGGCAGGGCTTGGCTGTGCGGAGAGGCCGAAGACGACGAGCAAGTAAGTAGTAGTTGGCGGCAGCAGGAGAGGGGAGACAAGCGACGGGCTGGGGTGGGCTGCGAGGGTGTGGTGGTGTGAGGTGGTAGAGACGAGGAGCGAACGGCGGGACAGGAAAAGGATGGAATAAGACGGAGATGGAGATGGGCTAGGCGATGGAGATGATGGGGTGGTGCAGCAGACGAAAGTAAGTAGCGCTGGGTAGGCCGGCCAGGCGTATGCGCAGGTGGATGTGGATGTGGAGACGACGACTGGGAAGGCTGACGGGGTCTGGTCGCCGTGGGAGCCGCTAGCCGGGAGCGGGTTGCTGGCGACGGTGTGGGTGCAGGTGTGGGTGCAGGTGCAGCGCTGCTAGGTAAGACTAGGACCTGACGAGTGGCGGGTTGGGCGTGCGCATTTGACTTTGTGTCTCTAATATAACACGGTCTGGCGGCGGTGATATTGGACATGCGCAAGTATGTGGGAGCAAAGGAGAAGCCTTTTGGCCAGCGGCCTTTTTTGGCTCAGACACAGACACGGCACAGAGCCTGCACAGCACCAGCACAAACACACACGGTCGGGGCGCTGCACAAGGCACGTGTTGCCCACTCGGACTGCGCCTCCCGCTCGCTGCACCGCCCGTTGCTTGGCACCGCCCCAGCCACACCTGCCATTGGCCAGCCGCAGACAAGAATAGCCTGCAATCTGCCGTCATTCTGCTCCCCCCAGCCCCAGAGCCCCAACATGAACAGACAGGATAGGCGTTGAGCCCGGTGCTGGCCAATTGCCCTAGAAGCGTTTGCATCATCAACGACGCGCACTGCCCAGGGTCTGCGTCTCGGCATCGCCGACAAACCCCCGCGAGAACAGCCGTGTCGTCGCGTTCACACAGTGAGAGCACTCCACTGTCGCGATACAGCAACCCGAAGCCACCTCGCCCTGCCCGGCATGCCCTCCGGTGAGTCTATACGCTGTACGCCCACCGCAACACTCGACCCGCTCACCCTCCCGCAGCCGAGTCCATCCTCCACCAGGCCGCCGAGCATGGCTCGCTCGACTCGTAAGTCCTCGTCTTCATCGTTGTCGGCGCATTGGCCCAGCTAACGCGCGTGCGACTCCAGAGCAGAGTGGCCTGCCACGCTGCAGTATATACTCCAGCGCCTAGACGAGGTACCACCACAACCCTACCACTGCTACCAAGACTGCCACCACTGACCTACTTCCCAGATTGTCGCAGAATTCCCCAAGCCACCTACAGACACGACCCCAAACCCGCCCGCATCTGCAATCACAGACCTGCCCTCGCGCCCAGGCACCTCCAACGCTCTCTCCAGTCAAGACTCGCATGCCACCGACAAAGAGAATGCCCCACCTGCAACTCCTCCCCGCCCGCCCGTGCCCTCCTTCTCCGCAGCAACTGAGCCTCAGGGTATTCCAGCAGACATCAACACCTTTTACTCGGCAATACGCACCACCCTGTCCAAGAACTTTCCAAAGCACCCCCCGCATACCATCCAGCGCCTAGCCGAACTCATACTTGAGCCCAAGAAGCGCTACCGATTCCTTCCACCTTACCTACGCGCCCTCGACCGTGTCGTCTCCGTGTCGTCGCCCCTCACCGTGTTTCCACTCCCACAAGCCGTTCTGCCTACCGCGAGCGGCTTGCTCAATGGAGCTACGTCCAGCACCGCGTCCCAGCCAGCGCCCCTCGGTTCCGACGAATCGCTAGGCGGCGCCTTGCTGACTCCCATTCCCTGGTTGCAGAACCGAGGGCAGAACGAGTTGATCTCAGAGAGCACAGAGATGGTCGACGGACCCAATGGTGCAGGCCGGATAGAGACCGTGACTGTAGGCATGCTGGCTAACACTGCACAACCAGAGAATCCTACAAGCGTAGCCCAGATTGCCTCGTCACACCCCGATGGTGAAACCCTGCCGTCTACTGGCCCAGTGACCCAGGGCGAACTGCTACGCCAGGAACAAGAAGCCGGAATTGTGCTCAACAACCCCCACAGCATAACTTCCAACTCGGCAAAGACTACCTTTGGCGACGTCCAGGGCGGGCCTTCCATCATGGAGACAGTCGAGAGTGAGGAGGAAATCCCGCATGCCCGTGGTCCAGAGATTATCGGAATGGAAGATACAGGACCCCAGCATGATGGTAAGCTCAACATTGAGGGTGCGGTTGGGAGGCCAAGTCTTGACCGCAAAACTCCAGAGCCCTCGGCATCTAAAGACAACGAGTCAAGCCAAGGAGGAGCGGAGAATGACGGTGCCAAGGAAGGTAGCGACGAGTCCAAAGAGGGCACTGCAGCTGGAGAAACAGGAACAGAGAAGCGCGACGTAGAGATGAAGTCGGATGATTAGTCGTCACCGGCTGCTCCCCCTGGGCAAGAAACGATCCTTACAGCCGAAGAAACAAGCGAGCTCATGGCTCTCTTGCAGGCTTACAATCGTTCTTGAAGCACAGCATCGGTTGGGATGCATTAACATGTTAACGTGGGGGTACATTGTCCAGTCTGCTTTTTTGGGCTGGACTTTCCAAGCGCAGTACCGTATCCTTACTTAGCATTGACACGTAGTACGTAAACTACACACGTAGCTGCCGAAACACGAGATACTACAAAGAGCTGCTATAAATATCAGCAGGCTCCATTATGCCAAACCCGACTTGTTTTGATTCTGTGCAATAAACGTCGTAGTACTACGTATACTGAAGGTGCTGCATCGAGTACAAAATCCCGACGTGTTGCCACTGTGTTACGTCGTTTTGTGAACTCTGGTTCATTTCCGAGTCAGGGGCCATGCGCATAATGACGAGGGTCAACAGGCTTCTGATAGGGCCGATTGCCATGCTCATACATGAAGTGGACCCGTTTGTTTTGTTTTTTTTTAGAGCATGAAGAACATTTGTCTTGGGGGGGCGGACTCAAATAAATGAAAAGTCATTCAAGGATTACGACCGTAGGAAACAAACTTGTGCACGCGGGTTACATGTTTTGATTACATCGTTTTATGCAAAACGGGCATGTTAATAAGTTGGTCATACTTGGAAGAAGAAGAAAAAAAGGCTTATTTTTGCGACGTGGGCAGAGTGGGCGGTTGCTCCTTCTTCTTCATCTGCACCTTGCCGTAGCCGTACACAAGGCCACTAAAGAAGCCCAGCAAGATCGCCGTCACGCTGCCAAATGTCACCGGCGCGCCGAAGAAGACAATGCCGCTAATTGCAAGCGGCAGCTTGTTTAGGTACCCTACGAACGAATACGTCGTCGATGACGTTTTGCGGATGCACCATGCAGACGAGTAGGAGATGAAGATTGCGCCTAGGCCAGAGTAAACCATGCCGACAATGAGGTTGGTGCGCGTTTCCACGGGGAAGTTGCGTGAGAGGTTGTCCGAAGAGTAGTCCTCGGTGATGAAAGAGCAGGCGAGGAGAATGGGGAGGGAGAGCAAGTTGTTGTAGTACATTGCTGTTGGAAGAGCATTTTAGTTAGATTGGATTGTTCTCAAAAGAAAAACAAGCAAAAAAGAAAAGAAAAGGTTAAGTGCAGGAATAGGGAGATGCATTGGGTTGAGAGACTTACTATCCCAGTCTTTGAACTGCAGCGAAGTGATGTACTTGCGTGTGCCCAGGACATAAGAGGCGCTGCAGATGATGTTGAGTCCCATCCAAAGGTAACCTGCGTTGAGGGTTGACATGGCGTCATCGGCATTCTGCGACTTGTCGCCAGCGCCGCCGTGGAGGACGACCTGGATATCGGCCCAAGCGGCGATGATGGAGCTGAGTACCATGAGGCCAAAGGACAAAAGGAGCAAGGGAGTTACTTTGCCGCCGAACCACAAGACTTCGCCATAGGCAATGACGACAATGGTTAGGTTCTTGAAGATCGTGTAGACAGGAACAGAAAGAAACTGGAGGGCCTTGGTGCTGGTGTAGATCATGCCGACGAAGAACAAGGACACTGGGAGCCCTGGTGGTGTAGTGTTAGTAGAATATTCATAATTGCATGTTCGACGGTAACATGTTTCCAGACACTTACATTTCTTGGCCTTGCCGCTTTCCACAGCAACAAGGTTGGGAATCATGCCCATCTGCTTCAGAACGAGGATTGCAGCCGTGCAAATGACCGCCTGATCACGTGGCCGTCAGCAATTTTGTATCTTTGTTTTTTTGGGGCGGCATCAAGAACTTGATCGCCGGGAGACAGTGGACTACACACCTGGATGGCTAGATAGAGAAAGTTGAGGTTCCACGACGAGCCGGAGACGACATACTTGTTCACGACTGTCATGCTGATTGAAGAAAAGCAGTAGGCCAGCACGGCAGCAGCGGAATGATTTTCAAGCTGCGAGATAAGACCGCCTGTGTTTTCTTCCGCAATGGGTGCTGCAGGCTTCTGGAGGAAGGCATCCCTCTCACTCGAGTCCTGGTCTATGTCGTTCATCTCAATATCATCATCATCGTATTTTTTGCTCGCCATTTTAGGTAATCGTCGCAAGCAGCGCCTCCCGCTTCAAAGCAAAGGGTCCTATTAGAAGAGAAAAGAAGACAAAGGTGCTTAGAGCTCAAAACGCGTTGATCGCAAGGCGTTGAAGAAAGTAATGTACTTTGAAATTATACAAGCCCCTATTGTCCTAGCACATATGCTTACCCAAACAGGTCTAGCATCTTGTATATACGATGGGAGCAAGCATGGCTGAGTTTGAACACGAGATAATTTCAATTTTTAGCATCCGCTAACAAAGAAACTGCAAGGCGCAGGCTGGCATTCTAGTCTAAGAAAGATATTTCTAACTAGAGATACAATGCGTAAGCATTTGTTTAGCCACAAAACCGTTGCCATGGTTTTTAAGCTCATAACTAGTGACCAGTACCGACTTGCCAAAAAAGCTCGGTCGTGCTTTTTTACTCAAATTACTTACGTCGGCTCCCCAACAAAAGGTCGGTGACCAAATATAGAATTTCCTTTTTGTATGATAGATGCAGTAGTCATTATCTCGAGGTGTTAGATAAGGCTCGTAAAGATGTTTATCGACTATGGTCTTGCGAGATGACACGAGGTGTGGTGCATGCTGCTCTGCGCCAAGCACAACTGCGATGCCCCTGAACAGCAGCTTTTAGAAGACAACACAAGTGGCTGGTGACGGTCTATTGTACAATCCGAGGAATCGCAAATGCCATGTACGCTACTACTGTTGCAAAGGAAAAGCAGGTGTAAAGCAGATCTGCGCTGCACCTACCGTCAATGTTGAGGCAGGAAGCTTGGGCCGGGGCTTCTCAACTTCCCGGACTCGTTGATAGCACACAAACAACAGACATTACCAGCCACCCAACACCGCATAATTGCCCTGCGCCCATCCATTAGACCATTTCTTACCCTCTACATACGCTTTGTGTCGGACTGCAGTCGCTATTGATTGTCATATCGCTACAATGGACGCCAAGGAACCACTACTCCCATCGGATCCTCCACCCTCTTACGAAGATGCACGCAAATCGCCTCTTTCCCACAACCGATCAGCCTCGGGCCCAGCGCCAGGCAAAAGACCGCCTCCCGGCCCTCCGCCGCCGCTCAGCTTACCCGCGCTGAATCAACTGAGGGGGTCCAGGGTCGTCCTTGCAAGCAAATCACCAAGAAGGAGACAGCTGCTTGCGCAGGTATGTATCTAGACACCCGCTGCCTCGCACGCATGCAGTGAATGTGCTGACATGAAATTAGCTTGGCCTGACCAAGATCGATGTATGTCCTTCGCAGTTCGCCGAGAACCTCGACCACTCCATGGGCGCGCTGAACTACGTGCTTGAAACCGCATCCGCCAAAGCGCTCGACGTCTACAAATCCGAACTCAATAACGAAGAACGCGGCGAGCCGGCAATTGTCATTTCAGCCGATACCATCATAGTTTCCCATGACGGACGGATACTGGAGAAGCCACGGAGCGAGGCACATCACATAGGCATGCTGAAAATGCTGAGAGATCAGGGCGAGCACAAGGTCATGACAGCCGTAGTGGTAATGCGGCCGCTGGAGTCGTGCGTAGTCCCAGGCTATGCTATGAAGACGCACATTGAGGAAACGACCGTCAGATTCGATCCTAACGGTGAGTCGTCCTCTATTGAGAGATGCACAGGCGGTATGGCTGACAAATGATAGTGACGGATGAGCTCATTCTTGCATATGTGAGAACACGCGACGGAAACGACAAGGCAGGTGGATATGGCATCCAAACGGCTGGTTCGGTGCTCATCGAACGCATAGAGGGCTCCTACGACAACGTGGTGGGATTGCCGCTCAGGTCTACTCTCAGGCTCATTGAGAATATCATGCAGCCCGAGGAGGAAGAAAGTGATGGGGATTTCTTCGTTGATAGTAAAGAGGAAGAAGAGGACTAAGTAGTCTCATAGCTTGACACGCTCTTGTGATGGTATCCATTTTGTATAGGGGCCGTGGCTGGTCCAGGGTTAAAGCACTACAGGCGTAAATTATGGAATCATGAACGTGCGTATGCATCCAGAATGCAAATATCATACGTCCGTCGTACCAGAATTTGATCAGATGTCGGGCCAATAGTTTGTCCATCTCGGATTGTGAGTTGTACCACATATGTGCCCACGCGGACCAAACAAGCGCCGTCGGCTGACTACAGGCGCTGTCAGCTTGACCAACTCTGGTGTAGATTATTGGATGTTTGGAACGATAGGCTATTGCTAAGCTTTGTGTACGGTCAGAACTTTGTTGCGACACTCGCACTCCGGACTCACCGCTGAGGTGGATAGAGAGAGGGTCCTTCTCCATCAACCCCTCCATTACCAATCACTGCCCCACTTGCCTCGGCTCATCAGCCCTACCCTCTCGACGGGCACCTTTCCTAAGCCGGCATCTCCCCGGCGCGACGCTCGTCATGGCTTCGTGTCTTCCTCTGCTGTCTTGAAGATTCTGCAACCCCGACAAGTCTCATCCCTCCATATCGAGACACCTTCCTTGCATAGCAACGGCTAGGTTGCGCCACTTGCCGGTTACTGCCCGAAATGCCCTGTTGTGCAAGGGCATGCCCCGGCTCCAGCGGCCCTGGATTACAGATCCAGATGATGCAAGAAGGATCTATTTTTTTTTCGGCCGTGAAATCATTTATTTGCTTAGTATTACGTTCTACTGCCACTATATAGGTGCTCGGTGCTGCCCTTCTTTCGTCACTCATATCTCATCAATCCAGTTTCAACCTCTTGCAACAACAACCTCTATTCTTTTTTGATACCCAGTCTATATTTTCTTTTATTCGACACTCCAACAACACATCACACGAATAGTAGTTAACAAAGCTTCACAATGGTTCAGAACAAGGGTCTCATTTTCAAGAAGGTGCCTGAGGGCTGGCCAAAGCCTGGCGAGGACATTGCCGTTGAAGACCGCCCAATCGACCTCAACCAGGACCTGCCCGAGGGCTCTATTCTCGTCAAGAACTTCTATGCCTCATTCGACCCTTACCAGCGTGGACGCATGCGTGCTCCCGGAACCAAGTCCTACTCTCCTCCCTTTGAGCTGGGCAAGCCCATGACCAACCGCTCCATCTTCAAGGTCGTCAAGTCCAACAACCAAAAGTTCAGCGAGGGCGAGACTCTCATCACAATGAGCGTTACCCCCATTGAGGAGTACTCCGTTCTCGACAAGGCCGCCGCCGATCTCTGCAGGAAGCTCGAGAACCCCTACAACCTAGACCCCAAGTTCTTCCTCGGTCCCCTCGGCATGCCCGGTCTAACCGCGTGGTCCTCCTTCTACGAGATCGGTCAGCCCAAGGCAGGCGAAACAATCTTCATTTCCGCCGCATCCGGCGCCGTCGGCCAACTCGTCGGCCAACTCGCCAAGCACGAGGGTCTCACCGTCATCGGCAGCGTCGGCGACGACAAGAAGCTCGACTTCATCAAGTCCGATCTCAAATTCGACGATGGCTTCAATTACAAGAAGGAGAAACCCGCCGATGCCCTCGCCCGCCTCGCCCCCAACGGAATCGACATCTACTACGAAAACGTCGGCGGCGAACAACTCGAAGCCGCCATCAACGCCATGAACACCTTCGGCCGCATCATCGCCTGTGGCATGATCTCCCAGTACAACTCTAAGCCAGAAGAACTCTACCCCATCCGCAACCTCATGAACATCGTCACTAAGCGCATCACCATGCGCGGTTTTATCGTCAGCGACGCAAACATGGGCCCCAAGCACGCCAAGGAGCACCAGGAGAAGCTGCAGAAGTGGCTCGCGGACGGTACCTTCAAGGCGCAGATTAGCGTTACCGAGGGTATTGATAATGCAGTTGAGGGCTTCTTGGGTATGCTCGAGGGAAAGAACTTTGGCAAGGCCGTGTTGCAGATTGCGGATTTGACAAAGGAGTCGAAGATTTAAAGTCCTTTGGTTAATTATGCACTCTTTTTTCTTAGCGATGATATCCGCGGAAGAATAGGCCGTTAGGATAGATATGAATGAATCAATGTAAAATATTGACAACATACGTACGAGTTTGGGTCTAAAAGTGACGTCATCTAGTGAACAGACAGACAGACAGAGAGAGAGAGAGCAGGCACACACGGCTCTCCCTTTAACATCACAATAACGAAAATATAGTAAAAGTGCTTGATTACTTCCATCAAGGATCACGAGAAATTAATCTCATTGACAAAGTGTAGCAGCTTATTTCCACCATCGAATACCTCCATCCATGCATCCAGTATACGCTTTTCAAGAAAAGAAAAGAAAAGAAGAGGAGAGGAAAGAGAAAGAAAAAACGGACCCCAAAGTCGAAGTCGAAGTCGAACTCGGACGTGACAAGTCAAGTGACCAATGTCTGATGACATTCAGATACGCAGCCCATGAAGAAAATAAGAACTCCCATGTATACCTCAAAAGCTATTACCCTACCCATCAAGTATGCAACCAGCAAGTCCAGACATAGGAGAGTGAGAGAGAAAGTGAGAGTCTGGCTTGACATGTCTCGAGAGTACATGTAACCCTGGATATGTAATACAAAATAGAGAAAAGAAAAATAAAGATATGACTTTTTGAAGGAAAGGGTAGACGGTAGCATGTGATGGCAGTTGCGACTGAAAGTGCTCTCCAGAGAGTTTGAGTTGTGCTTGGATTCAGTAGAGAATCCTGCAGTGTGTTGACAGTTGACCCGAATGCTGCCATTTGTCAGTTCTTCTTCCAGTCTTGCAGCAACGTTCCTTACTTACGCCTTCTTGGTTTCCACACTGCCCCTCATGCAACGTTCAGTGCATGCACAACCAACACTGGCACAAGTGCTGCAATAACAAGGCAAACGTTCACTGCGATGCCGGCAATAAGCGCCATCCTTTTTGAATATGGCGTGCAGTGACCAAGATGACCGTCAGTCATTGAAGCAATGACACTGTCTCCCATGAAGCGAAAGAGGATGATAGCCGGTGGAAATATGCAAAACGCCGCGAATATCATCCAAGAAAGCTTACGCCTTCTTTCCTCATCTTCGGGATTGGCTTTACGTTCTACACAGAGCAAGTGAGGCGAGTGTATGTAGCCAACGGTACTTCGAGAGGTAGCTGGGTGAATCTCAAGGCTAGGGAATGAACGATGCAGAGGTGTGTTGGTATCACTAGTCGATGGTCGATCACCACCTACAAAGTGCATGGTATGAGTGCGTTTTGAAGAAGTTGGCCGAGCTTCGGGCGAGAGAAACATTTCCCGTAATTTGGTCTGACCTGGTACAGCGGATCTACTCGCGCGACGTGGATTTCGTACAAAAGTAGTCGAGTTCCGGAGGTCCCGACAACCATCAAGAGGCGAATAGGTCTCTTGCGCTTGTCTCAATGCCTTTGAACTAGGGAAGAGAGTCATCTCAGATGACGCCCGGCTATGCTTTGGTCCATGGGTTGACGAACGCTGGCTTATCCGTGTGACGCTGCCAGTAGCAGGAAACGGCGATGCATAAAACCCAGTGTAGTCCGAACGGGAGTTTTGTCGGCCAACCGTCGAACTTTGTCTCAAACCAGTACTGCTAGTGCTTGTAACACTCCTGATTGTTTTACGAGTACTGGTTTCGCGAGGAGTGCCGGTGGACTTGCCTTTTGAACCGACAATTGAGAGCTTCTCGAGCATGGTTTGCCGTCCTTGACCGATGGGACCGCCCGGAGCGCTTGACATGTCTGCCGGATCTTGATTTCCAGACACATTTGATTGAGGGGCATGTGCTGTTGACGGCTCATCGATGATGATGTTCTCATTAGGGCCAGAAGCCAATAATTCTTGTGTTTCTTTTTCACCGAAGGCATATAGGTTCACCGGCCCAGCGGGTAACGGAGAGGAAGAAGTGTTGGGCGTAGTGCGCATGGCTGAGCGGATGTTCAATTCAGGAGGCGACGACCTGAAAGGATGTGAGTGCTGATTAAGGATCGGGCTTGGGTGACTGTAATAGTTTGATCGAGCTGGTGACTGAGGTTGTTTTACCCAAGATGGGAGTGAACCATCCGAATTCAACCCGATGCTTTTGCGCGTTTCCTCATAACTGCTATAGTCTGCGATACTGTCGAGCGACCCGTGATCTTTTGAGTCTCTACTGTTGCCACCGACTGTTTCCCAATCATCTCGCTCTTCTACAGCAGCTGACTCTTTATTATCCAAAGATCTGTTAGTGACTGTTCTGTTTAACAGTTGGCTGCCCGAGTTGCGTCTAGCCCAGATGGCTGGGATTTGGTTGGCAATTACTTGTTGGTTCGCTGTATCCTGAAAGATTTTTTCTGCCTGATCAAGAGCTTCCTTGGGTGTATTGGGACTATCAACGTCCACTTGTGAGTACGACGAGGAGGGTCCGAGAGGGTTGATCTTTGGTTGAGAGTATGCTGAAGAAGGCTCCAGGGTCTGCGTTAGACTAGGCTGTATAGGGTCTTCGTAACGAGAGACATGTAGAAGACCCCGTGTATCTCCATAAGAGTCGGCCGATTCGTCGGAAGTTATACCAGAAATTCCCGAAGTCGAAGGGACAAATGGAGATTCATTATACTCAAAAGCTGGCGCGAGTGGCGGTATCTCTTGTGGAGGCAAACCCGGAGGATGAGTGAATGCTGGTCGTTCTAAGAAGCCATTTTTAACTTCTTGCAACGCAGGCTGTTGTGTTCCACACTCCAATGAATTGGCCTTGTTGCTGCGATTGCTCGTAAGGCCCTGTTGGTAACTTGACGCGCGACGATCATCTCTAGTGTAGATTAACGAGCTTGGATATATCGATTCCATATCATCATCGTAGGGCTTGGTCAAACTGCTTTCCTCCAAGTGTGGCAACTGTGAAGTGGGCCTTGGCTCTAGCTGTGTAGCTTTGTCCTCTGGTAACATTGACGAAAGCGGCTGTGTCTCATATCGCTTTATCGAATACTTCCATGACAGCTTTGCCTCATCCTGTCCCGGAGAGAAGGCTGGAAAGTCCTCAGGCGACATAGGGCCAACAGGTGTCACAGGAGACATTGGATCGACTGGGTCATAAGAGGTCTCGGGTATCGAGATATGTGGTCGAAAGGACCGTGGAAATTCCAAGTCCATGCTCATTGTCTCCGTGCTTACTTTTCTATCGTGAAATTCCTGTAGCTCCTCATCTTGGGGCTTTGGTGGTGCTTTGCTCAGTCGCTGTGTCAAGCTGCGAGTCAACCCTTTGAGAGAGAAGCGCGATTCGCGTCCAGGTGTCTTAACAAACAAAGGAGAAGGTATATCGGCAGATTCTGGACTGTATATGGGAGACGTATATGAAGAGGAATTCGGACTGAGAGCTGCGGGCGTTGGAGGAGCTGGAAGATCCGTATTTGACTGACTGGGAGAATCTGCGGGATGTCTCAAAATACCTGCGTGCGCCGCATAGAAATCTCCATACACAGCTCGCTTGGGAGCCATCTGGTGCTCTTGTAAGCAAAATATCAAGACAGGTTGGATATATCGTACCTCTGAAAAGACTTCGTCGGAAGTGGGCACAGGGAAGTAGTCACTGGAGTCGAAATCCCGTGAGGGAGTGACAATATCGTGCAGTAACAGGGAGTCGCGGGGGTTTACCAGATCGAACGAGGCACCCCGGTAGTGAATGGTTGCAGGTGTTGTGGGTGGCGTTGCGGGCTTAGTAGCTGCGAAATTTTGTGGGTTCACATGAACAGGCTCTCTTTCGTCTAGCGATAAAGAGGGTGACGAGTCCACTCGGTGGGGTGGCTGTGGGAATCGCGATAGCGAAAATGACGAATGCGTTTTTGTTGTTTGTGCGTCACTCCACCGTGTGCGCTCCGTGGACAGGCTCGGCGTAGTTGGGGGCAGTGGTAGTGTTTGTGGAGATGCTACATCCACAGGAGAGGGGGGAAATGCAACCAAACCTGTGGTGGCAGGCGGTCTCGGCAACCTCTTTCTCGGGTTGAAGTAACGTACCTTGCTAGATGAGCTAGTAGTGGATAGGCTTGAAATGCTACCTGTCTGCTGGCGAGGTTCAGTCGACTGCGCTCGAAACGGTAGGTCGGGTCGTGTTTGTTGATGGAAAGCATGCAAAGTCGGTTTCAGTTGATGAGCTGATTGTGAAAAGTGAAGAGAGCGTTGTGGCAGACCGGAGTCAGGCCAAGTCGAGGGTGGTACCGAAGCAGCACGCTCAATATCGCTCAGTACAGGCGCTGCAGGTTTCCTCCGGAGCGTTTTGCCTGGCGGTGGCGTGTCCTTCCGGGTTAGCGTAGGCGTGTGCTGTTGTTTGCGGTATTCGTGAATAGTGAGCGTGTGAATCGGGGTCCGTGAGGAGACTGTGGAAGTGAGTGAGTGGTGCGGGGAGTGAATCGGCGTCATAGGATTGCCAGCGTGCAGCCGCGGTGAAGCCCGATCAGAAGCCCACGGCGGCTGTGAATGGGGATAGAAAGTCGCCATATTTAGCTTGTGTGCAATGGGTATTTGACAGCACGGAAGTTCTGTTTAGGTAGGCTCTCCCCGACGACGGGCCTGCACTGCTATTGATGGCGCGAAGGCTTATAGTCTCTTGACCGGTCGTTTGTCTTGGATATCGAACTTGATGAAAGCGCCAGCGAACCCATGGCGGGATCTACGCCATGGCAATGGGTTGCAGTAATCCGAACCGAAGACTCTGGGTTATCAGCCCTGTATATTCTCCATGATGCATTTAGTGCCCAAACTAACCTTAATGGCCTTCAAAGGTCAACCTTGTCACTGTACCGATAAGGACTAAGTTTCGAGACTTATCCTTTGTCTGGTCTAATATGAGAGTGCAGTATCGCCTGTTTCTGCCTACGACCTTCTTTTTATGCTGTCCTGATGTGAAGCGTATGTACGTAGAATAGAACGACGTCAGAGGAAGCGAAGATTTGGGACGAACATTCAGCAGCAAAGGCGAGGAGGGAAGACAAGAGCATTAAAGTCAGGATTAATAGGAAAGAAGAAAGACTACAAGTGATTGCTAGAGAGGAGAAGAGGGCGAGGGCGAGGAGGAAGGAGCGTTGCACGACGACCTGGAGAGCGAGAGACGGGGAAGGCACGACGCCGTGGTAGTAGTACTACCGGGTACCTGGGGAAGGAAGACGCGACAAAACATCCTCCGGAGCAACATTTGCAAAACGGGGCCGTCAGCCCTAGACATTTAGGGGCGGGCTCCGGACAGTCGTCATCTCAGCAGACGACGCGTTTCCACTGCATCCACGGTAGGTGTCATTGTTCATTACAACTACAAGGCTGTTGGGTGCGAAGGGAGAGCATCGCAGCGTCGTGGATGGTCGTCGACTACTCGACCCCGGCCTAGCGCCTCTTACTCGCCAGCCAATCAGACGCCGCAGCTTCCCTCAGGCCCGAGACCGCAGACACGACCATCGAGCATCCTCAACCACTGGATCCCTTGTGCTGAATCCTGCTAGTCTTCATCATCTCGTTTCGAACCCGCACAACCGGGCGCCGGCAGCTGTCACAGATCCAATCAGCCACTACCGACCTGTTGCCTCGTCCTGTGACAAGCCGGCGCCACCCAACTGATGGAATTGCTTCTATTCAAGGCACCTAAGCGAGCCAGTAGCCATCTGCAAACTGCATGTTCGCCCGCATCGGATCATCACAAGGTCACGCAAAATTCCCCTATCCTGATATCGGCCCATTGATCTCTTGTCGTCGGATATTACATGCACACATGGAGCGTTGGCTGACGAATCGATTGTTATGTGTATCGGACCACATGCGCACATGTACATGTACTTTCCACGTGACCATGTGTTTATTAACTGCTCCTCCGGCCTGTGTCCTGTTTCCTCCAGTCTCTCCATCATCGGGTATAAGTCCTTCTAAATTCCGCTCCGCTATGCTCCTTCAGGCGTATCTGTGACTTTCTGCGTCGTATCGATGGATGTCGCCTTGCTTCCACAACGTGCGGGGGCGAATACGCAAAGCGTCGTGGATCAGGGCTTTGAGGAAATCGGTGGTCAACCACAAGTCGAACATCAATGTGTTCTGGTGTCCATTGCCATCTTTCTCGCTGGCTCGAGCCTTGTATCGGCGAATGATGCCCACTCGGGGACCTAGGACGCCGCTTGGAGCGAGAAGGTGGACGGTCAGGCTCCTTGACTTTGCTCTCCTCGAGTGGCCGCCGGCGAGTTTGGTTGGGATTGGACTCCCCTTGATTTGTACCCTTATACAATCAGCCTGTCACATGTTCTATATAGCCAAGCGGACTTACAGCGGTTGGATAAATAGTCCCTGGCATCATTACATACTGATCCAGCGAGTGTACCAGGTCGGCAAAGTTATATCCAAGCCCAGGGTGGCTGGGAAGAAACCGTTGGCCAACGTCATGTTCGAAGCTGACGGCAAGGTTTTGCGATGGCATGTACTCGGAGAGATTGTTGTACCATTGGGGATATGCACCATACCAAGTTGCTACGCTGGCATCTACATTGACCGTCATATATATGTTCTTAACATCCTTTGGCTTCTGCACAAGCATCACAAAATCAAACTCGCGCGGCAACCCTGATTTCTGGAGCATGTTCTCGCTGAGCGTCCAGACGGCTTTGGAGTCCTCAATAGTCTGCCCCGACTCGTCTTGCCTTGACCGCACTGAACCTTGGATGCTCATCATATGAAAGACCTTGTAGCTGCTTTGTACAGATGCTTGCGGTATTATGTATGCACCGACGGGGGATGCCGGAGACACGCCTAATGGAGTTGAGAGACTGAAATTCCACTGGAGGTTCTCTGGGGATACGGCGCCAAACATGAGCTCTGGAGCATGCTTCAGGATGCGCGGTTGCGAGCGCCCGGACCGTTTGTTGGAGCCAGAGCTGGGGTCTTCGCCGTGCAGGCTTACTTGAATCTCGGCACTCCTGAAGCGATGCGATTCCGGATCATGTGGATGAAAAACGAACCGGACAGAGACAAAGTAGACATGATTGATGGCGGCTCCATGGAGGACATCGGACCTGTAGAAGCCGTGTTGCAACCGGTTCACATGAGCAGAGACGTACGCTCTTCCGGGCAGGCGGCGTTCGTAGAGGCATATTTGGTTGAGATGAAGGCGCTTTTTCGGGATGTTGGGATCGTCTGATGGAGGCTTGGCCGGCGCTCTACTTCTTTTGACGGGTGCATCTGATTGCGGTTGGCGAGGCTCCTCGTCTGCCTTGTCCGGTTTGAGATGCTTGATGAGCGAGTGCATCTCAGGTGGCGTGTAGAAGGGTGGCTAGGGGTGGTCCTATGTGGCGCGGTACCTGGGTCATGCATACATGTTGTCTAGGCTTGGAATAGAGGGTATGCAGTCGGGGGGCTATCATGTTGTTATAACAGCCATGGCTTTGGACGTGAGGATTGATCGAGCAATGTACGATCAAGGCAAAGGACACTGGTGCGGGCCGCATGAGGTGTGTCACGGGGATGGTATTGTATCAACGCCTGGCACGGTCAGCACCTCGTGGGCTTTGATCTTGATCAGCCTGGCTTGAGCCGCGATAGTCATAGCCATAGAATCGGGGCACATGGCATGGCGTCATGCTTATATGGCCATGTGAGTGCTTGTTGGGTTATGGTCAAGGTGTTCGGGTGCGGGTGACCATGACCATCCATGACAGAGGCTCGCTATCGGCAGCGGGCGGGTCCTTATCGCAAGCGGCCCCCGCAATCTGCCCCAAACGGTGAAGCCTGCGAGGCTGCTCAAGGGAAAGGGAAGTGCTAGTAGGGTAGAAGGTGAGCCTGGGAAAAGGAATTTGGTGGGGCATTGCATTCTCCTACTACGTCGACGACACATACGTAGTCACTGTACTTGGCTTGTGAGCAGGCATCATGCAGCTGTGTCCCAAGGAGGTGTGTCACTGTCCGCCATGACTGCTGGTACCTGACCGAGGCTTGCTAACAATACGGTGACAGCTTGACAAGCTCGTCATATCCCAGCTCGGCCTGCTTGCCCAGCGTCGCCTGGCACGCGGCGTCAAGTTGAATCACGCTGAAGCTGCTGTACGTCCAAGACGCTCTCGCATGCCCTCTGCTAACGGCTGCAGGCATTGATTGCAAACAATCTTCACGAAGTACGAGCCCCTCCACTGACTGCACGCGCACCCCCATTCCCATGCTGAACGCCCGTAGCTTATTCGCGATGGCAACCATACTGTCGCCGATCTCATGTCCATTGGCAAGACCATGCTGGGTCGCCGCCATGTGCAGCCCGCAGTCGTCTCATCGCTCGCAGAATTGATGGTCGAGGGCACTTTCCCCACAGGCACCTATCTTGTTACTGTCCACCACCCTATCTCCACCGAAGATGGAGACCTCGAAAAGGCGCTGTATGGCTCCTTTCTGCCTATTCCTTCGAATGAATTGTTCCCTCTGCCTGATGCCAGCGTGTACGAGGACACCAAGCAACCAGGCGCAATAGTCGCTGTCAAGGGAGAGAGCGGAATCATCAAACTGAACGAGGGGCGCAAGAGAATAAAACTCAAGGTGAAGAGCGTGGGAGACCGGCCAATTCAGGTACGTCAAGACCGTCACATGAGAATACAGAACACGCGACTCATGATGACAGGTCGGATCGCACTATCACTTTATCGAGACGAACCCTCAGCTGCAATTCGACCGCGTACGAGCGCATGGCTACCGACTTGACATTCCCGCCGGCACCTCGGTACGCTTTGAGCCTGGCGACACAAGAACTGTCACTCTTGTTCAAATTGGCGGGAATCAGATCATCAAGGGTGGAAACCAGATTGCCTCAGGCTTCATTGGCGATCTGTCCGTCGCCAACACCATCGTAGAGAAGTTACAGGCCGGAGGTTTCCTTCACGAGCCCGAGCCCCATGGCGATGCTGCCCATATTGACATTTGTACCATGGAGCGACAAGCCTACGTCTCAATGTTTGGTCCGACAACTGGTGACTTGGTGAGACTGGGCGCTACAGATCTGTGGATCAAGGTGGAAAAGGATATGACTGTATATGGCGACGAATGCGCGTTTGGAGGAGGCAAGACGCTGCGTGAGGGCATGGGTCAAGCTGGCGGTCGATCAGACAAGGAGTCTTTGGACACGGTCATCACTAATGCCCTCATTGTCGATTGGTCCGGTATCTACAAAGCCGACATTGGAATCAAAGACGGTATGATTGTTGGAATCGGCAAAGCAGGCAATCCCGATGTCATGGATGGCGTGGACCCTAAGTTGGTGGTTGGAGCCTGCACCGATGTCATCGCTGGCGAGCACAAGATTGTGACAGCGGGTGGTATTGACACGCACATTCACTTGATTTGCCCACAGCAAGCCGAAGAGGCTATAGCATCTGGAATCACGACAATGCTCGGAGGTGGTACAGGACCCAGTACTGGCTCGAACGCGACCACATGTACGCCTGGTAAGACGCACATCAAGCAGATGCTTCAGGCCATTGACGAGCTTCCTCTCAACTATGGCATTACGGGCAAAGGAAACGACTCTGAACTTCGACCACTGCAACAGCAAGCCGAGGCCGGTGTTTGCGGTCTCAAATTGCACGAGGATTGGGGAAGTACACCTGCAGCTATCGATGCTTGCTTACAAGTCTGCGATGAATACGACATCCAAACACTGATTCACACTGACACGCTGAACGAATCTGGTTTCGTTGAGTCGACTATCGCGGCGATCAAGGGCCGAACGATTCACACGTACCATACCGAGGGTGCTGGTGGAGGACATGCTCCAGATATCATCACTGTGGTTGAGCACGACAACGTGCTGCCCTCCTCAACCAACCCTACCCGGCCATATACCCGCAATACGCTGGACGAGCATCTCGACATGCTCATGGTCTGCCATCACCTCTCCCGCAACATTCCCGAGGACGTAGCCTTCGCCGAGTCGCGTATTCGCGCCGAGACGATAGCCGCAGAAGACGTCCTCCACGACCTCGGCGCCATCTCCATGATATCTTCAGACTCTCAAGCCATGGGTCGTTGCGGCGAAGTCATTCTCCGCACCTGGAACACAGCACACAAGAACAAGGTGCAACGCGGCACGCTCAAGGAAGACGAGGGCACCAACGCAGACAATTTCCGCGTCAAGCGCTACATCAGCAAGTACACCGTCAACGCAGCCATTGCCCAGGGCATGAGTCACCTCATCGGCAGCGTCGAAGTAGGCAAACTCGCCGATCTTGTCCTCTGGACTCCAAACAACTTTGGCGTAAAACCAAACTTGATTGTAAAGAGCGGATTCTGTTCTTATGCTGTCATGGTAACTACTTGCCCTCTTCTCCTCCCAAACAACAACGTCACTAACACAATCCAGGGCGACCCCAACGGCTCCATTCCCATGGTCGAACCCCGCATCATGCGCCCCATGTTTGCCCCTCTCGTCCCGGCCTCCAGCATAACCTTTGTCTCCCAAGCCTCCATCGCCTCGGGCGTCGTGCACTCGTACGGTCTGCGCAAGCGCGTCGAAGCAGTCAAGAATTGCAGAAACATTGGTAAACGCGATATGAAGTTTAACGATACGAGGCCCAAGATGAAGGTTGACCCGGAAAGTTACAGGGTTGAGGCGGATGGAGAGGTTTGTCTGGCGGAGCCCGCGGAGACGTTGCCGTTGACGCAGGGATATTTTGTTTATTAAATCTCTTTCTCTCTTCTTCTTCTTCTTCTTTTTTTTCCCTTTCTTGAAAAGATTGGATATTTGTCTTGTCTTGTATATATCCTTGGATAATGTTACAATGTTTGACAAAATTGAAACTATCTCATGCTTTTCCTTTTGAGGGGAGGAGGGGAGAAAACAAACCATTTTCGTAGACTTGTTCCTCAATTCAAGTGTATCTCGTAATATTGTCCTTGAGAAAAAGAAAACGTTTATTCGAAATAATAGCGCTGCGTCATTCAAAAAACACTACAGTTCTACTTCTGCTTACCCCTAAATACTCTCCTCTTCTAGCCCCAATAACCTCTCCCTCTCTCTCCCTTTTCTTTGTATTGTCAATCACTGCCAATCAATTCCTATCTCCTATCCCAGAAAAAAGAAAACTGCCAAGGCCACAAGTCCCCAAAGCCCTCCCAAAAAAATGCCCCAAAAGGCAAAACGTTCATGGTACTACATACCTCGAGCACCATCAGTCTCCTCTCATACTAACCACCACCTCCCTATGTTCCTTACTTTCCACCCCATCAGCCTTCTCCTTCTTACTCATTGGACTCCCGCTACTGCGTCCACCCAGAGTACCTTGCCTCTTCCGTTTGACCGCAGGCTCAAAGTCACTCATAGCTAAGCCGAGTATCGCAGAACCGCTGAGTTCGGAATTCGTCCTCGCGTCACCACCCAGAGCATGCATGAGCTCAGGCCCCATATCCGTGGTATCGATCTGATGATGATGGTGATGATCGAAACTACCAAGTTCCTCCCCTAGAGCACTAAACAACTGTCTCTCCAAACGGCCCGTGCTATCGATGCTTGATTGCGAAATACGAGACTTGTGGCTAGGTTTGAATGGCGAGAGTTTGTTGGTATCTACTACCGCAGTCGTATTTAAAGTGGGGTCAACGGCATCGACGTCGATGATTTCGACTAGTCCAGGTATAACCTTTCGATCGTTTTGCGTTGAATTACCCTGTGCTTCCTGAACAAAGCTTTGTTCTACTTGAGAATCCGAATTGGCTGTTGGCATCGAACAGTCATATTGCCGAGTTGCTTGGTCTGGCAGCTTTGGCGAATCAGCCACCAAGCCCTCCTTTCTGCTCCTGAAGTTAAAATTTGACGGCCCATGAGCTGAGCCGAGCATGCTGATTTCGGTGGCTGACTGTGGCGCCTCGCTTCGGTTGATACGATGCGCGCTTGCCTGAGTTGAGGACCAACCTCTCATTGATAATTCTGACATGGTTGCTGGCTGCCCCTGAGCAAAAGGGTTCGGTGTTGGAACGCGATTGGCATGGGGAAATGGTGTTGGCAATCGCAGTTGAGATGATGCAATATCCTCCTTGTTACTTGGGATAGATGGGCGTGGTCTTGTAGATATTCTGTCTTTCCCATCGTCTTGGGGGTAATGTTTATGCGTTGACGGCTTGTTCGAGACGTTTCGTAAGATACTGCTGGAATCTTGATACGACGATTTGCGAGCCAGAGCCCCAGAGGACGGACGTTTAATTGGCGGAGCAGTTCCAAATTTCGGTGGATAGTAAGTGTGAGCGGCTTGTTGACTAGCTGGCTCATGAAAGGGTCCACCAGGCATCCGAGAAATCTCACGGTTATGCTTTGGTGGGCTTATGGCGTCGATTATCTGACCCAACTGGTCATCCCGAAGCGTAACCACAAGTTGCTTCTCTTTTCGGGTTTTTGAGTAATCGTCCCAGTCTATACTTTCGCTCGGAACATGCTGAGACATGTTACCCACCCATGGCAGGTCATTGGCCAATGCATGTGAGTCGTACATGCAATTCAGCATACGGTGATCAGACGACGCGGATGTCTTCCTCTTTTCTGACCAGTCGTCTATGCTAGCAGTATCGCCATTGTGATTGAGCGTGCTGAATGCGTCATCCCATGTAGTTGCACGACGAGTGTGGCTAGTGGGTGGAACAAAATGCTTTGTAAAGTGTGGAACAGGTGGCAGGTGCGCGTTGGATTGTCTCTTGGGCTCGGTATCATTCGACCTAGTGAACATGGGTTGTGAATTATGCAGTTGTGGAGTTTGCATGTGCATGTTTCCTCTAAAAGGATTCGCATCAGGGGTCCACGAAGTTGTTGGAGATGCCTGAGAGTACTGGCTGTCCCGGTTAAACCCATCGGGGAGGTAGAGTGGATTCGAGATTGGCCACGAGATTCCGGTCTGCTGGAGGATGTCTGCATCGCTTGAATACAATCTACCATAGGGTTGTAGCATTTCTCAACATACCTTTTGGTGCATGCTGAAATGAGAAGCAAACAATCTCGTTGGCAGTACCAAAGTCTAAACTCCCAGGACTTGGCGTTTTGCTGATTAGTTGTTCTGACAGCACGACTCGTATGCGCCCATATGGGTCACGAGCATCCCAAATGTTATTCGTGAGCGTAAGGTTGTGGAACGGAGGGAACTCGAGAGGCCGTTTCCGCTGGCTCGAAGGCAGATCATTGTAGGTGAGCGACCTCTTCTCGTAGGCTCCACGATTGTCAGATCTTTCGTTGCCCGGTTTTTGCTCTGAATCACTTACCAATCTCTTGAGGCCATTTCGTACTCAAGTCAAAGAAGCCGTGACTGAGTTGGTTGTTAGGTGTCAATCTCACTCGGCAGCAAATACTCCAGGCTTACAAGAGCCTGGCCTCGCCCACAATGACCTGAACGGCGAAAACTATTTTTTGATTGCCTTTGCGTTGGGACTCGAGGAGCGCCGAAGCTTTCAAGGTTGTACGCCATGAATGAAGTGAGATACGGAATGGCGTCGAGGGTGGTAGCGAGGTGATGAAGCAGGTCAATGTCGGCAGTTGGCGCCCGTCTGTGGTGTGTCAGTGTTGTTTACTACCCCAAGTGCAAGCAAGCTTGCTTAAAAGAGACTAGATAGTAGCGCAACTCACAGTCAACTTGCGAGACAAAGCAAGCGGTCTTGAACTCCTGAATCGGAACATGGGAGTCTCGGGGAAAGAGGATCACGTCCCAATCATCGTAGCGCATGATCGGCGTGTGATTGCTGTTGTTCAGATCCAAGAGAGCAACGAGCAACCGGTAGTTGTGCTGGAGCGGGACTGTGTGAGACGGGGAGAAGAGGCATGTTGACGAGTTGAGAGGGCTGGGTAATGGCGGGCACACTTGAGGAGCACCATGGGAAGGTACGAATGGTCAGATTTATCACACGTCACATGGCGATTGACTCATTAACTTCTGGATATCACGGACATTGATAACCATATGACCGTGGCGACGAAGGAGATATGCATCTTGGTTTTCGATTAATGTACAGTGATGAGCTGAGCAAAAGAAGGATATATCCTGCTAATAGATCGAAACAAACATGTCCGTCAGCCCCATTGTTTTTGTCAAGCAGCTGTCTGATCACCGATCAACCATTGCAAGGCAACACATGCGTGTTCCATAGAGCACGTATCTTCCAAAAGAAAACGCCTTCAAGAATAAACTTTATTCCCTGATGTGAGAAACATGAGATTGTTGGAGGAACTTCCTCTTTTCGTAACATGGGTATCCGCTATTTTGGTATTCGCCAAACGCCTTGCTAAAACAACGTAGTCCCACATCCGAAAGCAATGTACGCCGACATTCTGGTGAAGTGCCCTCCCCCTTTTAACTCCTTGCTAAGCCATCAAGTATTACTGTATGCAAATCTGGCCGACATGGCATGGCTGGCGAGCCAATACAGAAAGAGAACTGCTACGAAAAGGAACCGTTTGTATCGTTCGATTGGGGCGGTGTGAAACGAGCGAAGCCACCGAGGCCGGATTGGAGACCGTTTGCTGCGCCGCTCTGAAGAGTAGGTGCGTTCTGGCTGTCGTTTTGTGAGCCAGCGTAGTTATTGTTCGCAATGGATGAATAAGGCGGAGGCAGCGACGCCTGCGTGGGAGGAGGACTGCGCACAGCAAGGTTAGTGAAATGCTCCCTGAGCTCTGACAAGGCAACAAATCATACACACGCCAACCAAACTCTACATACGCGCACGAACAAAGAAAACCAACTATGATGCACTTGGAACCAGACCGTTAGATGAATCAAACAAGTAAGCAACTAAGCAAGCACGCAACAAACCACGCAGAAAATAGAAGAATCGTGTGATTGGAAGGATAGCCAATCTGCTGGTCACAGAGCGCAACCGGTAAAAGAAAGGCATTCGACAGAAAGCAGCACCCGACCCATGCATGACTAGCTACATCCCATAGATGCTCCCCGAAAGAAGAGTAGCACGCTCTGAAAGAAAAGTCCGAGTGGGAGAATGGATGGCCTGTTATACAAAGACTCCCCTCTATGGCCCTCCAGCAAGATGGTGTCGTCAGAGAAAGTCGAGAACTTTTAGAGTACCGCCCGTTATAGAACTAAAGACCAAATCGCTCGAAATCGTCATTGCCGAGTCATGAAAGGGGTCGTTGCAATAAAGCCAACGGGATGAACCACGAATGAAGCGCCGTGCAAGCAATACAGAGGGAAAGAATGCGCTTACTATAGCAAAGTTAGTACTGGCAGTAGCGAGAAAAAAAAAGGGGGGGGGGGGGGAGAGAGACAATGCACAACTGCCAAAGAGGCGTTTGCATGATTATCCTGCCCTCAAGACATGCTGTCGCCTTACCTTCATCATAGGACCGTAACCGCCGCCACCACCACCGTAAGGGTGTTGTGGGGGCATGCCCATTCCAGGGCCAAAGGGCACTGGTGGAGGTGGCGCAGGGCGGTATGGGGTGCCGGCTGGTCCAGAGTTGTTCTGAGAGCGGCCCCAGCTAAGACGCACGCGAGAGTTGCCAATTGGGTAACCTTGCATCTGGTTGATAGCCATCTCTGCGGCGTGGCGCTGCACGAACTGGACGAAGCCACATCCTTTGCCTGGAGGAATCTTGACATAGGTGATTTCACCGAAACCTTGGAAGAAAGAGCGTAGCTCGTCCTCGGTAACATAGCCCGAGAGACCGCCGACGAAGACGGTAGTGTTGTTGGGATCCGTGAACTGGTTCATGGGCTGGGGAGCGCCATAGTAGTTGCCCATTGGGGGAGCACCCATCGAGTACATGCCCATGCCTGGACCGCCTGCACCCTGGGGCATACCCATTCCGCCGGGGCCGCCGGGACCACCGCTCTTGTTCTTTGGTGTCGCAGTAGAAATACGCATGGGGCGGTTGCCGCAGTAAACGCCTTGCATCTCAGTCAGAGCCTTTTGCTGATCTTCCTCGCTAGCGAATCGCACGAATCCATATCCACGCGACATGCCGCTGATGGGGTCCGACATGATCTTTGCCGACTTAGTCGAGGGATACTTGTTCTGGAACAACTGGACAAGGACGAATTCGGTAACTTCGGGGCCCAAGTCTCCGACGAAGATGCTGAATTCGGGACCACGCTCGTCGCGGCTATTCTTTAGTGTTAGAGATGATTGCAGTATGCAGGTGTAAGAGACTAGACATGACTTGCCTCCTGTCAGCGAGACCGCCACCAGAGGCCCAGTTGAGCTTGAATGGACGGTTCGAGTTTGGGATCAGTTGTCCGTTAAGGTTCAGGGCCTTGGCTGCAGCATCAGGGCTCGCAAAATCGACGAAGCAATATCCAGCATTGCTGCTATGCGGTAGTTAGCCTGGTGGCTTTCTGGAGTGGGATTATGTGCTTACCCGGAGAACTTGTCACGGATCATCTTGACGTTGACAGTCTCACCCATGTTGTACCAGATGCTACGGACAAAGTTCTCGTCAATCCAGGGCTCAAGCTCACCCATCCTGTGCCATTGTTAGCATTGACCTATTTTGCTCCATGCCATGTGGCGCTGAGGAGAGCGTTGGCCACATTGCACAGGGCGTGCGCAGCGTGGACTCACCAGAGAGTCGTCTTTCCGGCGCCCTGGCCTTGACCGTCACCGCCAGCGCTGCCTGGAGGGCCCATGTTGCCCTGGGGTGGGAAGCCGTTGCCGGAGGTGTCCATGGGCTGACCCATGTCGCCCGGCTGTGGGGTGGGGTTGTTCATGTCGCCCTGGGGCGGGCCCTGGAACTGGTCGTTGTAACCATTGTTGAAAGACATGGTGGATAGATCAAGCGGGGTAGTCGGATGGACTAGCGGAGGTGGGGAGTAAGGGTAAGGCGCTCTAATTATGATTGAGAAGTGTACGAGTCGTTTATATGTCTGCGCGCGAAAAGCAATGGTTAGCGTCGGTGAATGGGCGGGTAAGTAAGCCAGGCAGCGGGAGCGAGGTGAGTGCAGGGCAAGGCAGGGCAGGGCAGGGCAGGGCAGGGTCGGGTGTGTTGGGCAAAGGGCCCTAGGCGCGCACACACAGACTCACCACTGGGAACGATGCTCCTAATGTCGCAGCAAGGGAAACGTAGCCTGTGAAGGTGTGAAGTGGGCGCTGACGTCGGGCTCAGGCGCAAAGGCAGCTCGGCCAAGGAAGGAGCCTAGTAAGCTAAGAGACACACTCGGAACAAGCGGCGACAGTAACTCGGGATTGAGCACCAAGGACTGTGCGGGTGACGGCAGTGAATGAGTGACCGTGAGGAGGCTCGAATTGCAATCTGTGCGGGCCAGTCAGTACCGTGTGTGCAGGATGGCCCGACGCGATGGATGGATGACATGGGGGGGCGGGGGCGGGCATGAGGCTCGTCTTGTTGGTTGGGTCACGACACCACGACCACTACTGCGACCCCAACGGCGGCAGCGGGGGGGAGGGGGGGCGACGACGACGACGACGACGACAACAACGAGGGCGATGAGGCAATTGCGCTCGCAGCTGGGCCTTCAGCGGGCAGCGGACTGGTTTGCGATGCGAACGAGTCCGTGCAGGCCGACGACGTCAGCGGGCTCGATGCGCACACACAGCGCAGTGCTGGCAATTGCGTGTGGACAATTCTGCGTGCATTGTCGATATGCAGCAGGCACAGTTTGGGCGGAGGCGCGCCAAGGCGAGAGATGAAAATTGTGCTGGTTGGGCGATGGGCTTACCTGCGGCAAAGACTCAAGGACACCGGGGACAGAGGCGGAGGGGAGAAACAGGTCGAATCCAAACACCAGAACGCAAGGGAAGCAGAGAAGAAGACGGCGACGAGAGTCGGGGAGGGGGGGGGGGAAAGATGTGTGTGAGAAGAAAGGTGGGTGGGGTAAAAGAGCAGAGAGCGCAGATGATGTGCTGCCGAGCGAATCCGCTAAGTTTACGGCGCTCGGTAGCGACGCGCAGAGACGAACCTGGGGGCGTTGGCGTGAGGACAGAGGATGGCGCCACGATTTGCTCGATCGGGCAGACACAAGCTTTGGAGATCGATACAAGGATGGCGGCCCTTGGGGGCTCTTGGTGGCCCTTCGCGGCTGCAACGCCCTCTACCAGGCCGCAGATTGGCTGCCACGCCATTGCACGCCCAGGCAAGGCCGGAATTAACGATCTCCTGTGCGTCAACTGCTGACTTTAGCTGAGCTGGTCGTTGGGCCCACCCCTGGCCGCTGCGCCGCTGCACCGCTGCCACTGCTCAATGACGCGCAGCGCCATGGGACAGACATGGCCGACAGTGCGGGGCGCGGCGCTGCGCTGCGCTGTGCTGTGCACTGCACTGCACTGCACTCGTCCGGCTGTGTGTACTGTAGAGCATGCACATGTGCATATGTCATGTGGATACACACGACTACTGCTAACTAACCGACCGACTTAGTTAGTTATTACTTACACGTACTTACATACTACATACATGCTCATTACTCCTCCTCCTCCCTTCCCCTCCTCGGCCCAGCCCAGCCCAGCCCAAAGCAAAGCAAAGTGCCGTCCCTCTGCACCAAATGGCCGACGCCCCTCACCGCTCACCGGGGCTAGCAGCTGCACCTCTCTCCCACCCAAGCTGACAGAGACATGGCACAGCCGCCCTCTCCCTGGGCCAGTGGACCCATCCAGCCCATCCATTCCACAAGCGTGCGTACGTATACGTATACTTACGTCTATTGCTCCGCCCATGTCTGTATCCAGCAACCTCACCAGCAGGGGACCTGGCCTTGGCCCAAGGATCCCGCACCCCCTCCTCCCCCCTTCCTTCCTTCCTTGTCTACACAACACACTTAGTACATACACATACACATGCACCTAGTACACATTAGCATTTCGTATCCATGCATGCCATGTATGCGCCCATCAGCTCAGGAAGGAGCCATCCATTGCATTTCATCATGATTCGCATTGTATCCACACGTCTCCCATGGCGCTCGCCATTACATCTGTACCTATGTACGCATGTATCGATGTATGTACCTATGCACCCCAGACCACACACCCCTCGCCCATCTACACAGCCTGGCCAGGCGCCGTCTCCGGGATGCCAGCAGCAGCCTTGGCCTCGCCCAGCTGCTCGCGGCCCTCTGCAAACACCTTGTCAAAGTCATACTCGTACCACCTAATGTCCGGGTTCAGCCCGGCAAACTTCCACTCGCCGTCAATCTTCTTGTACCAGTGCGTGTTGAAGCTGTGGGCGTGGCCCTTGACTGCCACCGTCGCCCGTGACTCATCCGTGTATCGCTGGTGAGGCACTCGCAGCTGGTGGTATCCCGTAATCTCATCCTCGGCCGTCTTCTCCCACCGTGTTCCGCCGATGAAGTGCTGTGTCTTGAGGAGGGGGTTGCCGAGCACCGCAGGGTCAGAGGCCATGGCCACAAACTCATCCGCTGGCATCGCCTCCCATATCTTGTCCAAGAAGGACCGGTAGTCAATCTTCAGAGTCGGAGCAACGCACTTGCGCAGACGCTCCCAGTCCTTGCTGTCGTAGCTGTCTGCCCATTCGTAGCATGCCGATTGACAGCCCATGACCTCTGCTCCCAGTTAGCCGTGCCCACCAGAGAGAGTCACTTTACTGCACACATGACATACCCTCAAACGTAGGCTGGAGTTCCTTCTTTTCAAACATGATGACTTGTGGACTTTGGTTCAATTACTTGGTGATGAGGATTTCAATACTGCACTTGAATGCTGTCCTTGTATCCTGTTTACAACCCTTGAGTCTTTATATCTCAATTGCTCTATATCCATCCCCCACTGCAACGGCCATCGACTTTCTGCCACTCGTCTTCGGGTCCCCGCCCAACGGGGCCCCTCGGCACTGCCGGCACTGCCGGCGCCATCCTGCGCGACGGGGCCGAGCGCCTCTCTCAAGACCGGAGACGCTTTATTTCAAATTGGGCCAAAATGTCTCTGCACCCAAGCTTGACCTTGTAGCCGATAACCACTTCGACTCCTCCACGGTAGTCACTGCCGCGGGCCCCTCACGGAGAAAGCAGGCGCACGTGCCACAACCATTGCTATCTTTCCGATGGTGCGCCGTAACCTCAACCCTCACCTCACAAACACGCATCCTATCCTACTACTCTATCTATTCTTGGTGGCTTGCAAACCTATGCATCCTCCTTCATTGCAGTTCCAGTTCTTGGAAGGTTGCGAATATGTAATCCATTGACTTGACTACACGCCCGGCGCAATGCACGTCGCGCTGATGTCAGTGGCCTCCAAAACTACAGACCGACATGCCTCGCAAGGCTAATACCTGGCATGCTCCTCATTGCCAATACGAACCATCTCCCCTCTAATACAGGACATCTATGGCTCGGCCGTTCTTTGAGTAAGACATTTCTCCGCCTCACCGCACCTGGATTTTGGCCCCCAATTTTCAATATCACATTCTCAATGCCCCACCTTCTCTTTCTTCAGTCACGTACTTGCCCAGCGACTCGAAATGATCCTGTGTCCGTCCTTATCAGTTTCCTAGAGTATTTGCATCAATCCACTCGCTGTTCGTTTCTATTTCTGTACAATCAAGGCGAGTGAATCCCCACTTGATCAGTAACACAATGTCGTCTTGGGATCCACTCCTGCCTCCGTGGAGACCACCTCTGTGGAGACCACCCCAGTGGTGGGCCGCCGATAGCAATATAAAAGACGGGCCGCGTAGACAGAAGATCAAAAATGCATATGCAAAGGCAAAAAAATGCACGTTGTGCAACAACTTTGTGTGGCCGACCGAAGGCGTAGAGTTTCAGATCGACGAGTGGTCGTCGTCTGCTGAAGGAGGCTGTGCTGGCTGCATGGTTTTGTGTGCCATTGCAACTTTGATCGAATATACAATAGAGTCTCCTGAAGAGTCGACTCCCATTGGAAGTATGCGGTTCAAAATGGAGCGTTCACGAATCCTAGCTACATCGGATTGGGGATATGGTTATGATGTGTACTTTCCGTGCAGTACGCCCAAACGTAGTCATAGCGTGGTGGCGGATGCTAATTTCTTCAGTGCAACGAAATCCTTGGAATATACCGTACTTTCCCCCAGAACTTGAAGTCGCATCATACTCCGGATCCGGTCATGCCATTGGCCGCACCCTGTCCTGGCTACGGGCTTGTGACGAAACACATGAATCATGCAGGCGCACTAATCCACCTCTGCCATCTCGTGTTATCCTCATCCAAGGACTACAAGATATTAGACTTCATGAAAGTAACGGAGAGATAGAGCCCTATGCCTGTCTAAGTCACTGCTGGGGCAAGAAACGTATCATCAGGACGACTACATCTAATCTGTCGCTCCACAAGCAACAAATCAAGTGGGGCCAGCTCCCTCTCACATTCCGGCATACTGTGTCCTTTGCCCATCGCCTTGGCTTAAAGTATCTCTGGATCGACTCACTGTGCATTATTCAAGATGATGTCGATGACTGGCGCCACGAAGGAAGCAAAATGGCTCAAATATATTCAGGGGCGTACATTACACTCGCTGCTGCAGCGTCTCGAGATGCATCAGGTGGCTGTTTCCGTCACAGCGCCGAACGTCCTCTCTTCCGCCTTCCATACCCGGACGAAAATGGGTCAAGGTTAGACCTCTGCATCCGGCCAAGAATAAAGAACGCCAGCTGGGTCGAAGGCAAAGCACCCTTGCTACCTCGCGGATGGACATTGCAAGAACGACTGCTTTCTCCACGAATCCTGTATTTCACGCACGAAGAGCTTGTCTGGGATTGCAAGACCGAGAATGATTGCGAGTGCTCCATTCCACCCCCCTTTGCCCCACTCTCAAATATATGTAGTCTTTTCTGGCTCAACGGCGAGCTGCATGTTCCCAATGATGGCAACCACAAGAATATCCCGAAAGCATGGCACCAGATCGTCGACCAATACACTAACCAACGCCTTACGTATGAAAAGGATATTTTCCCCGCCTTGCAAGGTATAAGCAAGATGTTCTCTACGTACACCAAATCCCGCTATCTTGCTGGTCTGTGGGAAGACACAGTCATATCAGATTTGCTGTGGATACGTTATAGGGGAGACTACAAGCGGCCACAAACATGGCGTGCGCCGTCCTGGTCCTGGGCCTCTGTTGTAGGTAACGTATACTGGGACAACCGGGTCAACGACATGTTTTTCCGCACCCTCGCTACGTGTATCGCCGCAGAGATACAGCTAGCTGACGCTGACGCCTTTGGAGAAATAACATCTGCCAGTCTCACGCTGAGTGCTCGCTGTTTCTCCAAGGCAGCACAAGAGCTATGGCTGCCTCTCACGTATACACAGACAGACAGTGTGTTGTGGGTTGATCTAGGTAAACGTGCTTGGAGCCAACATGGCGCTGATGCCACTGTTGTTCTCGATTGCAAAGTACCGGATTTCGACCCGACGAGGCCGCATAGCAAGATGCTGGGCTCAGAGACGTGTGTCAAGACGGTCGTTATGGCGCAGTATTACTCACAAGACTCTAACTTGTCCGAGTTTCATTGTTTGCTGCTGCGAAAGACAACGGAGGAAGGTGGCCGGGCTACGTACGAGCGGTTTGGATACTTGAGGGTGAAGGCGCGAGATGTGCATCTCGATGCATCCAATCTTCCCTTGGATGAAGACGAGACTTTGTACATTGTTTAAGTGAACTGCATACTTGAGTAAAAAAAGAAAGTTTGAGTAGAGAGAAAAGAACTTGACACATATTTCTTGAGAGTGCAAAACGAAAGATGATGGTATTATCCAGGTGTGTTTCGTAACAACAACAAAAAAAGAAGAAGACATGACAAGAAAAACATCCATGGTATCAGGATGTACAAACATAACGCTAAACGCCCCCGCCGTCCCGGAATTCAAAAACATTCCAAAGAATAACCTTGGGATATCGTAACGGTGCTTTCTCTCCCTTGTTTCTTTCATCCACACACTTCCAACTGGTATCATGCGTTACTCTGCATATTCCACAATTCGACGTAACCACCCCCCAACCTTCTCAACTCTCACACACACCTTCACACCTTCCCTTTACTTATACTGCTGCGGCCCCTGCGGCGGCGGCGGGCCCTGGCTCATCTGCTGCAGCACATCCGGGCGATAATTGATATCCTGCCAAAAGTGGCAAGTACTGCAGCCGAGCTCCTTGTACGGTTTCAGTGAAAACGGGATAACGGGTATGAAGCAAAACGTAAACCACTCCCAGCGCTTCATCACAGCCGTCCGATAGTTGCCGCAGTTTTGGCATTGTACTTGGACATGCTCTGCGCCTTTGAGTTGAGAGGTGAAGGCTGTGGGGCTTGGTGTTAGTTAAGTGGGATTGATGAAGCGTTGCATATGGTGATAATGCATTAGGGGGAGGGGAAGGGGGAATGCGTGGCGAGATGTATGGAAAGACATACTGTGTGTTCCGCAGGTGAAGAAGAAGAACATTGTTGAGGGTTATGGGGGGGGGGCGCTGGAGGAGCTCTTTCTGGGTGTAGGTTGTGTAGACGCTTTCGCGTTGTTTATGAGGCGATGTGGTGTTCCTCGTGGAGTCGAGTCGGTTCAATTCAATGTGATGCGCTTCGCGCTTCGAACAGGCGGTTACGGAAAGCGCGTTGGTTCTCTTAGATTGAAATTTCGTTACGCGTTGGAGAAGTTAACGGTACTGTGAAGACTGATGAAGAGTATGTTGCAGGTTATTTGGAGGTCAAAAGTGAGGTGATGAGACGTCGGGTGATGTTGTGGCTCTGGTCAACGGATTCGTGGAGGTATTGGCGCCGAGCTGGTCTGCGTCATCTCAGGTTACTCAGCCACACTTGGCGGACGTTTTCTCTACCGGTACTAGCGGCCAAGCTCGCCGCGCCACTGGGTATCTGGGGAAATGCAGGATGACCTGTACCGAATTTATGTTGGATCACATTACTTGCACATGTAAATTTGGTACGCCCTTTACTAGTATACACGCAAGTCACAGATTCCGAGACTTGGGCTTTGTTCTTAAATGTTCTTACATCCTGAGGATGCGTGATCATGTCTGAAAGCAGTTGCTAATCACGTGATCACATTTCACATTCCATGCCGTAGTTAACACATGAGAATAAGAGCACAATCATTTAATTATGATACTACTATGTTGACCTCCAGAGTCATCAAGATGCAAAGAAGGAGACTCGTCGCAGTCGTAGGATTGGGATGCGGTAATCTCATCGTGTCTAGGTGGTAGGACGCCATTGAATCGCAGAAAGCCCCCGAGTCCGGTTGCAAAGACAATAGCTACATGCTGAGAAAGATATACAGTCTTCTTACACGTACAGCGAAGACCGGTCAAGCACCACTCTAAGCCACTGCTTGGAACGAAACGGCCTTCTTCACCCCGGGACCATGAGGCATTCTTTCGTAATCAGAGATGACATGGCTCGTAGATAGATGATGGACCCCGCTCCGGGATAATGCATCTACTGTGTCTTGAAGAGCAAGATTGCGCAGTGACCGAGGTAGAAGTAGATGAAGTGCTTCGTCTCTGATGCAAGTCAGCTGATACTGGTCATGACAAGGTCGAAAAGAAAACTTACCGTGAGTAACGAAGCTCCCGAAGTTACGGCCTACGATGCAGTGCCATGTAGCACCCTTCCTGCTGTCGAACTACCTGGGCGTTAGCGGGCGCTTATCACAGTCATCGAGAGTCATGTTTCTCACCTCCTTCTTGATGTACTGGGCAATGTCCTGCACACCAGATGTTAGTTTAAGGCCCTGCCGTGACCCCGGGTTGGGTGGGTAGTGCGGCCCACCTTCTCAATAGTGAACTGTTCCATTGCCGACTGTGCTGCCTAATGTCAGCTGTTCTGTCGGCCTCACGCAGTGTGGAGACAACTCACCGACTTCAATGGCCTCTTGCTGCATCTCTTCGCTCTGTTACACACATGTTAGGAGAGCCCTAGAGAATAATCCCGGATGTTCCGTACCATGTCTGCCGACTTAATCTGGGCTGCCAATGATATCAGTTTGTGCTTTGGCAAAACTACCCGGCATAAACAAAAGGGGCCTTACCATCCTGCTTCTGGGTATCTGACTTTTCGCTTGCCATGGTGCTGGTTCAAGTTATTACACAAGTACAAGTTAAGGTATTGATTGTCCGGATAGAGGTGCGGTCTTATAATGGCGGAGAGTGAGGCTATGTTTAGGTTGCAGTTGCAAGGCGTGTGTTAGTGTTTGAGTAGGCGCTCGCGCAGCCATAAGCCGTTGGCCCGAGCTCCCACATGCGCGCTAGTGCGCTAGCGCATAACTGAGCATTAAGACTTTTTTTTTCTGGACGCGAACTTTTAACTAACATTCGTTGCATCCGCTTCCAGCACACCAGGCTTCGAACAGGCCGAAGCGTACAAAGACTTCGGTAGCATGGAGTCTTCACGCATCTTCGTCCGCGGCTTGCCTCCCAAGTTCACCGAAGATGATGTGCGCAAGCACTTTGCCAAATTCCCTATCACAGACGTCAAGTTCTTTCCGCATCGACGGATAGGCTACGTAGGCTACAAGACGCCAGAAGACGCTGCCAAGGCAGTCAAGTACTTCAACAAGACCTTTATCAAACTCACAAAGATCTATGTTGAGATTGCGCGCCCGGTAAGCACATTCTTATCCTAACGGAGGCGACAAGCGGGGCTAATTGGTACAGATCGCCGACAAGGAACTACCAAAGTCGCGACGACAGCAGAAGCTGGAGAAGAGCGCCGCCTCCAATGACGAGTATAAACCGCCGCCGCGGCAAGAAAACGAACTCAAGCGCAAACGGGACGAGGCTGAACAGGATCCCAAGCTCAAGGAGTTTCTCGAGGTCTACCAGCCGCCTTCAAAGACGAAGATCTGGGCAAATGGCGAGAGCCATGTAGATGAAGCAAATGCTGCTGAGGACACCGCTGTTCCAAAGATTACTGTGCCAGAAGAGGAGAGCGATGACGAATATCAAGTCATTTCGAAGAAGCCCAAGGTTGCGGTGGAACCTACAGCCACGTCTGCCCCAGTACAACCATCTTCTACTGAGGAGCCTGCAAAGGATTCTATAGATGCAGTGGTGGATACTGGTGAAGCGATGGAAGATGTACAGGAAGCGCCAGCTGCTGAGCAGGGGCCTGTTTCGGACATGGATTGGCTACGTTCGAGGACAAACAGAGTCTTGGAACTAGTCGAAGATGACGAAGTACCTGCGGCAAACGTACCAGCTTCCCAAGCGCCAGCACCACAGCCTCCCAGAACTGCAGAAGACTCAGCCGAGGTAGTGGAGGCGCAGCCAGAGCCCCCACAGCCAACAGTGGAACAGTCAGAGAGCGCTACGCCTGACGAAGAAGACAAGATCCGTGAGACTGGTCGTCTGTACCTTCGAAATCTACATTACGAAGTGACAGAAGATGAGATCCGAGAGCAGTTCTCCAAACACGGAGCTCTCGAAGAAGTAAGTAGCCATTTTTTCTTTTCCACTCTGGACCCCCTGCAATGATGATCGTCGAGATAGGGACAACTGATGCTTCGGCATTTGAGGTGATCTCTCGAAAGCATTTTAGTAGATGTACTTTCTTTCTGATAGCAGGGAAACTTGTTCATCCATTCTTCAGACTACGTTAAAGTATCTTTGCTGACCATTGTAGGTTCATGTACCCTTGAAGAAGGCCGATGGCAAAGGCAAAGGCTTCGCATTCATTCAGTTTCAAAACCCGAGCGATGCAGTCGAAGCATATCTTGACAATGATAACACCATCTTTCAGGGCCGCCTTCTTCATATCATTTCTGCCAAAGCAAAGAAGGATACCAAGCTAGATGAATACGAGATATCTAAGCTGCCTTTAAAGAAACAGAAAGAAATCAGGAGAAAGCAGAGTGCCGCCAAGGCAGTGTTCAACTGGAACTCTCTCTACATGAATGTCAGTTCACTCCATTGTGTCTATAAGAAACATGCTCACATACATCTAGGCTGATGCGGTCATGTCTACTGTTGCGGATCGCATGGGTATTAGCAAAGCTGAGCTGCTCGACCCTACGTCTTCAGATGCAGCGGTTAAGCAGGCACATGCCGAGACCCATATCATCCAGGAGACGAAGTCATATTTTGCACAACACGGCGTTGACCTTGAAGCTTTTCAAAGGAGTGCAAAGGGGGATCTTGCTATCCTCGTGAAGAACATTCCTCACGGTGTGACGGCTGATGAGCTCCGTAAACTGTTCGAAGAGCACGGCACTGTGAACAAGTTCTTGATGCCACCAACAGGTATGACGGCAATAGTCGAATTCGCCAACGTTGCGCAAGCAAAGTCTGCGTTCATGTCCCTATCATACCGAAAGCTGAAAGACTCGATTTTGTACCTCGAGAAGGCACCAAAGGATTTGTTCAAGGAAGGTGTAGCGACAAATTTTTTACAAACCACCCCATCAGCCTCAGCATCAACTTCAACGCAGCCTGGTACAAAGCTCAGCGCCACCGATTTGCTGGTGGACATTCCAGAACCGGATGCAACAAACACTGCTACCCTGTATGTGCGAAACCTCAACTTTTCCACATCAACGGAGCGCCTTACCGAAGCATTCAAACCTCTCTCTGGCTTCCGTAGCGCCAAGGTCAAGACGAAGGTCGATCCTAAGCGCGGCGTGCTATCGATGGGTTTTGGTTTCGTTGAGTTCAATAGCCCTGAGACTGCGACGGCGGCTCTTCGGGCGATGGACGGATATGACCTGGAGGGGCACAAGCTACAAATCAAGGCTTCCCACCGTGGCGCGGATGCTGCTGAAGAGCGTCGTAACGAAGATGCAGCAAAGAAGGCGGCAAGCACCAAGATCATCATCAAGAACTTGCCCTTCGAAGCGAGCGTAAGACTTCTGGTCCTTTTATTCACCAAGCGTATGCTAACATGAGTTACAGAAAAAGGAAGTCCGTGCTCTGTTCGCTCCTTACGGCCAACTTCGGTCTGTGAGGGTGCCCAAGAAGTTCGATGCATCATCGCGTGGTTTCGGTTTCGCAGAGTTTACTACGAAACGCGATGCGGTCAACGCCATGAACGCCTTGAAAAACACTCACTTGTTGGGTCGTCGTTTGGTCCTTGCGTTTGCTGAGGCCGAATCTGATGATCCTGAAAAGGAACTCGAGAAGATGCAGCAGAAGGTTGGGGCACAGGCCAACAAAGTCGCGCTCCAGCGCCTTACAGAAGGCGGTCGCAAGAAGTTTAACGTTGCAGGCACCGATGATTTAGACGATTGAGCACAAACATGTCCGGTAGGAATTACGCGCGCAACACATGTTGGCCTAAGGGCCCTCCGTTGCTTCCCGGTTGCGGAAGTCGGGTCGCCCTTGGCCGCAGTATACTTAAAGTAGCAGTGTGCTATGACTACACTGCGCATAAACGCTATATCTGGACCGTCGGTTTCTAAGCCTCCTCAGGATATACGCCTAGCAGAACGTATCAAGAGGCACGGTCAGTCTAGCACGTTTCATACCGCTTCCAGAGTACGGAAGCCACAAACGTCCCGTTTGTGGATCCTGCAGATCTGACGTAGTTTGCTGTTCATGAAAACTGACATCTATGCCACTGTACTGAGCAATGTTTAGTGGCTCTCCTCACTGATATCTAGCCATTGAAGGCCGATAAGCCAACAGTCGGCTCGTCACAACTGTCCCTGCTAATCACGCATTTTACAAGACTCCAGCACACGAGAGCGCTACCATGGTCATCTTCACTTGAATCATAAGTAAGACCAGCCTCTATTTAGTAACCTTCTTTACACCCTAAAGTGCCCTGCCTTGATTTTGCGGCAAAGTCCACTTTACTTCTTTGACTGGCACTACTATTGTGGGTCTAGAGGATTTCGCACCGCACCGGACCATTGGTGCTATGTCTGTAAGGCTGGCACGTAGTCCTCCAACCTCAGGCAGGTTATCTGAACCAGCTGTTGTTATATCATTACAGATTTCCTCAATGGCCGGATTATGCTTCTTCCAGTTTACTAAATAATTTCCAAAGTCCAAGGCTACTTCTCTATAAAAGCTTATAGTTATGCTCTTGACTTATGTTTGGTATACAAACGTAGCACCTCAGCTATATCTCCACGTCCATATCGTGCCGCCAGCGTCAGTGCTGTCGATCCGTCCTTATCTTTGGCGTCAGCGTCAGCTTTGCCAACGTTAAGCAGCATGTCAACTGTATCTCTATGTCCATATCGTACCGCCAGCATCAGTGCTGTCGTTCCGTTCTTATCTTTGGCGTCGGTGTCAGCCTTGCCAACGTTAAGCAGCACGTCAACTATATCTCTATGTCCATTTGCTGCCGCCATCATCAGCGCAGTTGATCCGCTTTTGCTTTTCGCGTCAACGTTAGCCTTGCCAACGGTAAGCAACACCTCAACTATGTCACTGTGTCCATATCCTCCCGCCTTTATCACCGCCGTTTCCCCCCAACTGTCTCTTGCCTCAACGTCAGCCTTACCCACGGTAAGCAGCACCTCAACTACGTCTCTATGCCCATACGCCATTGCGATTAGCAGCGCCGTCCCTTTGATGTTGTTTTTCGCGTCAACGTCAGCCTTACCAATAGTAAGCAGTATCTCAACTACATCTCTACGTTTGCGTCTTGCCGCCAGCATCAGCGCCGTCCATCCGTCGTTGTCTTTTGCCTCAACGTCAGCCTTGCCAATAGTAAGCAGCACCTTGACTGTGTCTCTATGTCCGTCTCTTGCCGCCTGCATCAGCGCCGTCCATCCGTCGCTGTTTTTCGCCTCAATGTCAGCCTTCCCAGTCTGTAGTAACAGCGCAAGAACATTCCTGTTCCCATTCTCGGCAGCCCACTGGAAATGTGTCCAGTAGTCCTTGTCCGCCTTCTTAAGCTCAGACGCACGACTATAGATCAGCTTAGAACAAAGGTTGAAAATTCCGGCTTTGTGTCCAGATACATAAAATACATGGTCCTGCCAATAGCTCTTTGCATAAGTATAGAATCCGAATACATGCTCTGGCTTGGAGTTGAGGGAGCTGTGCGCTTCCACGAGAGCTTTGCTCATATCAAATTCATATTGCCGTCTGGATCCGAGAAGCTTTATAGCCAGCTGACGAGCGTTGCTTGACGAGCTAATAGTAGCTTGCACGATCTTAGATGGTGCGGATTGTACTACTATAGGATGGAACTTCACTCTCGATAGCTCAGTCCCGAAGACGCCGTAGCCGAGGTACGTGACAACAGTGTCTGCCAACATCCTTTGTGCCTCTTCAAACGGAAAGTTGGTATTGAGGATGTACTGCTTGACGCTGTGATGTATAACCCGGACAGTAAGCTCCTCCTCATCAACAGTAAGCAGGCATCCACAGCAAGCTAGTGCTGAGTACACATTATTTAGAAGTTTAGAAGGATCCCAAGCTGTATCTCCAGGAGTAACGCTCAGGGCTTCCCGCAACTCGTCCATTGTTAAAGGCTGGCGAGCTGCAAGCACAATCTGTAGCGTCTTCCTTTGGAGTGCTAGATCGGAGCTTCCTGATTTTCCTGACTGTGCTGACTTCCGTAGAATCCTAGCAAATGTTTCCGAGAGGTCTTTCGGCAGGTCTGCCAGTGCTTCCCGGATAGCGTGATCAGTTTTCATGTCGCACAAAGTCTGGATTTGAAGAGCTACCCAAAGGAACATTCCTTGCGAGCCTTTGGACAGCTTGTCTTGAATCTCTAAGATTAGAGTTGGATCTCCAATCGTTAGGCGTTCTTGGCGAAGGCAACGCTCAAGGTCTGCTTCGATAAAAGCGTCAATATCTGGGTTGTCTTCTGGTATGGAGATAGCGCGAATGGTCAAGAGTTGATTATTGGTAGTAATCGACTGCAGGCCATTGTTTGCCTCTTCTCGAAAAGAAGCACAGACTAGCATCTTTAGCTTCACCTGGATCTTCCTGATTGCCTGCACTAACGTCTCTTTCTCCTCATCATCGCATTCGCCTAGGCCATCAAGCACAAAGTACACTCTTTTATCAGCGGGAAAGCCTTGAAGAAGCATTCCAAGCACCTTCTCAGTATCGCCTATATTGTGAGTGTTTTCGCAACTCTTAGCAAGTACGCCAAGGTCTGGAACAGTACGTAGAAGCTGTCGTGCCAGAGAACCGATGATCGTCCGTGCCTGGAGACTTTCTGGAATGTCATGTTTGCAAAAAAAGTACGCCACCAAGGGTGGGTCCTTAGCAGAGAGGCTAAGGTCATCCACGATATTGGCTAGCAATACCGACTTTCCCGAGCCCAATTTGCCTACATACAACAGTGTGCTAGAATACGAGCTATCCCTCCACTCTCGATACTCTGCTTGCTGTCTATAGAAGGACATATTACCGGCCTTTCGAATTTGCTTCCACGTTACTTGATAATCGTACGTAGAGCAAAAGTTGAGTACCCGCGCGTTAACTGCAAGTCTCTGCTGATAGGAAGTAGACTTGAACATTTGCCTCGTCAAAGCTCTGAGAGTGGAGTTTTCTTGAGCTTCATTTATGCCCATCTGCTCTTTGATAGAATTTGCCCACTTATGAAGATCTGTCTGGAAGGTCTTCAAGTGCGCATCGCTTAGCGAGGACGCAAATTGCTGCATAGCTGATTTTTGTCCGAACTTGAACAGGTAATGACATAGGCCAACTACGACGATGAAGTACTCAGAGAGGTTTGATTGTAGCTCCGAGGACCGAGGGTATAGTAGGGCAATTGCTTGGTAGCGTGGGGCAGAACGGCCGACATCCATGAATAGCGAGGACAGCTTATCGATGTAGTTCGAAAGGTTCACAATCGACTGCGACGTATCAGCAACTGACAACGACAATGATGCAAGAGAAGAGGACACTGACCAACAATGACATGCGTACCAATGACCACACGCCACATGCTAGCAAGTTTTGCGATCCTCCAACCATGATGTCTCCAAGAGTCGCGAACTGCTGGACTCCATGAAGGAAATTGGTAAACCGAGGCCCAAAACAGGCATTGCTAAACTTCTTCGATGTGTGACGATCAACCTCAGCCGTTAGCTGCATAACTTCACGTAGGCTGGGTATTGTTAAGAGCGACTGCGACCTGATCGTTTGGAATGTCGACTTTTGCTCATGTGAAAGGTCGGCTTCAAACTCTGAAACAGCCTGAGCGAGGCGTATCTCAGGCCTCAAGGGCGAGGCTTTCGCCAGAGCGCTAGACATAACTACTGCTAGACAGCTGCATTACAGCGCACTGTAGCGCAATTGTACATCGACGCTCTCCTCCCGTTTTGTAAATAAGAGTCGTCTTGTGTGTAGGGAGAAGAGGTTAATTGAGTGGTCCTCGAAACTGCTCTACTTGCACCAGGGTTGTTGGAGACTAGGTTCAAAACAGCGACTAGGTAGCCAGTATCTGAGGGTTTAGACTGTGGTAGAGGCGAAAAAAAATGCGTAACGAAGTGGGAACAAGAAGGAAAGAATACCTACGATCAGGCTGAAGACAATTAAGGTGTTGCACACCAAGCTGAACGTGGCTGCGCATCTTAGCCGCCGCCCCACTGGTGCGGCGCGGTCGTGTAATCTTGTTAAGGTCAGGTCTGAACACCAAAGATCTAGTCACACTATAATGTGTGATAAGTGGTGTGCATGCAGGCTCGATAATCATTGCACAACCCGAAATACTGAAGCGTGTTGACGGTGGATACTTTTGAATGCCGTAGAAGGCCCATTTGCGCTGAATCATCTTGAGCTGCCGCTTGCGTGATAAGTACCCTTAGCAAGCGGAGAGACTCCTGTCCCTAGGCTTACGCCATGCGCACATTGCATGGTCGTCTCCACAACTAGAGTGTCTCTTCATTGCTACATGTTCTGTAGTTAGTCAAAACATTGAGCATCCATAACGAGTGAGGTAACGCAGCACGATCCGTTTCGTCGAAGGGTAGACCGGACGTAAGCGCCCAGGGTACCTTGCATAATCACGTACTACGTAGAGCATCTAGGGACCAATCAACCCACTACTCCATATATATACAAGCTCAGATCACAGACCACTTGGTCATCAGGTCAATACACACCACACACCGTTCATTTTCACGGTGTATTCAAAGCATCGCCTACGTCAATAGCCTCATCTTCGCAAACGATGCGGATAAAGACAATATCGACCAAGCGCAGTGCAAATACTACGCAGTTGATCTGAGACTTCGCGGAAGACCGCGGACAACTTCAGAAGAGCTCTTATAGGTTACTACATAACTTCACAATATAAGAGTAGCTATTAGACACACCAACGAATATCTTAAAGCCTCTAAGATGGCAATTGCTGTCGTGACAGAAAGAGAGACAGAGGTAGGTCGTAGTTATAGTACACGATGCTGTACAAATCTTCTTTATAGATTCAATCAAGGCTGCTGTAATTCTGCTTGCTGATATTCAGGGTGAGTTTTGTTATCTAATAAGTGTACCAATGCATCTGATTGAGCTTGATGAACTGGTAGGCTGCTGATTGGTGTTGCTTGAATATTTTCATGATTCTGCGCGGTGGGATGTTTCAAGTACCCGCGGGGAGGGAGGTTAGGCCTTGCCATTGGTGCAGACTCGCATGCACTGTACCCTTCGCATGAATCTTTGTGCGCTCATAAAAACTCTGCGCTAATTTCTCGCGGTGATTTTGCATCAACTCCACTCAACATGGACCAAATGAACGCCTCGATACCCATCAACGGGGGCGATCACTCCGAAGAAGGCTCAACAATTTCACTCGCAGAAGACACCCTCCTCAGTGCATATGACAACAACCTTGAACTGGTTTGCGGCAATATTTCTGACAGCAGTCCTTCATGCCTGCCTTTAGCAGCCCTGCATATGAAGGGTTCAGCGACGGGAACGTGAATCTGGAGGACCTGCAAGAGCTTATCAACCTTAGACACCAAGAATGGGCAGGAACAAGAGTGGTTATGCCCAAAGAAGATCCCCTCGTTCCCATGGCTGTAGCCACCAATATCCACAACACTAGTCCTCTAGCCTGCTTCTCCACAAAGCCGAACTGGCAACATACGAACTTGGTCTCACATCTAGAGAAAGCAGCGGAGCAGTATCAATCATGCACGGGCGGCGCAAAGGAAGATGGAATTTCTCGAGCACAGGAAATGAGTGTTGAAGATGATCTCCGTTTACAAGGGTTGCCATTCAAATACCCGACCGAGAGTGAGTTTTATGGTATACAAGCAAATGACAATCATCTCGTGCGGGCTTCTCGAGGCGTACATCAATCATCTCAAGATGGTTTGTGTTTTAGTAGCAATATGGAGAGATGACATTATGGGTAGGTCTAGAGGAACCTGAGGTCATGGACTCGGTTGGTAGTGCAAAGAAGGATATGGAATATGGGTAATAGAGGATGAGATTCATGATTATTGCTGATAAAGGAATGCCTGTTTACTACCCACATAATAGACATCACTCTAGACCATGCAAAATTCCAAGGGTTATTACTTGGGAATCATCAAAGTGATCAAGTGATAATCTTTCAACATCTAAAAGATGCAGAGCATATACTTAGCGGATGGCAGGGAGAGGGCATACTAGCTCACTTTAATGTTATTGGATAAAGGACACAAGCTATTGAGGCTCAAAAGCTCTCTAAGGCGTCACATAACAATAGCTGAACAAGGAAAAGTGAGTGTGACGTAGGTGAGAAGTGAACCAGAGTGAAGACGAAAACGAGCAGCGCTCACTGCCGGATGGACAAACGAACCAAGTTGCCTGCCTATTATTCCTCGCCCTAGAGCGTTCAAACCCTTCAGCAACAATCAAACTAACTCTACTTTGTATTGTGCCGATTGAGCACCCGTGTTGATACTTTCACAGCAAAGAGTGCATGCAACGGCGCGTCGCATACAAACACGCAATCACGAGGTAACAAGTTGCCCCGCTACGCCACTGGAGACAATTCCCCACTCCCAACCAAGGGCCGGAACATCAAGCGGTTACGCGCTCGCTTTCATTACCATGGGCTCGGCGGGAGACGACCTAAGAAAGTATTTAATTATACCATCCGCATCACTTGACACTTCACACTCACTATCCTCAAATCCAGTACTGCCCTATACTAAGACAAACCCACAGTCGTCTATCTGTACTTTCGCAACATCCGAGGAATACGATAGTTTAACAACCCGCGGTAGTACCGGCAAGGCTGAAGAATTCAACATGGAGATTGACACGCCAACACAACTTCCCATGTTCAATTCTGCGCATACTGAGCAGAAGCTGATGCCTCGTGCAGCTCCGCCCACAGGTATCCTAAGTATGGATGACTTCATGAAGCAGAATCAGGATGAGCACCAGGCGCAACGTGAGGCGAGATATGCCACTGCTGGTCCTCCAACAAGGAAGCCAAAGACAAGTGAAAATGCGACGCCGCTCACCCCAGTTGCGGTTGGTGCTCGGTCATCCAAGCACACGATACTTTTGCATGAAAAGTATCAAGCCCTTGGTATCCCGCAACCGCTGTTCACTTATGAGGGGAGCAGCAGCTCAAGCTGGGCTGCCAGAGTTAGCTTTCCTGGTCTCGAAAATGTCGAGGAACTGCAAGGGCTGAGTGGGGATAAGGGATGCAACAGCAAGCAGGAGGCCAAGGAAGCGTTGAGTGAGAAAGCGCTGGCAGTGTTGGAAGAGATGGAGAGGCAGGGTAGAGTGAAGAAGGTTGAGAAGAATCGGAAGAAGAGTGTGGGAGGGCAGCTAGAGCAGCAGCAGAGCCTAGGGGAGAAGGAGCCAGTAGAAAACTATGTCGGCAAGCTACTTGGTATGTATACATTATTCGTCTGTTTGAGATGTTGTGCATCACAACTAACTCCCCCCCACCCAGAATACCAACGCGCAACCTCCGGCCCCCAACCAACCTACAACGACTACCAATCCGGCACTCAGTTCGCCTGCCTGCTAACCCTCGAAGGCCACCCTCACCCCTTCGGCACCCTAACCTCTCTCTTCTCCTCGAAAAAAGCCGCCCGTCAAGACGCCGCCCGCCACGCCGTCGAGCACTTCAAAGCCCTGGGCACCTGGCCCCAAGACACGCCCATCGGCGGCATCAAGAAGAAGAAGAAAGCCCAACAACCTTTCCCCCCTCCATCATCTTCTTCTTCTCCCCCCTCCTCCTCCTCGGTCCTGTCCCCCATCCAACCCCCCTTTCCAAACCAAACTCCCACTGTTATTGCTATTGGCACTGGTACTACCAGCTTCGCCCAACGCGTCGCCACCCTCGCCGCCACCCTCGCCCTCCCTACCCCAGAATGGAAATACGTCTCCCACCCTTCCGACCCAAACTTCCATTCTGTCGCGTGTTTCTTCCGCGGTGCGGGTCCCCATGAGGGACCGATTGGCGAGGTGCGGAATGTGTTTGGGAAGAAGAAGGCCAAGGAGGAATGTGCGAGGCTGACGTTGGAGTATTTGCTTGATGTTAGGGAGAAGAGGAGGGCGTATGGGGCGAGGATGATGGCGGGGGTGGAGAGTGGGGAGAGTGAGGATGAGTTTGTTGATGCGGAGGAGGGGAGTTTGATTTGAGGTTAGTGGTGGGATAAGAGGATGTATGCTTTTGTAGGTTTAGGTAACATTGCTTCTGGAATGTCCAAGGGTAGAGCAACAGAAGATTGAAATGATAAGGTTGATTGCTCGAGCGCAGAGAAGTCTAGACATGAAGTGTTTGGTGACAGTAGTAGTAGTAGTGCAAGTGGGGGTATAAATCTCATGATACTAACACTTAAACACAACCCCGGGTAACAAAAGTCAATACAGACACACATATTCCCCGACTATCTCACTCGACATGTCGCTTGCCTACCCCACTCTCCAAAAAAAAGAGAGAGAGAGCCAAGAAAGTAAGAAAGAAGTCAAGACCTCAGCATCCAACGATGCATCGAAGAAAGAAAACGAACCATCCAGCCCAAACGCTCATCTAAGAAACCAAGTCATTTTTGGTAATCAGTAGGTCTCTTTCTCCCCAGAGAAAAGTCCCTATTCCGTACACCATGATAAGATACTCCACAGCACCCCAAGTTCCCCTCTTTTGCCAACATAAAAAAAAGACACTTTTTAATGCCATGACGACTACCCCAAAAAAAGGACAATGACAACGACAACACAAGACTTAGGAAGAATCGGCCTTTCTCTTAGAACGATCGCGCTTCTTCTCTTTACCAGCCTTTTCAGCCTTTTCTAGAGCGGCATTCTCCTTGTCGCCGTCAGCCTCGGTGTTACGGGTGCTGCGGCTGGACTTTGTCTTCTTCTTAGTGGTGACAATTTCCTCAGGGGCAGGCTCGTCTTCGTGAGAAGAGGCGGGGGCGGGGGCGATAGGCTGGGGCGCGGCCTTTTCCTTCTTCTTCTTGGTGTCCTTCTTCACAGGTGTTTCAGCAGCTGCGGTGGTGGTAGGAGCAGGAGCTGGGGCTTGTGATGCACGTGCATTGGGGAGGGGAACGGGAGTCGAGTTTGTGGCAGCGGGGGCAATGGGAATAGGAGCAGAGTTGCCATTGACGGCGGGAGTCGTCTTCTGGCGCTTGCGTGGGGTCTTTGCGGGTGGAGAGGGAGCTTTGGCGGGCGCCTCTTCCTCGTCCTCTGAAGAAGCATCAGAATCAGCAGCACCAACTTCAGCTTCAATGTCGGCATCGTCTGAACCTTCGTCCTCTTCGACCAGCTCAGTAGCCTTGATGCCCTTGTTGGCAATGTACTCGGCCAGCTCGGCCTTGTACTCTTCCATTGAGTTGCGGTAGGACGCCTTCCATTGCTGCGGAATGATTAGCACAAGATGAGGAATTGTGTTGCGCCAGAAAGACTAACCTCCTTCTCCTCTTCGGGAAGCTCATTCCAGCGCTTGTTTACCTCGAGCTGAACAGCATTCTTCTCAATCTGACCGCCCGGAGGAAGGGCAGCCTCGAGATCAGCCTTGACGATGGGACGGGCATGCTGGTGGTAGAGGAAAGCAGCGGTGAGGGGCTTCTTGGGGGCATTGGGGTCCTTTTCCTTCTTTTCGCGCTTGCGCTTCTTGCCCTTGCTGGCCTCGGCGGACTTGTCGACGGGAGCAAGGACCTGCTTTGTCTCGTCAACAGCGTTCCTCCCAGCTTCCATGACAGAGGCAGCAACGGCAGCTACATCATTGAAAGGGGGAATCTCGCCCTCTTCGCCGCCGAGGACAGAAGCGCAATGCTTGCGGTAGTTTGTCAAGAGGTCGGTAATACCGTGCTGGACGTGGATAAGACCCGCCTGAAGGTTGTGGAGCGAGGCAATGACCTGGCCATGATAGTAAGCTTTTGAGTCATGGTTGGCGACGGCCATTTTGTCTGCGCTCCATGATTTGGGTGGTGTAGGGCGGGCTGGGGGAGTCGCGACAGGTTGCGACAAGGGTGCAGGTTTTGGCAGAAGCGCGGGGAGGGATGATGGCAAAGCGGGCATTTCCAGGTCGCGTAGACGAGGCGACTGGAATGATGGCAGTGGACAGGAGGAGAGAAGGGTGGGTGGTGCGGTGGTGGGCGTTGTGTGTGGGGGACGGGCGGTGTCATTGGCGACGGGGCAGGTGAGGGCAGGCGCGTCGCGGGTTGAGAAAAACAAGAGTTGAAGGGCGTAGAACATACCGAGTCGCGCGTCTTTTTGTACTCTGCCGTGGAAATCATGAGGTCGCCCGTGGCCTCCTTCTTCTTTGCGGGGGGCGCCATGGTGTGGGTGAATGTGCGGGCTGGAATGGCGCGTTGGGGGGGGGGATGAGGATGAGGATGATGGGGTGGGTGGTGGTTGAGGGGGGAAGCTGGGAGAGCTGGGAGAGCTGAGAGGGCGGGTCGGGACTTTGGCGAGGAAAAGGGCGGGCAGTTGGGGAGGCATGGGCTTAAGTGACAGGCGGCCCTCGCTAACCCGTGGCCTGCATTCGCGCTGTTCGGCCGCCCGCCCGCCGCCCATCCGCCGCCCATTTGCTGTATGGATGGCTGGTATGCACTGCCAGTAACGCCGCCGCCCCGCCCCCCCCCCAAAGCACACACTCGCCCTGTTAACTGTTAACTTTGTTCCTTTTCGCCCGCAACTTGCGCGACGCGTGCTTGTCTGTTATCTATCTCGTATGCGCTGCAGCTTCTTCTTCTTCTTCTTCTTCTTCATCATCATCATCACCACGCCGCTGCCCTTGACTGTATCCACTGCGAAATAAAGGAGTTTTCTCTTTTTAGGTGATCCTTTTGCGCATTCAAACAGCAATATTAATGAATAACTTACCCACCTCCCACTGCGCGTAATTACCCAGTCCTTGTTCTGTTGTGCACTGCATCCCTCGTCTGCCCGCCCTTGTGCAGCCAAGTCGCCCTTGAGCCGCCCAGCCAGCCAGCGCTGCTCTGCCTGCCTGCCACAGCCCCTGCCGCCCACCTCCCTTCGGCGCCTGTCGGCCGCCCAGTGCTCACCTACACGCCCCGTCCTTTTGCAACCATCTGCCCAAACAGCGCCCTGCCTCTTGCTCTGTCCCCTGGTTTTGGCCCACACTCGTAAGCTAAAGATACAACATGCCGACATCACGCACATTTTTCTGCTTCATCATACTACCCGCAGCTTCTCAACAGCAACCACTCAGTGCGACCATGATCAAGTCGACATGTTGAATTCATTTCTCTACTCTTCAAATCTACCGCCTTCGCTAACATCAGGGTATACATCGAATCGCCTCTGTCCATATAGCGGCACCCCCTTCCGAACCTCCTCAATCTTGCCCGCCTCCAGCTCCTGCATCAGCACGCCCTCCTTCTCGTCCAGCTGCTCCATGACCTGCGCATTCGGATCCACCACCATGCTGTGGCCCCAAGCATTATACTCGGCCTCCATGTTCCGCGCCGGACTGCACAGTCCCACATAGACCTGGTTGTCCGTCGCCCGCGCTCTCGCTAGCAACTCCCAGTGGAGCGGTCCAGTCGTCAGGTTGAACGCGCCGGGATACAGTAGCAGAAACGCCCCCTTTCGCGCCGCAATCGTAGCCAGCTCGGGAAACCGTATGTCGTAGCATATCGCAATCGCAATCTTGCCATACTCGGGCAGCTCCACCAGCGTAATCTTGTTGCCCGGTGACAGCACCTCGCTCTCCTTGAACCGAATCTTGCCAGGGATATCAATGTCGAACAAATGAACCTTGCGATGCGTCGCAATCAGCTCCCCGCTCGGCGCAAACGTCAGACTCGTGTTGTACAGCTTCTTCGAGTCATGCTCATCGCGCTCCGGTATGCTTCCTCCCACCAAGTACACCCCCGCATCGCGCGCCAGTTTTGACAGCGCGTGGAACGTTTGCGATTGCGACTCTGGTGGTGGCGACGGCCGCAGTGTCTCCGCGTACTTGTCAAAATACTTTGTTCCGTATGGCGAGTTGAAGCATTCCGGCAGCACCACCAGCTTCGCCCCCGCCTTTGACGCCTCGAGCACTTTTTGCCGCGCAGACGTTAGGTTTGCTGCCTTGTCCGCCCCCGACGCCAGCTGGATCAGCGCGAGCTTTAGCGACTTTTTCAGAATCGACGTCATTCTGCTCGATGGCCACAAGTTAGGAAATGCAAAGAGAAAAGGAAACAACAGATAGCGGGGCTCAGGTCTATGCACAAACCGCTCGTGTAGGATCTGCTAGTCATACCCTCGTGTGCTTTAAACCCAGCTGTTGGAGGCGTTGGAGTAGCTATGGGGTGGGGTAAGTAGTCTGCAGTGGGGCTGACGATGTCATTGCTCGTACTTGCGCCATTTCGGATCAAACCCGCCAAGCCTATATGCAGGGCATGGAACTACTGGGTTAGGGTATGCCATGTTGGGATCCAACCAGAAGTAAGTCGTGTGCGTGAAACTAGTTTGAAATGTGCACATATTATGGATTAACTGTCTAACTATTTTCCCCATCTTTTTTTTTGCTACATTCATGCAGTGTCCTTCAACGTATCGTCCACTGTCTCTGTCACTTGAACCTCGTGGCTCTTTTCCAGTTCGGAGAGGATAATCCATGTGGGGAAGACACACAGCACCGTGATGCCAAAGTTGAGTCCAATGCTGACAAAGTGGTTGGCGCCGCCTTCGGATTGCATACTGTTGTACATGTTAGCATTGTCATGTAAAATCATTGCAGGAAAAACTTACGCCCAAGCAACAGTCTGACCCAGTGCCTCGACACCCCTCAGAATACCAGTGAGATGGCTCAGGTTGGAAAGATCCGTAGCGTACTGTCCAACGAGCCAGTACAGAAACTGCTGGAATGCCTGACCGCCAAACTGCCAGAAGAAGACGAGTGCATAGCTCTTTCCAAAGCCGCCCTTGAACCAGTCAAATACGGGGGCCTCGGGGGCATCGTAAAACTGCTTCTGCAGGATAGTCGCCCAGATCCACGTTCCGATGAGAATGGTAATGATGGCGCAAAACGCAATGCGGCCACGCGTCTTGATGTGAATCTTTTGGTTGTCGAGCAAGAACGCAATGATGAAGGACGAGAAGATTCCAGCAAAGTTTGTGAAGAAGCTGGAGAAGGCGCGCGAGCGGACGGTGAAGTAGGTGGTGAGCCAGGTGCTCAGGAAGCCGTTGTAGAAGTAGCTGATGAAAAAGGCAGGTAGCAGCAGCAAGATACGTCGGCTGATGAATAGCTTGCCTACCGCCTTGAACTCTGCTCCCCACGTAGCTGCACGCTCAACCACAATCCGCGTACCATCGCGTCGCCACACCTTTTCTGCTGGGCTGAGGCATAGAGCCACTGGCAGACCCAGACACATGATGACGATGAAGACAATATACGTCGTCGACGATACCGAGCCCACAGTCTTCCTGTTTGCGTTCAAGCCCAGGTTGATGGATCCACCGACAATCGGTCCCAGCGCCTTTGCCGTCTGCCAGACAGCCAGGTAGAAGGCGCGGTCGCCCGGTGACGGGTATCCGATGATGATAGCGGCCTCCGCAGCCCAGAAGAATCCCGCACTGATTCCACAGAGCGCAGATCCAAACAGCATAAACCAGGTATTCGCCGACACATTGTTGGTGTACAGTCCAGCGCCATACAGCGGATATCCGATAGCTCCCAGCGCAAGTCCATATTTGAGTCCAATCCGGTTGTTAATCGCTCCGGCGGCAACACACACAATGGCAAAGAGTCCGTACACCAGGGCATTGGCAGCGGAAACAGCGTAGGGTTCTGCAGCTCCTCCGGCGCCCAGTCCTCCAAGCGCATCCCACATGCCCGGCGCCGTAAACGAGACTCCACATGCCACGAGGATCTGGAATGGGACCGACCGGAAAAGGGGACCAGACCCCTTGGGGCTGGACAGCGACGATGCAGAGGACATTGTCGGTTGGAAGTGTGGGGGAGGAGAGGATTAAGGGGAAAAAAAGGTGGTGAATGAATGGACAAGACAACTAGATGGACATGGGGATTCAAGTATATATATATACATGTATATATACATAAAGTATAAAGTACGTAAAGAAAACTTTCATCCCATCCACCCAACTGTTGAGACAAAGTCCATTTCCGTCCCTTGGCAAGTCTAGAAACTCCCTCCCTCCTTCCCCCCAATTTTTTTTCGCATTGGCCACAAGAAAAAAAAAGGGCTCCAAGTGCGCGTTCCGGGTTTGCGGCTCAAAACCCTCGATGATTGTTTTACAATGGGGCAAAAGCACGACATCTGCGCTAGCAACAAAGTTAAGTTGGCGAGGGGGGGGGGGAAGGAAAAAAATCCCTCCACACCTACGACACGTAAATCACGCCCGCGCCCCCTGGATCTTACTCGCGTTCAAGCCTCTTTTCTCATACAAACTCCAATATCTGGCTTGGACTTGATGAAATGAAAAAAAATTTGCTGTGGCTTGTTCGCATGGAACCGCTTTTTGTCGGGTTATGGGGTTACATGGGGGGGAAGGGGAGGAGATTCGGAATTTAAGGCCCCAAGCACGTTATTTTTCTTGGGGGTTGGCCAGATTCGGAATCCTACAAATGTATACATGTGTACAGCTTTTGTCAGCATGTATATGCAGGTAAGAGGGCTGCGTGGTGGGTTGTGAAGGAGGGATTGGGTCGCGGGTTGATGGTGTACTTGGGTTTTACGTTAGTGTTTGCTCCAAGTAGTAGACGTGGGTAATGTCTGTTAACAATAATATATCCTCACCACCTTCCTGTTTCTTGGGTTTCTGGTTTGTAATATGGACTGGGGCTCTCTGGTATACTTGCTGGGTTGTCGTTGGAACAAGACTTTTTAGAGTAAAATAAAATAAGAAAAGGAGTACATTGGCAATTATGTCTCTCTGCTTCTTACATTAATGCAATGATTTATTTCAAGAAAAGATTCGCACATTAGCATATGTGGTTAGTAGAAAATAACAGAGTACTTTTACTGTTACACTCGGTCCAAAATAACTAATATCTAGCAAAAACAGAGGTAATAGTCCTTAGTTAACTTAGGGCCGCCAAGAATGCCCAACCTCGTCCACGTGACCGAGTCTTTTCAGATTTTCGTTCCTTAAGACGTCGTTTTTCCCAATTTTTTTCGCGAATTTGAGTACCTCTTTTTAAATAACGGGTACATACGACCATAGAAAACTGAAATTTAGGCATCCCGTCCGATCTGCCCTATACAAGCAGTTTATCGGCGGATTAGTAGTCAGGTGGGTGACCACTGGCGAATCCCCGCTGTCGTATGTTTTTGGAAAAGTTTTCTCCATTTTTTCTTTTCTTCTTTTTTTGCTTCGGCACGTGACATATCTTGGCATCCGGGGGATGGTTTTTCCAGACGCTAGAACATTTCCTCACTATGCCCAACCAGTGCTCACTATTCCCACACCACCAAATACGGCCCACGGTTCCTAGTGCATCCGACCCATTTTTGGACAGATGTAGCTGGGGTTGCAATAAAGAGAATAGTAAGCCTGCAGCTGCTAATACTACCTAGTACCCCAATTCCACTAGCTACCCCACGAATGGTCTCGTCTAGTGTTCTCCTACTCACTCGTTGTCACCAAGCAGCATGCGCGTAGTAATATTTTGGTTACAGTTATCAATGACCAGCAATCCAATCTGTTACAGTACAAGACACTCTGCAGCAATTTTCTTTCAAACCTGCATATATGTTTCATTTTTCAACATCTACATACGGATCTAACAGTTCCTCGAACATCCAAAAGGAAACGGCAAGACTGCAGGACTTTTATATCCTCCCTCGGCTACGCTCCTCACTCCAAAAATCACATTGTCTTTGTGAATGGTAGCAGAGGTAAGATTGTACCAGGTCACATTACCAACGTCAATGACATTTGTCCAATGTGCCTCACTTGTCTCACGGTACAGGATTTCATACCCTCGAACAGGTAGACCTTCAGGCGCAGTCCACCTGAACTGACTAAAGTTGTCAGACGAAGTGGTGTTGATGCCAACGTTTGTGGGTACACCGGGTGCGTTTGCAAGACTCCACATGGTGCTTGCGACAACCTTTGCTGCGCGAGTGTTGTATTCAAAGTCTAGCCACTCGACCAAGTCACCATATTGCTTGCCGTTGCGTACAGTGACGTTTTGGTGCTGTTGAGTGTAGTCCTCGTTTGGCTGGACAAAGCGTACGCCCGTATAGCCCGCTTCGAGAAAAGGGCGATGGTCGCCTCCGCGACTATATCGATCCAGACGATAAATGAGACGGACAGTCATCTCGGTCCAAGAATTGGACGCGACTTCGTAAATGTGTCGACCGAGGTTACGCGCCGGGCTATCGTTCTCACCGCCAATGCTAAGACGCGACCTAGTCCGTGTAGCGTTTTCCGTCAAGGGCGTGCCTTCGCAAAAGAGACGAATATTGTAAGGATCGACAGTGCCATCCTCGGCTTTGGAGTTGCCTACCATATCAAGGTTAATCATGCCGGCAACATTGACAGAGGCATTCTTGTAGGTCTGTGCTAAATTTTCCGCGCCGAGGAGGCCTTGCTCCTCACCTGCAAAGGCAGTGAATACAATAGTCGACCTGGGTTTGTAGTGCGCAAAGATGCGGGCGAGCTCTAGGGAGACGGCAACTCCAGATGCATCGTCGACAGCACCTGGAGCATCTCCCTGGTAGTCGATAGGATCGCTATTGCGGGAGTCGTAGTGTCCACCAGTAACATATAACCTGTCTGGGTCCTCGCTTCCCTTTAGTGTCGCAACCACCGTGGTAATGTTGACTGGGAAGATGATTCGCTCATTGTCACCAGGGTACTTGATGAAGCTATTCCAGTCAACAGTCATCCTCCCCTCACTTGCATCGGCCGCTTCTTGAAATCGTGCCGTCAGCCATGTCCTCGCTGCGCCTATGCCTCGGTTCGGATCAGTCTGACTCGACAGAGTATGGCGTGTGCCAAACGAAGCAAGCTTCCGAATGGTGGCTTCAATGTTGTCCCGGGATATTTGCGAGAGAATGTCCTGGAGCTCTTCACCGGGCAACTGCTGCTCTAGCGGCTTCCCCACGACTGGCGCTGGCCATTGCTCGGTGCTGGGAAATTGATGGGGATGGTGGGGGTGGATTGGTGTGGAGACGGCGCCTTGGAAGAGGGTTACTGCATAAACGATGAGGACCGAGGCCGACCACATGGTGAAGGACGGAAATTAAACTGGCAAAGTCTACCAAGTCCATTCATTCTCCATGTTGCTCGATTTATACATTGTCAGTGTCGCCATTCGACTCCCCACAAGAGCCATTCGCCTCCGGTATCGCCATTTTTTCTCGTCACTGAACAAGATATCGCAATCGAAAAGACGCGAATTTAGCTTTGGTAGCGGGGGACGATGTAGATCTGTGTTGTATGGGGAAGCTCGTAATGCTACCAAGGCGCCAAATGGGGACCGGGGTAAACGTCGGCAATCGATTGCAGCCTTGCCAGAGTCTTTGCTTGGCAACGGCAGCTGTGAGATACGGCTGTTTCCGTCAACTGCCGAAGAAGTACCATTGGAACTGACAACAAGTAGGCTCGAGCTTGCAAGACGGTTAGACATCGAGTCGTGCACAATATGGATGCCGCCGATGGTTCCTGAGGTAATTTGACTATGCTCGGTAATAAACACTGCAACTTGCATGCTTACTTGAAACCGTGCATAGAGTACATGTGTGTCTAGCATGAAGCGTGGCTCACACAAGGCTGGGTGATTGGATCTACAGTCTTCACACGCACACCAGGCAATGCGACTCTAACCAGAAGCAAATAGGAAGGTAGTGACAGACCTTGGCATGACGTCAGGCGCCTAACAGGTACACGGCACACAACCCAACACATAACTAACACACAATACACAACTCTGCACAACGTTAACCCCCCCCCCCCCAAGCAGTTGTCAAGTCAACATCTCGTGGTACTCGGCGAGAAAACTCTTTCCTCTTATGCTGTTGTTTAAGTGATACGAGAGAAGAAAGATGGCACAGCACAGCCCTCACAACTCACTCTCCATTTGATAATAGCCCATGGCTGCGGCCCCCATACGCATGACTTGTTCTCATCTCGGCCCGACCAATGGCAGAGTAACCCAATTTCCACACTGCGCACCACTAGTTCGCGCTCTTTCAACTGGTTTTGAGTTTGTTTAGGCAGTGCCCTCCATAACCACGTGTGCGGTTCCTGGGGCTTGCTAACGCGAACAAGAAGGTCGAGCGTACAGCATCACTGCATCCTTAAGCAGATCCCGGAAGCAGGAACCCACAAGAAAGGCCCGGTGCGCCATCCTGCACATCAATATACACGCCGGAGATCAGATGAACAACCACTGGTCAACGTGAACTATGCTCCTCTACCCATTGGACGCCAAACCGTTTGCTGACCAGGGGGCTAGTGTGCATCAACGGACATGAAGACTGTAATAGTAGTTCAAAAGAGGAGTTGAGAATCGATGACAATGGAGTTGGACGCATGTGGAAAGAGGCTGGGCAGCGGTAACCGATCGTATACGACCACGATGGGACACTGGCCATGACAAACGAGTCAGCCACCAGGTACAAAAGGCGACATGTGGTAGCAGTAAATCTTGAATCACCGCAGCACATCAACTCTTCTCTTCAGCTACCAAGAAGATTCATTCGCTTTTTCTTCTTCTATTCTTACATCCAATATCATTCATCATGAAGACCTGCGCTCCCTCTCTCCTCGCTCTCGCGGCACTCGCCTCGACTGCGTTCGCCGCCCCAACACCCGCCAAGGACTACGCCTTCCCCATCACCGACATCATTGACACGGGTCTCACTGTCGAAGAGTACGCTGCAAAGCTCTCCAGTGAAGATGTCGAGACTCGCGATCTTGCCAAGCGTCAATACAACAGTGACACCTACAACCAGCTCACCGATGGTACCGCTTGCCGCCCCATCTCCCTCATCTGGGCCCGTGGTACCAGCTCGCCCGGAAACGTTGGTGCAGCCGGTACTGAGGGTCCCGTCTTCTTCAATGCCGTTGCCGCCCGTGTAGGAGGAACCGGCCAATTGGCCATCCAGGGCGTCAACTACGCCGCCAACGTCCTCGGCTTCTTGGCCGGAGGTGATGCCGCAGGTGCTACTACCATGTTCAACCTGATCAACCAGGTAAGTTTCCCATGTAACTCTTGATATATATATACCGCAACTCGTCGCTCACGCATCTCTTATAGACTGCCTCGCGCTGCCCCAACACCAAGATTGTCGTCTCAGGCTACTCTCAGGGCGCCCAGCTCGTCCACACCGCTACCCAGCGCCTCACTGCCGCCCAGGCTGCGCGCGTCTCCGCCGTTGTGACATTCGGCGATGCAGACCGCGACGAGTCGTTTGGCGTGCTTCCCGCCTCCAAGACGCTCATCATCTGCCACGAGGGCGACAACATCTGCGACAACGGCATCATCATCACACCCGAGCACAGCAACTATGAGCAGGATGCTCCTCAGGCGGCTGCATTTGTTGCTGCTCGTGTTTTGTAATTGATGGAATGAAAAATGAAGAGGGTTTATTGACTGATGAGGAAATGATGGGGATAACAATACCAACGTTTTTGTTGGGTTTGTTTTGCGCGAGGGAAAATTACTATTCGCTGTTTATACATTTGAATTGATATTGAATTATTTCTTTTTTTTTCATATATATATATATATGTGTGTGTGCGTGTTTGTGTGTGTCAAATCATCAGACTGTGTGATGCAATCTTGTCAAGAGCACACAGTTCGTCTGCGAAGGCATGGTTGTCACGAGTATCGTTTATCCTACATTATAGTATAGTATAGTATAGTGACTGGGTGTTGTATATTCTAGTCTTGGTATGAATAAGTTATTGTTCGTCCTGTCGTGTAAACAATCACATACTTTTTATTTGTACCTATCTAACTACAATGGGAAGTTGCAATCAGCGTGAATATGTGTTTGGGACCCTGCATATATGTGACTAGACTAGTTGCAGCCAATGGCGGGGAGATGCGCAAGCACGTGTGTGTGTGTGTGCGTTAGTTTGTATACGCGATGACTGTATATCATAGTGTGTGTGTGATGCGTGTGGTTTGTTTATTGGATATAGAAAATGGTGAGCACGCCCAGTCATAATATTTGCAGGATACGGAACTTGTTGTGAAAGTCTTATTCAAGATAACGGTGTGAATCTTGATTGAAGATGCCCACAGGTGGGAAGGTTTTCGAATCGTTGCTAGAATATATAATGGTTGGTCAAATCCAGTATTTGTTGTCAAACCGCCGTATCCGAGCTATTGGGATATAGTGCTCATGATATGTGTAATATGCTAAGTCCTTGGTCGTATCTGGCTGCGTATATTTTGTGTTAAGGTAAGATATGATAGTCATATTCAACTACAAGGATACATTTGCGCCTAAGCCTGGGGTGTGTGTGTGTGTGTGTGTGTGCTTATATAGGAGATGGATCGGTTATGATATAACCTATACTCTCTCACTATAGCCTTCTGCTTTTGTTATGCTAACCCGGTTGCAAGCTTGGATTGAATCGGGGAATAAACAAAAGCAATACTTTTTACTAGTCAGGCGACAATGATTCAAGAAGACTTTTGTAATTAGCTACAACGAGTAATGGCTACTATAAAGGTTGTATTAGTATTGTATCAGTGGAGATAGTCCCGGAGTATAAGACCGAGTGAGGCGAATCAGGCACGGCCGACCCTATGCCGTCTTGGTTGGAAAGTTAGTTCCCAAGACCAGTAGGTAGCGGGAGAAGAATGGTATTCTTCAGAAATCTCACCAGATGTGGACTAAAAATACGAAGAAGAAAAGAAATGCATAGGCACGCACACACTGGTGAAAAGTGTCCGGACGGAAGACGGGGGTAATGGAAGTAAGTATGTACGACGGACGGACGGGCACCAAGAATAAACCGGCGACGGAACGGTAGGGCCGATCCTCGGCATGGGATTCCATGCTCTCCACACGGCGGGCATGGCACGGAGGCAGTATGTAAGTACCCACGGTCCACCAGTCAGGCAGGTAGGCAGACAGGCAGACGGGCAGACGTCTCTTCTTGAGGAGCCGTTTTGACCCCTTGCATCTTTTGTAGGGATGTTTTGTCTCAGTCAAGACGAGTCGGGCCCGGCTGCAGCGTCTACCAAGGAAAGGGTGATGCAGCAGTTGTCCAGCGCAAAGCTTGGCGTGCATAGGACCATGAGCGGTTTGGCGCAGGCGTGCAGGACAGAATGCAGCGTGCAGTGGAACACTGGGAGCTGGACCAGTCGTTCCTCGTGCATGCTTCGTCCCGCGGCATCCATGTCTCGAGGACTTGCTGCGGGCCCCGGAAAGACGGGCGGGACCTATGGCGAGGCTTTGTGCCCATGCGTGGTGAGAGAACAACTCAGCTGCCGCTTTTTTTTCCTTCTTTCTTCCTTTCTTTCTTTGCCGGGAGATGAAGAGATTGATTGCGGCAGGTTTATCGTGCCCTACCTGTCCTTTTTTTTCTTGTTCTTCTTCTTCTTGTTTGACAGCAACGCAGACGGGCCGTAGTGGGCTTGGGCTTGTTTTGTCGGTCGAGGGTCAAGCGGCAGGCTGCCATCGGGGGCCGATGGAGGCATCTAGTGTCGTGTGCTAAGTTTTCCGGCGAGGCGAATCAGTGGGCCAGGCGTGGGCGAAGAACAAAAAACTGGAGATGGGTCGGTGTGTGTGGGTGAGGCGCATGGCCGCTTCAGGGTCTGGTCTGGTCCCTGCTGCTCCTCAATGGGTGGCATTCTGCTACCATGTGCATGCACAATGAAATGGCGACAGCCAAACGTGCATGCGTTGGCGGTGAATGGCTATGGGTGTGAGTGTGCGTGTGGGCGTGAGCGTGAGCGTGTGAGAAGAACGTGGTTGCATGCGGCTTATACTTATGCCACCCAGCACCCCTTTGGCCTGTCGCCGACTCTGACTGTGTCTTTGGTCTTCTGGACATCGTGATCCTCGTGCTCGCCCTCCCTCTTCCTCGCTCCCCGTCTCGGTCTCGGACTCGTGGCTCGCCTCTTCGCCCCCCTTACCGGTTGTGTGGTCGTCGTGTTCCGGCCCACGGCAGCACGTCGCCATTGCATCGCCGTGCCGCATTCTCGTCACAAACGCCGCACTTGGCCCTTGGTATCCCGACCAAATTTCCCATCAGAAAAAGCCGGGGTGGTCGTCGTCTCCTTCTTGTGGCCCGCAGCGATCTGCAGCATAGCGTGCGGAGCAGCCATAAGACGCCGCAGCCCTTTGCCATCTCTCCTTCGCCTTACTACCTAGTATAGACGGATCTGCACACAGAAGCCTCGCGCCCATTCAAATCCTACCCCAATCCCCGTCTTTCCAGATCCAGCACTCGCAAGCGCAAGGGCTGTCGGCCAAAAGTCAGCTGGGCAGCTGTCAGGTACCCGGGGCACACGCTTATCCACGAAGCGTCTGACACTAGTGGGAGAGCTAGACAGGCGCAGAAACGTGGGCAGGTAGAGAGGCAAAACAGCGGTCACGCCCGAGGTCAGCATACACACACTGCGCCCTCACTCACACCAACAAGAGCAGTCAGGCCAGCAGAGAAGCGGCGGGTGAACAGGTCACGCCTCAGCAGTAGCAGTAGCAGTAGCAGCAGCAGCAGCAACAGCAACAGCGACGGAGACGACGTCGTCCCTCTATCCACCCTGATCCCGCTCTTTCTCACCCTCTCTCTCACCCTCTCTCTCTCTCAACACACCCACCCACTCACCCACGGACTTCCCCCGGCGCGCACCCTGCCACCGCCCGCAACAACACTTACCCACGCTTTCACCTCGCCTCCCTTCCTCACTCTCACACTCACACGGCGAGAACACAACACACCCAGCCGCATAACCAACACCCACCCACCCACACAACACACACACACACACACATCCACACCGCGACCATGCATCGCAAAAACCCCATCAGCGTGCTTGTCTACAACACGCTCTTCCCCACGCCCTCACCCACAGACCCGCCCTCCTTCTCCGCCCACCTCTCCAAGAACCTCGTCGGTGAGGTCCGCATCGAAACTGCAAACTTCTACGGCTCGCTCGACACAATCGAGGCACGCTACCCAGGTCTCAACTACGCCTTCCAACCGCACCGGAAACGTCTCGGCCGCTTCCCACACCACAGGCGCCTGTTCGAGGCCTTTGACAAACTCGGCTTGACAGAGGCAGAGATCCAGGGCTTCTGCCGGTGGGAAGGCACACTCTGGGCGCGCGAGCGATATGAGCGCGACGAAGGAGTACGTGTAGTCGATACGACGGGTGTGGAGATCGGCGCCTGGGTAGACCGGCGATCACATTATGCGCGGACAGGGCCCGGCATCAACATAAAGACGGACATTGAGGTTGAAATCGAGCAACTCCAGCACCAGCGCAGCGATCACAACGCCCGGCCATCATCATCAAATATCACCACCACTTCGGCGGCCCGGCCCTCCACACAGCACGACACTGAAATGCCGGATTCACCCACGACAACCACGTCGTCCAACGGCGGCAACTCGGAAGACGAAAACGAGCACGATTCCTCTGCGTCGTCGTCGGAAGAAGACGAAGAACTGCCCCATCTCAACTCCTCCATCGGCTTCTCTCTCAACGCCCGCCTCCTCCACGCCGCCGCCCTGCGCGAATCCAGCACAGCAGCCGGCTCCTCGCCCGCCGCAGCCCTCAGCAACATCCCCATGGACCCGGAGTGGGAGCAGTATCTCAAAGAGGCCTCTGAGCGCGGTGAGCTCAACATCGACGCTACTCGCGAGGCGCTACGGACCATGGCCGGCCAGATTGCGCAGCTCCACCAGAGCAGCGTCGAGGCCGAGGGCAGCGAAGCTATTACTCAGACGTTTCAGCCGCCTGCTGCGCCGTTGGCTTAGCATCGCCACAGTGCGCTTGACGGCGCGCTCGTCGATGCACTGCTTCTTATGTTTTGTATGAATTGAGAGAGAGAGAGCCAACTCTGAGAAAGAAAGAGAAAGAGAGAACTGTGTGGGGAAAGAAAAGAAGGGAAAGAGATGTTTTGTTGTGGCAAACTTCGAATCTCCTCTCCTCCTCCCTTGTTCTCCCCCAATCAAACCAACTGTTTTCGAAGCTGGACCAAGAAAGAGAGAGAGAGAGAGAGAAAGGACCGGTTATTTTTGTCAGAGTTGAACGATGTCGATGATTGTTTGTTTTATTGTTATTCCCCCCCTTTTTTGTTTCTCTACAAACTTCTTTTTCGTTTTTTTTCTCTTGTCACTCAAGTCACAACACACGGAATCTCATGTGTTCACACCTTTTTTGTGCCAGACGAGTGCCTACGTTCCTCCTCTTTCTTGCCACCATCCTCCACACTGGTTCCCCTTGTCTTTTTTTCTTTCTAGTTGTTTTCCCGCAACTTGCACACTGCATGGCGTTTTTGTTCTCTCCTGTTTGTTGTCCCTTGGTCTTTTCTTTTCTCTCTTCAGCTTTGTTCACATCATCTTCCCTGGGAGAAAGGGCAGGGCAGGGGCGTCTTTTGTAAGCTGTTTGTTTTCTGGTTCTGTTTTCCTCGGCAAAGGCAAGGGAAGGCGGGGGAGCAAAGGAAAGAATTGAGATGCACAAGTTGCATTTCGTGAGATATCCCACACTTGTACTGGGAGTTTTTTTTTGTCCTGTTCCTGTTCTTTTGTTGTCCCCTTGCCGTAGGGGGTAATGATCGGGAGTTTCCACTTGTGCGCGTGTTTTCTTTTTGTTTGGTCTGTTTGTTTGCTTGCTCGTGCTTCAATATAGATTTTGCTCGGATGCTCTGGGTGAGCAACGGGCGGGGAAGGGGAAAGGAAGGGGGAGGGGGGGAAATATAGGATGCTTGGGCACAGGCATAGCCACACAGTCATAATCAATCGGATTTCAATCCTTTCCAACCAACGTTGAAGCATGCCATCGTTATTCTCGTTATACTTTGTCGACCCCTCTTGCTCTCTGGACATGACTTAAACGTCGGTCGAGAGGCCAGTTCGACAGCGTCTACTAAACTCATGTCGTGATCTATACCTCTCATTCACACACACACACAAACCATGGTCATTGCGCATTTCATCTCTTGCGTTTTCCATGACGAAACCCTCGTTCAAGGCGCTCGGCAGCCACGGACCGCTTGCTATTCATCTTGTCTTGACATTTGTGCTTTGACGCACCAGCAACCGTTCTCTATCGTCGTCCCAAGTGTAAGCCAAATCCGGCAGACCCTCGCTTGTTGCCCCTAGTCACTCTACCACTGCCACCCTCGTCGTCAATCTCCATGGCATCATCGCCCATGAGATTCCGCTTGCCATTGTTCTTCTCATCTGTTGCCTGCATGGCTGCTTCAAACGCACGCTCCTTCTTTCTGCGTAGCTTTTCCCGATCCAATGCCTCTTGTTTGACCTTTGCAGCTTGGGCCTCGAGATCGGCAAGTGCAGAGTCGCATCGCTGTGACCATGACTGAAGTGTGTTTTGGAGGGCGGGCAGGGACCCGGGCGCGAGATCCCGTAACGGCGAAATGGATGTGACGGAGACGAGGGAATGAGCGGGGTCGAGGGTTGCTGTGATGAGGCCAGAATAGATGGCGGTGGTAATGAGCTCTTCAAGAGCGCGGGGTGTAGGCAGCTCGAGGGACGTCATAAGGTGTTTGTAGGTAAGGGTGGTGTGGGAGTGAGAGAGGGGTAGCAAGGATAGAAGCAAGAGCTTCTGGTGTTGCTGGGCTGAGAGCTTGGGGAGATTGGGTTGTGCTGAAGATTGTCAGCCAAAGAAGCTTCATGTGCACAGCAGTGAATGTTGACGCACCCTTGTAGTCGGCCCAAGTGCCCCAGGCAAAGACCTCGAGCAGGGTGAGATACGGGCCATACTCTTCTGAAGTCCGGAGATTCTGGATATTTGGCGTCTGTAGTAGCTCGGCGAATACATAAGTGTTTGGTGCGCTGGTGGCTTGCACAATCAAGTCCGATGCAGCTCGTGGGGAAGTGGCCGACTTGCTGAGGGCGAGAAAAGGCTCGAGAGCATTGAGGGCCTTTGTTTGCTCCATAGCGAGTGAGATGTGGATGGAGTTATTATGATTATCTGTGGATGTGTGCAGTAAGTTGGTATCCCAGCTCGGTTGTGCAGAAGGCGAGCAGACAAGGATGTGGTGAGGGTACGTACAGTACAAACATCCTGTACCGCCCAGGCAGCTGCAGTCGCAGTCGCAGTCGCGGTCGCGATTTCCCCGCCAAACGGGCGTCTGCCCCACTTGGACCTTGACAGCAACCTGTCTCTCCAACTCTCTCCCTCTGCCACGCTCGCACTCCGAGGACAGCAAGGGCCTTTCCACCCGCTCTGCCGCACATGACAAGACTACAATATTGAGCCGAATCCGTTTCCGTCAACAGAACGCCTTCTCGGTAAGCGGTGTATTCTTTTTGCTACAAAAGAATCCACACTGTGATCCGCCACACGGGCGTCCAATCTCCTCAGCCTGGGCACGTCCGACATGCCTCTCCGCCCCGTCAAAACGAACGACATGAGTGTACTTGACAACAACGTTGTAAAAAGTACGCTTCGTTATTGTTGTAGATAAACTCATGTATACCTACACATACGCAACCTCTGTATACAAAATAGGCTTATCTGAGCGCGCAGTGTTTTGGCTCGCGGAACTTGAGACGCGGCAATGTTTAATGGGGCACTTTTCATTACACTACTTATTTCAGCCCACCAAGAGATCCTTCACCCACCAGAGTAAGCTGCAGTGGCTGGAGTTGGGCTTGCAGACGGCTGCGGATTGAAGCTGAGTAGGGTGTCGGATGCGATACGAACACTGCCTTGGTCCAGCAAAGTATACTGACAGTAGGAACGCGCCAGACCATGACTGTATCCGTCGGGGCGCCTCGAATATCAGTAATAGTAGCAGAAGATGAGGCTTCCCCTGTAACATCTAAGCTTCATATCACGCGCATGTTTTAGAAACCTGCCTGTTTCAGCGCGCTATCGCCAAGCAGAAACAGTTATCGCATGTGAAGATCCACCGGTCAACACACACCTGCGCAGAGCCCGGAACCTTATTTTCATCTCGCGTTGAATATCAGGCCCGTATTCCTTCTTGCTCACGGACAATGCTTGTACTGCCTTTCCGAAAAGGTCCATTTTGCAAATAGTGGCCTCAGCTGCCCCAACGACAGCGGTCCGTCGTACGCTAATACTTACTGTTCTAACCCGCTTGAGGCTTCCCGCCGCGCCGGACTCCGTTCAGCATTGGTAAGATTGTGGCTGTCGCTGTCCGACTATCCAGCGCCATATTAATTAATAACTGCACTGCCTGACACTTTCCAGAAGCTGGGCTTCTTTTTGTTCAGATTCGCATCGCTGTCCCTTCCGGATCCTGCTCGCTTGGTCAGCCCTCGCAGCGCTGTCGCATTCATTAGACTCGCGTTCGCCCTGACTTTGCCACATCGTACGACACGTACCCCCTGTTCGGCTTCTTGGATGCCACCTACTTAAATCCCGGCCCTTGCCGTTTCCACTTTGCATACAACGACGATACGACTTGCCCTGGGCAGCACTCCGGAGTGCCCCCCAGTCACCATGGCGCCCCCAGCCACTGCGACTGCGCATATGGCAACAACAACACTCAAAGTCGAGGGAATGACATGCGGCGCATGCACCTCGGCAATCGAATCAGGCTTCCAAGGCGTAAAAGGAATTGGAAATGTGTCCGTGAGCTTGGTTATGGAGCGGGCGGTGGTACAGCACGACCCCGAGATTGTCACGGCGGACGAGGTCAAGGAAATCATCGAAGACAGAGGATTCGACGCCGAAGTACTATCATCAGATCTGCCCATGTCGCATAGCGCCGACGACCATTTCCTGAGCGACTCCGAGGACGAAGAGGATCTCACAAACAACAGCATCCCCACCACCACCACGACGCTTTCAGTGGGTGGTATGACATGTGGAGCGTGCACATCCGCCGTCGAAGGTGCATTCAAAGACGTGGCCGGCATCAAGTCTTTCAGTATATCACTCCTTTCCGAACGCGCTGTGATTGAACACGACCCCGCAGTCATTTCCGCAGAGAAGCTGGCTGAGACAATAGAAGACGTTGGTTTCGATGCGGAGGTGCTGAGCACCGAAGCCGCAACACCAGCGCCCAAGAAGAGCAAGAGCAGGAACCAGCACAAGACCATGACCACCACCGTTGCTGTTGAAGGCATGACATGCGGCGCATGCACATCGGCTATAGAGGCCGGGTTCAAGGATGTTGAGGGGGTTTACCAGTTCAACATCAGCTTACTCGCTAATCGTGCTGTGCTCGTGCACGACCCTTCCAAGCTTACAGAAGCCCAGATTGTAGAAATCATTGAGGACCGGGGATTCGATGCTGAAGTCTTGTCGTCAGTGGACAGTAGCGTGCAGCAGTCTTCGTCCAGCAATGCTCCCTTGCAGCTCAAGATTTATGGATTACCTGACGTCGAAGCTGCCCAGGAACTCGAAGGGATACTAAAGAAGCGATCCGGCATCACATCTGCAACAGTCAACTTCAGGACTTCAAGAGCCACTATTCGTCGGGAACCCCAGATCGTCGGCATCCGAACCATTGTTGAGGCTGTGGAAGCGGCAGGCTATAATGCGCTAGTCGCTGACTCTGAAGACAACAACGCACAGCTCGAGTCTCTTGCCAAGACAAAAGAGATTCAGGAGTGGAGACATGCCGTTATCTTCTCTGCTTGGTTCGCCGTGCCCGTTTTTCTGATCAGCATGTTCATCCCCATGTTCTTGCCATTTTTGAACTTTGGTGGTATTCGGCTTATTCCTGGTCTGTACCTTGGCGACGTCATATGCCTTGTCCTCACCATACCGGTGCAGTTTGGCATTGGAAAGCGCTTTTACGTCTCTGCGTACAAGTCGCTGAGCCATGGTTCACCTACCATGGACGTTCTGGTCGTACTCGGTACTTCGGCTGCCTTTTTCTTCAGTGTATTTTCCATGTTGGTATCACTTCTAATCCCCCCTCACACCAAGCCAACGACACTTTTCGACACCAGCACTATGCTGTTCACCTTCATCAGCTTGGGCCGCTATCTCGAGAACAGCGCCAAGGGCCAAACCTCCAAAGCTTTGTCCAATCTCATGTCGCTGGCTCCTTCGATGACCACCATCTATGCCGATCCCATCGCTGCTGCAAAGGCTGCCGAGGACTGGGAAGCCGGCGAAGAAAAGCTGCAACGCAAGTCCGTCGATGGAAATGCTGCCGAAGAGAGAGTCATTCCTACAGAGCTTATTGAAGTTGGTGATGTGGTCATCCTTCGTCCTGGCGACAAACTTCCTGCCGATGGCACTGTGACGCGCGGAGAGTCCTATCTCAACGAAAGTATGGTCACTGGAGAAGCCATGCCGATCCTCAAGAAGAAAGGCGCCCTGGTCATGGCTGGTACCGTCAATGGCAACGGCCGTCTGGAGTTTGTCGTCACTCGAGCTGGCCGTGATACCCAGCTCAGCCAGATTGTCCGTCTCGTCCAGGAAGCTCAAACAAGCCGTGCTCCCATTCAGAGGCTCGCGGATACTGTTGCCGGATATTTCGTTCCAATCATCATCACTCTGGGCCTCGCCACGTTTGTTGGATGGATGGTCCTTAGCCATGTCCTTCCTTACCCTCCAAAGGTTTTCCTTGATCACTCCAGTGGTGGAAAGTTCATGGTGTGCTTCAAGCTTTGTATCGCTGTTATTGTTTTTGCGTGCCCATGCGCCCTTGGCCTTGCCACACCTACAGCTGTTATGGTTGGCACTGGTGTTGGCGCTGAGCAGGGTATTCTTGTCAAAGGTGGTGCTGCTCTGGAAACCGCAACTAAAATCAACCATGTTGTCTTTGACAAGACTGGCACGCTTACCGTTGGTCAGATGAGCGTATCCAAGGCCGACATCCAAGGCGGATGGGGAAGTGCTGAAAAGAAGAACCTGTGGTGGACACTGATTGGACTCGCTGAGATGGGCTCTGAACATCCGATTGCCAAGGCTATTGTTCTTTCTGCAAAGGAGCATCTTCGTCTAGGGCCAGACGATAGCCTGGATGGTTCCGTGGGTGACTTTGAAGCCGTCGTTGGCAAGGGTATCACTGCGACAGTCGAAGCAGCTCTCTCCCGCGAGCGCACGCGATACAAGGTCCTCATTGGCAACACTGCTTTTCTTACCTCCGAAGGAGTCAACGTTCCCGACTTTGTAGACGAGCCACTGACACCTGCTACTGCTGCCAATCCCCGAAACGGCCCTCAAACTCACTCGGCTGGTATCACGACGATTCACACCGCTATCGGCAACACCTACACTGGTACCTTGAGCTTGTCCGACACGATCAAACCCTCTGCTCGCGCCTGTGTGCTCGCACTGACCCGTTTGGGTATCAAGTCCTCGATTGTGACTGGTGACACTTCGGCCTCGGCGCTAGTAGTCGCAGCAGCAGTCGGTATCGACCCTGCTGACGTCCATGCTTCATGCGCACCCGCCGACAAGAAAGCGATCGTAGAAGATCTCCAATCGCGTGGAGGCGTGATTGGCATGGTCGGCGACGGCATCAACGATTCTCCGGCTCTCGCGTCTGCGGACATTGGCATTGCTCTCTCAACTGGTACAGACGTTGCCATGGAGGCGGCCTCGATTGTTCTCATGACTAACACTGACCTACTGGCTATTCCTGCTTCCCTCGTCCTCAGTCGCGCCATCTTCTTCCGCATCAAACTTAACCTTGCGTGGGCCTGCATGTACAATTTCACCGGACTTCCCTTTGCTATGGGCTTTTTCCTCCCCTGGGGTCTGTCAATACATCCTATGGCTGCGGGCGCAGCAATGGCATGCTCGTCGGTTAGTGTTGTTGTCAGTTCTCTGCACCTCAAGTTCTGGCGTAGACCCAGCTGGATGAAGTTGAGCCTATTGGATCCTAATGCCCCGATTGACGAGAAGAACTTGGAGATGGAGAAAGTTGGCCAGCAGGGAGTATTCAGTTTCGTAAGAGACTGGATCAGTGAGGCATGGGCGGCTAGGAGACGAAACAAGGAGGAGGCCAGCTACATGCCCTTGAGAGACATGGGCGAGCATTGAGATGGACACATCTGAGTGCTATGGGAAGACGGGAGTTGACTGGATTGTTGTTTGCTTTTGGTAAAGCGTTCAGGATACCATTTTGTGCTGTGCATTTTGTTTCATTTTCTTGTTTCTGATAAATTCTGGGGTAATTGTTCATAGCCGTCGACTCCGTCCTATTCCTAGTCCTATGTGAGCATACCATTTGGAACCAAGTCTTCGTGAAAACCAATCTTCTGTGAATGCCAGACCGCTATAACTGCGAACCAGGGTCTAGAGATATGGTTGCTGCATCGCAAACCAGGAATCATGCATCAACCTGCACTGTAGATAACCCGTGCTCTGCTAGAAAGTGACCAGTGGGGTCGTTGACGTGCGCGCGTGATTTGACATCGCGAATCGCGGCCAGGGTCCACCAATTGGCGTCACAAAGATAAGCCCAGACGGACAACACAACACGGTAGCATTGCGCTATCTCTCACCGGCGCAATTTCTGACTCTTCTCACGACCTCAGAGTCCTGCGACACGTATGCAACCGTGATCTGTGCCGACTCGTCGTCTACGACTTTGCGACCACAGCTAGCCAGGCCGTCAAGATGGGGAGGAATCGCGCTGTGTCCAACGCCTCAACGCGGAGCAGCGAGCCGCCTTTACAAGTAGGTATGGACATGGCCAGAGCCGTACAGAGCCTTCCTAAACTGTGACAGGAGCTGGGAAGCATGTATGACTACCTGGCAAAGGTGATATTGCTGGGTCCTAGCGGTGCTGGCAAGTAAGTCTGCGATAAGGCAAGTATGCACTGCAAACACCGAGTAACTGAGCAACATAGATCCTGTCTTTTGCATCGTTTTGTAAAATCCGAATGTACTTCTTTCGCGCCTCCTCCTCGTTGCACACCAGTCTAACAACTACTCCAGGGCGCTCTCTGTCTAGCCAAACAATCGGTGTAGAATTCGCATCCAAAATCGTCCACATTGCCGACCGCCGCCGCTCCCCCTCCTCTTCTGCGTCGCGAAAACGAATCAAACTACAACTCTGGGACACCGCCGGCACAGAACGCTTCCGCTCCGTGTCGCGATCCTACTACCGCGGGGCGGCTGGTGCGATACTTGTCTATGACGTGAGCAGCTGGCGAAGCTTTGAGCAATTGCAGACATTCCTCAACGACGCAAGGGCACTCGCCGGACCCGACCTCACCATTATACTCGTCGGGAACAAGAATGACGTCGAGACTGGCGAGGGAATTCCTGTTGGCCTGAGCAGCAGCCAAGGCGCCAGTGGAGGAGGAGGATATTCCAGTTATGGGAGCACACCGAGTTCAGAGAGCGGACTACCGCCGCCGACGCCATCGTCGCAATCCAGCAGAGCAACGAGCCTTAATGCGAATCTCCATGCTTCATACACTATCGCCCCCGAAGGCCGCGAGGTGCCCACTGAAACGGCGTCGCGATGGGCGGGGCAGAACGGAATTCCAGTTGCGGTGGAGGTCTCCGCGCTAAATGGAGAAAATGTGGAGGAGCTATTCAATAGATTAGCGCGGATGATCTTGACTAAGATTGAGCTGGGCGAGATTGATCCTGACGACCCTGCGAGTGGCATTCAGTACGGTGATTTGGGCTGGGACGACGGTGGAGGCAGTATTAAGAGCGGGTTTGGGGACGAAGGCGTGAGATATCGCAGAAGAGGCAGGAAATCTGGTGCGCTGAGCGAATGGGAAGACGTGTTCAGGCTCGGCGGGAATAGAAGGAAAAGAGGGTGTTGTTGAAAGCGAGTGGTCTCGTATACGATGGATTGAAACAGTTACGTTACAAGCGGCTTTTTTGGTTGAAGCTTTCTCTCTTGTTTTTTGACAGCGCGTGTTTTTTTTTGCAGTTACGTAGTAGTTTTCCCTCCCGTTAGACAGCATACCCCCTTTGAGTTTTGTTTTGTCCCTTACGAGAATACAGGATATACTAGACCTTGGATTTTGGATTCGGGACAACCTCACGCCACATGGGTCATCCTTGCTTGTTGTAACCACCCCCGGTCATTTGCCTGTGGTTTGAATAAAATGACCAGACATCACTGGCAACCGTCGAGAGTTGCGACTTTGAATGCGAAATTTCGATAATACAGCGAGCATCGTTGATCCATGACTTGAGATGGTTGTATCTGTTTAGCGTATAGCAAATCAGATTATTTTTCCCACAAAAGAACGCCAGGTCATACCCCAACCTGCTAGAATCGCAGTCAGTCGGTCTATGAGGTAAACTAGGCAGATTAAAAGGCCCTGCCTTGGGCATACTTGCAGAGATGTCAGGTAGGATCTCCGTACAAAGACGCAGTTGTTTGTATAGTCTGCTCGGCAGCGAAACACATGGAAACCAGCGATTTTGCTAAGTATCCAATCCAACGGTGCGCGGCTGTTTCGGGTATGCTGCAGTACAAGCGCTTACCTATCTCCCAATCACCGTTTGCGATTTGGCGCTTTAGCCGTGTTGATATTGGCGTCTGTGTGTCGTCATGCATTGTTCCTACATCAACACCCCACTGTGCCGCGCCAGCACATGCGCATACGAACGACATACCGGCAGTCTGCTGCACAAATACACATAGGAGTTCTTATCTTGAAAGGTGCGAGATGCTAAATATGGTGAAAAGTTTTCCTCACCTTCCGTGGCAACTAGAAGGCGACGAAGAAACGCTTTATGTATCCGCTAAAACGCGTACAAAACCTCGGTCTGGCCATGGGCTCGCCACATCACGCAGATCGCGTCACTTGCCTAACTTCGGCTGTCAGACATGTTCCTGGAAGTGGCGCGGAATATTAGCATGGTCTTTTGCATGACTGAATCGCCTTCCAACATGAACGCATGCACTATTATCGCGGCTTTTCCTTGTTCGAGCCGTCTTCTTCCCACACATGCACACATCCTTTCGTCAGGATTCTCTTTGCTCTTTCCTTTCTCGTATCAAATTTCCCGTTTAATTCAAAAATAAAAAGCTGTCGCGTGCTGGATTTTTCATTCACGCTGTTGTCCTCACGAGCATTTAGATCACTTGCCACCATCAAAATGCCTTTACTTAATCGCCTGAACCCCACGCCAGCATTCCCCGCACATACCGGCCCATACAAGGTCGGGTCAGCGGATGTAGAAATACCTTCAAGCGAGTTAGCGAGTCAGAGTGAAAATGCCCCTCCCGCGGAACTACCAACAGTGGCTTTTCGTGTTTTCTACCCGTGCAAGCAAGATAGTAACGAAAGAGCGGTAAGATGGTTACCAAATCCACAGCGGGAGTACCTCAGCGCCTATGCGAAATTTCTAGGTGCCAATAGCGTATTCGCTAAAGCATTCTCGTAGGTTTCTTGTGGAGAAAAGCCCTTGAGAGCAAATGATCCGCACTAACACACGTGCAGGCTATTACCTCAATTATTATACTATGTTTCAATGCCTGTACACCAAAACGCGGAGCTCTTGGCTCCACCACCGAAATCTAGTCGATGGCCTGTCATGGTCTTCTCACATGGCCTGGGTGGCACCAGGAACGCGTATTCACAAATTTGTGGCTCACTGGCAAGCCACGGAGTAGTAGTTGTCGCAGCAGACCACCGTGACGGTAGCTCACCTCTAGCTATTCACCATACGCCAGACGAAAAGGAAAAATTGAAGCGAGTAGAGTTCAATTCAATTTCCTACTATCCCAGTACAGAAGCGTACCAAGGAAGAGACGAGCAACTGAAGATTCGGCTATGGGAGCTGGGAATGATACATGACGCGCTATTGAAGATGGATGAGGGCCGACAGCTGAAGAACGTTGCGCAAGACCAACCCAAAGGAAAAAGTGTGCTGAGTATGTTCTCGAATTTGCTTGATATCCACGAGCCCGGTGCTGTCAGTTTCGCAGGGCACTCTTTTGGCGCATGCACAATGGTTCAGTTCGTCAAGTCGATTTACTACCGACCTCAAGGACGGATCCCGGATTACAAGCCACTTTACATACCTTCTGAAGACTCCAGCATTGTTCGACAGATCACGCCTTCTAATTCTGTTACACTACTGGACTTGTACACGATGCCCATCCAGAGCCCAGACACTGCATGGCTCAGAAGCAAACCAATGCCATGTTACGACTCACCTGACGGCGGCAAGAACCTCCTCGCCATCTCTTCCGAAGGCTTCTACAAATGGGCCTCCAACTTCCGCGAAACAAAACGCATCATCGCCAAGCCATTGCCGTCAAATTCAAAGTATCCAGCGCAGCCTGGTCCACACATCTTGTACCCCATCGCCTCAGCCCACCTGTCCCAAAGCGACTTTGGCGTTTTATTTCCCTGGCTAACGACGAGATTCTTTGGCGTCAAGGAGCCCGAACGCGTCCTCAAGCTCAATACCCGCGCTATACTGCAGGTTCTACGTGAAAACGGGGTCCGCGTCGGTAATACCAGTGCGGCTGACCTTGAGCTTGAAGATCAGACAGCAAGTCAAGCTAACGACACGACCATCCTGAGTCGTACCAAGGATAGCGTTCGTGGATGGGTTAATTTGAGTGCGGAGGTGGAAGGCGGTCTTGATTTCACTACGTTGAAGAAAGTTGAGGGGAAGAGTGTGGTTAGTACGCCGTCGGAGAGGGTGGGCAGTCAAGGCAAGGGACCTGCTGATGCGGTGGTTGAGGGAGAGGGTCTGGGACAGGTGGTTGAAGGGAACGAGAAGTGAGTGGGTGTCTTATTGGGCGGTGAAAGTGGTGAAAGATAGAATGGCAAGTAATAGAGTTAGAAAGAGAGATGTTGCTTTTATTTGGGAGTTTTTTATATACTTTAATACATATCGAAATGGTCATTATTCGAAGAGGACGTATCGTTTTACTAGTGATATTCAATAAACAGAGATCAGGATGTCCATTATTTTGAAAGTTAATAAGCGACTTCGAAAATTACTTGCGTTACGCAGTCCTAGATAAAATCTAGGCCGCAAGATAGTTCTGTAGTAAAGCTATGCCGTACTTTATTCCTTGCGGTGTGCGTGGTTCATGTAGTGGCTGCCTGGTGCTAGCTTGACCGCAAGACCCGCGAGATGTACGCAAAGAGTGTCGTGTAGTGTATCTCGTTACTTATTTTTCTTCGCGACTAATCTGAGCGCTTTAAATATTTAGAGTTTTGAACTATTGCTTTCAGTTTAGTATAATTCTAGTACATACTTACGTTCAAAGTAGTCTTGTCAGAATATCGAGTAACGCACTATTTGAGCAGTAGTGAAATCACTCCAGCTACCGATTTCATCTCCCATTTGATGCAGCCTTTGGTTTGTTTGCCGTTTGTTTGCTCCCAGACCAGACTCACTTGCATCTAGTCTAAGACATACATAACAAGCACGATCCATCTTACTGCATCACATCGGCCAACGTAATCAACTCAACCAACCCGACATGGCTAATCAGAGCGAAGAAATGTCAATGCAACCACCAGCATGGATGCTGGAAGCAGCACGAAATGCTGTGAAAGTGTCAGGTGTCAACTCAGAAGAAGCATTCGCTGCTAGGATCTGTAACGTAAGGAAGCAGGCAGAAGCCGGTAGCATGCAGCACCAGGAAACCATGAGTTTGCTAGCAAAGAAGATGAAGGAGCTGAGTCCGAAGTCAGTATTGCGATCTTTCGATAGTTTTGAACAAGCAAACGTCGGAGAAGAGGCCAGCGGCACTGAGCGACAACTTGCAGAAACAAGCGCTGCTCCCATCGTGGCCACCTCTAGAAAGATTACACAAGCGCCAGATAAGAACAAGCGAAAGGAGGTAGTAAAAACCCCAGACAAAAAACACAGTAAGAAAGCAAGGATTCTTACAGAGCAAGTGGAGAAGGGCCCGTCACTGAAAGGCACTGCACGCCAACCACAAAAGGCGGCATTGACCACAGCAGTACACAATCCAAATCCCAAGGAGACCATTCCTGCACCGTCAAAATCCTTACCAATTTCCAAGTACAAGGTGGAGGAATATACCGTACTTGAGAACCTACCAGAATGGTACACCTCCATCTCCCCCGACAATATACACATGAAGAATCTGTCCAAACGGCGGCCCCCTGCCCTCACAGCCCTAGACGCCCTCAAAGGCCTCGCCCGCCAATGCGGAGATGCCCCCAACAAGTATCGATCCAGCGATCTCCCCAACCTTTACAACAAACTCCGCGATCTCATCCACCAAGCCGAAATCACCTTACCCGTAACCCCCTACATACTCCGCAAAGCCCAGATGCTCTCTTCCCAAGCCGGCCTCCCCTGCATCTTCCGTGCAGAGGCAAACTTCCCACCCGACATCAAAGCAGACAGCTACCAACTCTACAAACGCTGGTACGCCGGCAACCTAACCCAAGATCTCCTCCGCGGCATCATCACCAAAAAATCCACAAACCGCTCCTCCGACTCCATCTGCCCCATCTACCGCGCAAAATACCCCATAACATCCAAATACATTGGCCAAGGCGACCTCGTGCCCGGCCAATGGTGGCCAACTCAACTCTGCGCCGTGCGCGACAGTGCCCACGGGCACACCCAAGGCGGCATCTTCGGCAGCAAGACCCACGGCGCCTACTCCATCGTGCTTGCAAACGGTTCGGGCTACTCCGATCTCGACGCGGGTGACACGATCCATTATTCCGGCACCGAAAACAACGATCACGCCGGCTCTGTCACTGAGAATACTAAACACCTGCTTACGTCGCTGCAGACGCGGGATCCGGTGAGGGTGCTGAGGTCTGCGCAGTTGGCGAAAGGGAATAAGTATCGCCCGGAGAGGGGAATTAGGTATGATGGGCTGTACACAGTGGTGGGGTATGAGGTGTTGGATGAGAAGAAAGGGGTGCTGAGGTTTCGGTTGGAGAGGTGTGAGGGGCAGGAGGGGATTAGGTGGGAGGGCGAGGCGAGGAGGCCGACGGTGTATGAAGTTAGGGAGTATGAGCGGTTGAAAGAGGAGGGGGCGTGGGCGGGGGGTGTTGAGAAGTGATTGGTTTGGGTATGAAAAGGGAGTGATGCAGGCGAGATTCTTTTCTCTGGGTTCACGTGGAGCTTTTTTTGCGGTAAATGTATCTAGGCTCTTTCATCTTACCCCCTTTTGTATAAATAGTCAAACATGAATAATAGTGGTAGCAGTCACACCACAATATCCAGAGAAATGGAAGAATCCGGGTTGAAAAAAAACTGCCTCATATTGCAGTTACCCTCTCATTGTATGCACGGTAACCTGGGGAATTATCGTCTTTTCCGATTCCAACCCTTTTCAAAACCCAACGTGAGATGAAATACAAACACCATGTCCTCTACTCGTCATCGCTTTCTTCCTCGTCGTCTTCCATGTCCACATCCTCATCACTAAGTCCCTCAATGTCAACCTCCTCCTCCTCTTCATCCTCGCTCGCCTCCTCCTCATCGTCATCCTCAAACACTTCGCCATTCTTCTTTCCCTCCATCTCAGCCTCCTTCCTCTTCTTATCCTCCGTCTTGCGCGCATCATCCAGCATCTTCTGCTTCTGCTCTCTGGTCTTCCTCTGGCCCGCGACAAAGGCGCCCAGAGGAGTCTTCTCCCATTCGACCTCCTTCAGAAAACCCTCAACACCGGCGCGGTTGTTGGGCGCAAACTCGACCTTGTTGCGCTTCTCCTCGACCCAACGGGAGTTTGCCTCGAGCTTCTGGACAAGAAGGGCAAGCATAGATGATACCTTGTTGTTCTTGTTTCCGCCGCTCTTCTTAGTCATGGCCTTGACCCACCGCTTGAGCATGACGATGACAGGGAGTGCGAGTTCGGGGAAAGCAATGTTCTTGGTCCAGAGGACGAAGAACTCGGAAAGAAGCTCTGCAACTTGCTCGCCAATGCCATCTTGGTAGACGCGTGTGCGTAGGTAAGCCTTTGTTGCGCGGATGCTGACGTTGAAGTCAAGCGCCTTGAGAGTGCTGGGTTTCGGAGGCTTCTTCATTTCGGCCGAGTTCAGGACTTCGACAAGGGCAGGTGCCAGAGGAATGTAGGTTGAGGTTGCTTGAGAAATGCGGAGAAGCGAGCGCACAAGTTGGAATCGGAGAGGGAAGTATTGCGATGTGGGGATGAGGCGCATGGCTCCGAGCGTAACTTGGACAACGGGATAGATGAGCGGGCGTAGTGGCGATGCTTTTCCAGCCTCGGCTTCCCGAAGAGACTCGCAGTGCATCGAGACTACACGGGACCAAAAGTCTAGCGAATGGATGTACTGCCAGTTGTACACTGTCTTGTAAGAGTCTTTTGTCTTGTTTGTGATACTGGTCCGGAGATGGATGGCAAGTTGGCGGATGAAGCCAAATCCAGTTGTGTAGCCTACTGTTGGATCAATGCCCCAGAGTTCAGACGCAGTGTTCTTCATAAGGTTGATGCCCTGCACATTGTGGACTGTAGTGTTTCTCGCGCCCTTGACAAGGCCTTGGTATGTTTGCTTCAAGACAGCCTCACGGATGCTTGGGTCGGCAATGACCAACAGGCGTCGCAACACTAGAAAGGCTGAGACGCGGGTGCCGTCGTTGTTAGAACTGTCGGCCCATACAGCGGCAACTGAGCGAGTGACCTCGCGAATGATCTTCTTGAACGAGAGAACATATGGGAGGAGGTTCGACAAGGAATCTAGAGTCATCTTCAATGTTTTCGCGTCGGCCAAGTTCTCAAGCAGGTGGTGCATCGAGACGGTATGTGACTTGAGGAGGGGCGTAAGAGTGCGGAACTTTTTGGTATCGGTAGGAACGCGACTATTTTTGTTAGTGGTGACAGTGAAATACTGAAATGGTTGCTTACATTTTGCCGCCAGCACTCTCCTTGACAGGAAGATGATGTTGGAGAACCTTGGGGACGAGCTGAAGAGTAGTTACTTGGACCTGGTGATATACTGCGAGCCGTTAGCGTTGCCATGTTTTCAAGACACGGCCAACATACCATCGGGGTCTGTTATCGAGTACTTGTACGACTTTCCACTGTCCTCATCATTCATATGTGCAGCAGAGCGGAATGCAAGAACAACCTCCTTCATGGCGCGCAAAGAGTGCTTGGACTCCATTGAAGCTTTCCATTTCTGAACAGTCTTGATTGTGAGGTCGTTGCCGGTAGTCTCTGCCTCGTCGGCCTTGTGCTTTTTCCGTGGCGTGGCCTCGTCTTCACTGGCAGAGAGAGCGTCAATCTCAGCTAGATCAGCGTCTTCGGCAAAGTCTAGGAGTTCGGCATCGTTTTCCTTGAGGTATTTGTAGAACTCGGGGTCCTTTTCCGCCAGCCCAGCGAGCTGTTCCTTGTGAGTGTCCATGTCGTCGCCCGACTCGCTGTCTGATCCCGACTCATCAGCGGCGCCAGATGCCTCTGCCATATCCTCATCGGAACCCTCTGAAGCATCCTCGTCGACGGGTGTGCGCTTTCGCTTGCCAGTCTTTGGCTTGGTCTTCTTCTTGCTCATCTCTGGGATCTGGAAGCCGCCCTGGAAGAATTGGTCCATGGACATCTCGCCCAGCTTATCGTCCTTTGCCCCATTCGTCTTGAGCCTCTTAGCAGCCGCCTCTTCCTCGACGTCGTCGGCGCGCGCATTGTCTCTGGCCTTGCGCTCTTTCTTCTTGGCGTCCATCTGCTTGCGCTGCTTGATCTTGGCGACATCTTTGCGGCGCTTGATGGTGTCGCCGAGCTTGTCCTTTTGGAACTTCTTGGTCGCCTTGGAGACGGGCATCTCGGCGGAATTGGGGGGTTTCGGTGGTGGGGGAGGTGTTGCTGGCCAGACGTGCAGCTGGCGGTTGAAAAACTTGGGCTCTCGAAAAAGTTCCCAGCGCTAAGGGACCCTGCAACCACTAGCGCTTCCCCACGCCATGCACGCTTGACCAGGCTGCCGCCGACGCAACCTAGGCCTGGTGCCTACACTATGAGCACGACGACGACGACTACTACACTTACAACTACGACTGTGTATACTCGACCTCCATCGCCATGTATAACAGCAGGCCTCTCGCATATGCGCCCACGCCCTACATTCCGCGCTCCAACCTGGCCGCGACCATCAATCTCGACGAGGTATGACGCGCCTCGGTCCCACCATGCTCTGCGCTGGTTATTAAAAGACTGCCTAGGAAGTCAAGCTCTCAACAACAAATGCCGAGCGTGACCTGAACGATTCCCTTGCCGAAATCTACAGCATTATCATCACCTTGGATGCCGTCGAGAAGGCCTACCTCAAGGACTCGATTGCCGAAGCCGACTATACCGAGACATGCAGCCGGCTGATGAAGCAGTACAAATCCAATCTCGCCAACGAGACAGTTGCACGAGCATTCGGTGATCTGGATCAGTTCGCCAGGGAGTGGCATGTATGTCAACGAGGCTGGCGAGTATCTGTGCCGCGCTGACAGCACACCAGATGGAATGTCCAAGGGCCGTTGAGCGATTGCGCGTCGGCATACCCGCTACCGTCGAACAAGGCCCATCGAGACCAGCTCAGCAAGGCGACTTTGGCGATGCGACACTTGTAGTCAATGCAACCGAGACGTTTATTACTCTGCTGGACGCCATTAAGATTGGACTCGTGGAGAAGGATACGCTCCATCCTCTCCTTGTCGAAATCATACAAGCAGTCAACAAGGTGACTGATGTCGACTTTGAGAACAAGGGCAAGATTGTCCAGTGGCTGATTACGCTGAACCAAATGCGCGCAGCCGACAAGCTGAACGACGAACAGGCGCGCGAGTTCCAGTTTGACATGGACCAGGCGTATTACGGCTTCAAGAGCACACTGAAGAAGGCATGAAAAACATCTTGGATGCGTGTTCCTGGCTTGGAGAGAACCATCGTTGGAACTGTGAGCTCCTAGCCCCGCACGGGCCCGCTGGACTTGGGTGAGTACCGAGTATTGCACCCCGCTCGCCGATAATTGCGACCGCGCCTCCGCCATAGTCAATTCAAAATGTCCATGCTACATGGTATGGATAGCGCCTATCATTTGCATGACTGGGTGCTAAAGTCTCCGTGCAGTTCTCGACCTCCCTCAAATCTATACTAGGCCCTCTGCTGAGGCCCTTCTCGATACCCTCAAACTTCTTACAACTGCCCCACCGTCATGGGAGGAGCCTGGAGAATCGAGGCGCAAAGATGGGCAAGCGCCGGCAGTCACAGTCAGTCCAGAAGGTGTCACAGGGTACCTCACGAGCATCATTGGCAGTGATCTACGGTGGATAGAGGATGAAGAATTGAAGGAGCAGATCTGGGACCAAGCCAGCGCGAGGCTTAGTGAACGCTCTGGACGGTCTGCCATGGGTGCAATGTCACGGTCATTTCACATTCCCACTTCGTCCGACGCTTTCGACCTCAGCATCCACGAGCCGACTATGACTGGCGACGACCTGGGTCTGAAAACATGGGCAGCGTCATATCTCCTCGCGAAACGCCTCAGCTCGTTCGATCTGGTTCCCACGGATACACAAAGTAGACTACAAGTCCTTGAACTTGGTTCGGGAACTGGGCTGGTTGGACTGGCCATGGCAGGCCTGGGTGCAGACGTCGTGCTGACAGACCTGCCCAGCATCTGTCCAAACCTTAAGTACAACATACTTCAGAATGACGAGGTGGTCAACGGGAACAATGGAAGTGCTCGCGCGGCCATGCTTGATTGGACTGAGCCTCAGGTCTGCGAGCCACTACAGGACGACGGTGAGGCCATGCCCGCGAAGTTTCCAGTAATCCTGGCTGCAGATTCGCTGTACTCTGTAGATCATCCTCGCATGCTGGTAGACACGATTGCGGTTTGGCTTTCGCAGGACAGCGACGCCAAAGTCATTGTGGAGTTTCCCTACAGAGATGCATATCTGCCTCAGATTGAGGACTTTCGCCGCCGGATGGTTGAGATTGGGCTGCAGATAGTGGACGAAGGTGAAGAGAAAGGATACGACGACTGGGGCGCGTCCAGAGGGAGCGGTGACCCAGACGACGGTGCGCTCGTGACGTGTTGGTGGGCATGTTGGACGAGGAAAGGCTCAAGTGGTAAAAAGCCACCAGTCAGTGGCTAAAGTTGGGCAGATTATCCTTTGGAAGATATGGCCACGCGAGGCCTCGGCTTTTTGGCAGGGCCCCCACGGACCACGTACGTGGGATTTTTCTGGTCATTCGCATACTCGCGGCGGCGCACAGCAACCAACCCTCGGAGCAACGCCGATGTGTTCAGACGGAACGGTCCAAGAAGAGTGATGCACGCGCCGGGTAATTAGTCCGGATAATTGAAACGCATCCAGACTCGAGCCTTTGGTCAACAACCTTCCAACTAGCCTGGGCGGGATAGCTCGCTGCGGAGCTGTAGCTCGGGGGTCCACCCTTTGCATCGTCATTACATAGGACTTACCTGCGCGTGAGTTTTGAAAGATTATTCTTGTCTCTTCTTTTTTTTCTCCCTCCGTGTGTAGATGTTGAATTGAATCAGTGCCAACAATCACATTCATATCTTGCACATTATTCGCCATGGCCACACAAACCGCTTCCCAAAAGGTACTTTACATTGCCCCGCCATAACCCCGCCATGCGCAACGCGACACGACAACATGGCGGCCAACATCCATAGCAGAAGAGTAGAAGATGGCTGACATCTGGCTAGAACCCCTCTTTCGTTCTCCAAGAACCATTCAAAGTCACATATGAAGATCGGCCAATTCCTGAACTCCCATCACCATACGATGTCATTGTGCGGCCGCGATGGACTGGTATCTGCGGTTCCGACGTGCACTACTGGGTCGAGGGACGCATCGGCCACTTTGTAGTTGAGAAGCCCATGGTGCTCGGCCACGAGTCTGCCGGTATCGTACACAAGGTTGGCGACAAGGTCAAGGGTCTTAAAGTCGGAGATGAAGTCGCCATGGAGCCTGGTGTGCCCTGCCGTCGTTGCGTGCGCTGCAAAGAGGGAAAGTACAACCTCTGCCCAGACATGGCATTCGCAGCAACTCCCCCATACGACGGTACTCTCGCACGGTACTATACTCTTCCCGAGGACTACTGCTATAAGCTGCCCGAAAACATGAGCATGGAGGAGGGCGCGTTGATCGAGCCCACCGCCGTCGCTGTCCACATTACCCGCCAAGCAGCCATCAAGCCCGGCGACTCTGTCGTCGTATTCGGAGCTGGTCCCGTCGGTCTGCTCTGCTGCGCCGTCGCAAAGGCATACGGCGCAAAGAAGATCGTCACCGTCGACATCAACGACGAGCGTCTGGGCTTTGCGCTCAACTACGCAGCCAACTCCAGTTTCAAGAGCGAGCGTGTAAGCGCAGAGGAGAACGCCAAAAACATGATCAAGCAGTGCGAATTGGGACCTGGTGCCGATGTCATCATCGATGCATCTGGCGCGGAGCCTTGCATTCAGACTGCCATTCACGCTTTGCGTATGGGAGGAACATATGTTCAGGTATGTCTTGTTGTTGTTTTTTCTATCATATTAATATTTTCTAACCAACTACCAACAGGGCGGTATGGGCAAGCCAGATATCACCTTCCCCATTGTAGCGATGTGCACAAAGGAACTCAACGTCAAGGGCTCCTTCCGCTATGGTCCTGGCGACTATCAGACTGCGATTGACCTTGTGGCAAGCGGCCGTATCTCAGTCAAGGAGCTCATCACGGGCAAAGTCAAGTTTGAGGAGGCTGAGAATGCGTTCAAGGAAGTCAAGGGCGGCAAGGGCATCAAGATTTTGATCGAGGGACCTGCTGAGTAGGTTTGATCTGGTTTGTCAAAGGTTTTGCCTTGCGGTATTGTTGTTTTTGAGGGCGAAGAAGAGTAGATGTATGTCTCGTCACGAACTTTTCTTTTCTTTTTTCTTGACCCTGCAGCAAAGGAGATGCTGTTATTTTTTGAACGTTGATATGAAAATGAAGTAGTGTCTAGTATGTAGTAAAAATATCTCCGAGGAACCAACGGCCATATTCACCGTCTGCATATATATATTTTACTTTTTGAAAGTGAAGCCAAATATGTTTTTTTCCTAACATACTTAAATATCCTAAAACATGAAACTAATTTTTATTCCTTTTCCCCTTCTAAACTCCTTCTCTTCCCTTTCCAAATAGAAAAAAATATCAATAAAATCAAGTACATCTTTTTTTCTTCTCACCTTCCTATGAGAAAACCCATACTACCTGCATGCTTCCCGCATCTTCCCTCTTCACAACTACCTTCGTCAACACCACCCCATGGTCTCCACCCCCCCTTAACCCACCCCAGCCACCCCACTGAAGCGCAACACGTCTGACCCCATGAACCCACGTGCAAGTGGAGTAATCCTTACCCAAAAAAGGAAAAGGAGAAAAAAAGGAGAAAAATCAACAGGGACGAGGGAGGGGAGGAAAGCAAGAAGTGACGTGGGTGCGTGTGCGTGTGGCTGTGGCTGAGTGTGTGGACATGGGCAGGCCTGAAACACGACGTGTGTCACGCACGTTCCCTACGTACGTCAGTTTATCTCGCGAGAGAGAGACAGAGAGAGGGATTTTTTTGTGCAGACATTATGTTGTTCTACAATGCCCACTGTTTCTTTTATGCATTTGTTGACGTGCAGGATTTCTTGGGGGGTTAAACTATGTTGCGTTTTGTTGCTTTGCGCTGCTGTTTTCTAGGGTGGGAACAATGTTCATGGAGGTCCAAGTTGACATATGCACGTTTTGCAATGTTGATGATATTTTGTTTTTGTTGATTCTCTTTTTTATTTTTTTTATTTTTGAACTTGATTGTTCAGAATGCGAAGAATTCAGGATGGAGGTCCCCTCCCGCAAAAATTGGGGAGGGTTGAATGCTTGACTTGAATACATAATCGTCATGACAGTGACTATGGAGGAATCATTCGCACATGCTATATGCCTTTCTCCCTCGCAACAAAAAAAAAGTAACACGCGATATTTGGTATGAATAAGAATGCGCCGGGTTTGCCTTTCCCACGCTACGGCTTTCTGCGGCCGGCGAGGAGACGAGAAAAAAAATATATAGAGTTTAGTCGCTAAATCAAGAGGAGTGTCTGCCAGAGATGTCGGGTTGCAAAAATGCGGAAAAAGGTACAGTCGTCTACATGGACAATGGGTACATGATTCATAAATCCCGGGTTGAAATGGGTGTGATGAAGCGAAATTGGGGGTTTGTATGTGCTGAGATTATTCTGTCTGTGTATCGTGGACAAACTATACGCCTATCTTACGGACAGAAGAGCCGCGCTTAGGTAGGGTCCATGGTTCGGGACAGACAATCTTGGAGCATGTTAGTATGATAGTAAATTAGAGGAAGAGATCATGTGTAACGTACCTCGCCTTCGCTGTATGCCCAAAAGTAAGCAAACATGCCGACAATGTAGTACAGTCCAGAGTTTGTGCCTTGGTAGATGAGGAGAGCACAGAGAGCGCTGATCGGGTAGACGATGAGACGTGCTTCGATTGAACGATGCAGGCCTGTACCAGCGAGCAGCGGTAAGGGCCATTCCCAGGCGAGACCAATGACACCGAGAACTACATTGAGGACTTGCAGGACGGGAATGGGCTTGACAGCGCCATCGAGGTTCTTGGTGAGGAAATCCCAGAAGATCTTTGGCCAGAAGAAGCAGTGGAATCCAGCGGCTATTTGGTCTGTGATGATAAAGTTAGTAACAAAGATGGTAGAGTGGAGAATGTGATGTATTAGGACTGGACTTACAGGCAGCAGCAGTGAGGATGACGAGACGCGCCCAGTGGTTCTTGATTAACTTGCCCATTGTGCAGAAATTATAAAGAAGGGATACGAGCAGTAAACCGAGCCCGCGGTCGTTTGGGAAAGAAAGTTAAATGGTAAGAGAAAAGAAGGGAGGAGAGAAACAAAGAAAGAAAGTAAGCAGAAATGTCCCTTCGACTACCAGTAGCCTCGTTGACAGATGAGCAGCAGACGTGGGACGGAGGGGCAGGGCGGAGTTTGTTATAGGCAATGCGTCGGGTGCAACGGCGGTTCAGTGGGGGCTCAAATCGGTAAGGCGTGATTGGGGACAGGCAGCGATGAGCAGAGTGGAGAGATATTGCGCAAGTGCTATAGAGGGCTGAGGCGTAGGCGAGTCTCAGGCGTGTTAGGTGTTCAGGCAGCGTGGTGTTGCCGTTGAGCTTCGCGACGTGAGGTGTATCAGTATACCGGGAGCGACAGCGGGAGTCGACCACAATTGTAAAGACAATTATGCGCCATTCTGATCCTGGTTGTTTTTGGCTGGGCAGTGACTGGGCCGTGACTGGGGTGGGATGAAATGGTGCAGGTCAGTTGTGTAGCCGCTTGACCCGCATGGCTACGATGGAGGGCGGTTGTGGTGAAGGTCATTGGCTGCCTGCACGAGATGGACGACATGGACGAGCGTGCTTGGCCCCGCTGCAGCCACAGCGGCCGTGCGCCGGATGCTCGTCTACCCTATCACATCCCAGCAACAGCCGCTTGGCTTTTGCTGCCAACCCTTCGCCCTGCGCTAGACGGGGAAAAAGGCGAAAAAAAGACTACCGCTTCACGCTCATGTGCCTGTCATGGATGGCGACAGCACCAACCGAGCACCAATCCAAATCAGAGAGAGAGAGAGAGAGAGAGAGAGAGAGAGAGAGAGCACCATGTACGCATATCCCAAGCGCTGTCTGTCGGCTATCTCCATCACTACCTACTTACATCACGCCTCCACATGCTTTCGCCTACGCTACTAGTCTCCGTGCTGCCGATAGTCTCCACGCCGCCGGATTGTTCTCTCGCTTTGGCCCATGACCATCCATGTGCGGCTTGGGAATTCCCCGTCATCCATCCAGATGCGGCACGGCCAGGGCAATGGCTTGCTCCTAGCCAGCGGATGCCTGAGTCCCGGTTTCTCCTCTGTGCCTCAGGATAGTCCAAGGCGGGGCGCATGACGATCCGCGGCCTGACTGCATGGAAAACAACATCGAAGGGCTGCTCCTGGGTCCTCAGGTACGCTCATCAAACAACATCATACGACAACGTTTACTTCACAGGCCTGTTCATCCTGTCAATGCCGTCGAGACAAAACAAAGTGGTTCGATACTCGTTCTGTATCAGTTCGCAGGAGCATGCAAGCTTTTCTCCAACCTGGTTGTCGGACGATTGCGTAGCCACAGAGAGCGTTAAAGTGCTGATCCATTGGGGCTCAGCGAGCCGAACGAGATCTTGGGCTGGAACAATGGCCTGACTTTGTTTTCGAGCGGCGTGGTAAGATCATGCAGAGAGCAGTGGGTGCTGTTGCCGTTGGATTTGCGTTTATTTTGTATAGTATAGTAACGTTGATTATGTATACAAAATGCCTTCCTTTACTAGTAAACTACAGAAATATTAGTCATGGACACCGCCACAGCACCAGCCACAACCACACTCTTCGCACCCAACAGCCCAAGCCACAGCGGCAACTCTGCGAATGAGCCAGCACTCAACTCATTCCCATTCTCATCCCCAGCCATGATTCTGCATTCGTTGCCTGAGCTATTGATTTCTCAGCCCAATCGCCCAGAGCACTCGTCGTCTTCTTGGCCGTCTTTTGCATCTGCACACCGCTCCCGTCGTCACACAAACCAAGACGAGACTAAGGGTGCCGACAATGTTCACTCGCTCAAAGGCCCACTGTGGATAGGGCCGGCAATTGGCACTTTTCCCTCCATCCAGCCGGAGGCAACGGCCACAGACCAAAATAGCGACGACATCTTGTACTCGTGCAGCTAGCCACTATGCACTAGCGGGCGTAAACTCTGTGGGGGTACCTGAGCGCTTGCAGACTGCTCGCCATTGGCTGCCTGCTCCACGCCCAGCCTCTCGACCGATATCCAGTGCTACCAACCACGACTGAGAAGTGCCTCTTGAGTACACCTCGGCGGCTCACACGCCACGACAGCCACGATGGGCTCACACCATGCTCTTGTTCTGTTCCGCCGTGTCCATTCTGTGTATTAGTGGGGAGGTAGGGCCACCCTAGTTTAGGAGTAGAGCCGCCACCTGAGAACAAGACCCATCTCAAACACTTGTCCCTCACCGTCTGCCCATTGCCAACGCCCATGAGATTGCATCCTAGCCATTTCCATATACCGACTTTAACATAGCAAACGACAGCATTGGAAGATTGATAGCCTGTTTTCTCTATTTTACTCACGACACGCCTTCCAACGCCTACCGTTTCACCACGACCTCGCGTATCAAAGTACCCGATCCGTCAGATAGCGTCCCCCCCAGCCCACTCGCAAATCTGCTCACGCACGCCGGACAACAAATCCTCCCAAACAATACCGCGACACCACGAGTGCGCCTGTCAGATTGCCGCCGAGATTGACGTGCGGAATTTTGCGACTTTCGCGCTTTCAGTTTTGCAACACTGTGGCTGCTTCGTTCTCTCCGTTGTCCTCACCAAAGCCTGATCCTCAAACAGAGGCCTAAGCGAAACATTGCTCGCATCGCTGCATACCGCTAGCCATCACACAGACACGGTGTCGTGCATTACCCCCGAGACGGCCAGCTGTTGTCAAGCCCGGAATTTCTCCCCTAAAGACCAAGGAAAAAATGGTTTTGTGCCTGGCGCTTCAGGTCTGAGACGCTCTTCACACACTAGGCGCTTGCGCATAGCTGCGAACCCCTCCACTACCCTCAACTCCTCAAATCTACGCCTTAGGCTTAGTGAGCATTGGCGCCTCCACAACTGCCTTGTATCGCTTCCCTTCCTGGCCATTTGGACAGTCATTGAGCTTAGTCCAGCTGGTTATACCAAAGGCCTACCAGGACATCGGCCTGAGCCACATCCGTACCGAACCAGGCCCTGTCAGTTTCAGCACAGCGTGCCGCTCTACCCACTCCTGCGCGGCTCCTCACGACTCGCACACTGATCTGCGTTGGTGAGCTCGGCTTGTTCCTGGGCTAGACATTCTAATACCCTTGGTTCCCAGCCAGTCTTGGGGTCGTCCTCCACCTCCACCCCTCTTCCTCGCACACCACTCCGCCCGTTCCGGGACACCGACATTCTTTTCTTTATTTCGTATCTGGCTGGCCGGGTTGAACTTCGACTGGATCGTATTGCTTTTCTGGTTGAGGTTCGCTTTTTACTACGCGTACACTCTTTAATCTTTCATAATCACCGTTGAACGGACCGTCGCAACCACCACCGCCACCACCACAGCCTTGCAGCAACCGCCACCATGTCTGGAGGAGGAGTCTCATGGTCGCGGCTCTTTACGCCGTCGAAACTCGCCTTTCATTTCTTCTTCTGGGGCTTTCATTTTGCCATCTTCGGCATAGGATGGTACGCACAATCCCATTACCTCTAGTTAAACATGTCTGACACAAACCACAGGTGGAAGCAAGCCAACGATGCACGTCTAGCACCTCTCAACGCTCTTCAGTTTTCCGTCTGGATATCTCGTGGTGCAGGTCTAGTTCTCTCAGTCGATACCATGGTTATCGTTATGCCTATGTGCCGAAACATCCTCCGATGGCTCCGACCCAAGGCGCGCTTCATGCCTCTTGATGAATCCATGTGGTTCCACCGACAAGTCGCCTATGCTATGCTGTTCTTCACGATTCTTCACGTTGTGGCGCATTATGTCAAGTGAGTGGCACCCGGCGGTAATCCATACGTCTAAGCTGACAGCAGTAGTTTCTTCAACGTCGAGCGTGTGCAAGTGCGACCCCAGATTGCTCTTCAGATTCACTACGCAGAGGCTGGTGGTATCACGGGACACATTATGCTTCTTTGCATGCTGCTGATGTACACGACGGCCCACCACAGGATCCGCCAGCAGTCATTCGAGACCTTCTGGTACACCCACCACCTGTTTATTCCGTTTTTGCTCGGCATGTACACACACGCGACCAGCTGCTTCGTCCGTGACACAGCCCCAGCATGGTCTCCGTTTGATCACGAAAACTTCTGGACCCATTGCATTGGTTACGAGGGTTGGCGATGGGAGCTCGTTGGCGGCGGCTTGTACCTCTTTGACCGCCTTTACCGTGAAATCCGCTGCAGGCGCGAGACCAAGATTGTCAAGGTCGTCCGCCACCCTTACGATGCTGTTGAGATCCAGTTCACCAAGCCGAGCATGAAGTACAAGCCCGGACAGTGGCTGTTCCTGAATTGCCCAGAAGTTAGCTACTACCAGTGGCATCCATTTACCATCACTTCTTGCCCTAACGATCCTTATATCTCGGTCCACGTCCGCCAGGTCGGTGACTTTACTCGTGCGCTCGCCGATGCGCTTGGTGCCGGTCAGTCGCAATCCAAGCTGTACGACGAGCTGGACCCCATGGGCATGTACGAGATTGCTCTGCAGCACGGCCAAAAGATGCCTGCCCTCCGTATCGACGGACCGTACGGAGCTCCTGCTGAAGACGTCTTCGAGAACGAAGTCGCTGTCCTCATTGGTACTGGTATTGGCGTCACACCTTGGGCCTCGATTCTCAAGTCCATCTACCACCTCCGCCTGAGCCCCAACCCACCCAAGCGTCTCCGCCGTGTCGAATTCATCTGGGTCTGCAAAGACACGTCTTCCTTTGAGTGGTTCCAAACGCTACTCTCCTCTCTCGAGGCACAGTCTCTTGGTGGCGCAGACGGCGACCAGTTCTTGCGCATCCACACTTACCTCACCCAGAAGATGGATGCCAACACGGCGCAAAACATTGTCCTCAACTCTGTGGGCACAGACAAGGACCCGCTTACCGAACTCAAGTCGCGTACCAACTTTGGTCGTCCTGACTTCCCGCGCCTGCTCTGCGGTATGCGCGATGGTATCCTGGACCGCACTTACATGAACGGCCTCGAGAGCACGCTACGCACCGAGGTGGGAGTCTACTTCTGTGGACCTAATGTTGCAGCTCGGGACATCAAGAAGGCGTGTAAGCAAGCGACTTGCCAGGAAGTCGACTTCAAGTTCTGGAAGGAGCATTTCTAGACAAGTTGCAAAATCTAGTTCTAGGTGCTTGAGAAAGTGGTATTCTTTTTTCGCGATACAAAAACCATCTTGGTTCAAGGCGTGTATTTGACTATTGTTCTTGCCCATGTTATGATCATAGCCCCCTCCGTTGGAAGAGGTAGCAACCCACGGGTGCACCTATTTTTATTTTTCCTTTTCCTTTTTCTTTTCTGTCGATTTAACTCCATATCCATCTACTATCTACAAATGCATATCTAGAAGATCTATTTTACTTCACACACTCTCTCTGTCCACCTATGGCACATGTTTGATTGACTCTGAAGATTGTGATGGGAAAACTCAGTGCAGTATAGATGACCATTCTTTTTTTTTCTTTGTCTCCATGTGCGCGAGTCATCCTATCCTCCATCGAACCATTCTCGAACGACATTTCAACCTGTCAGTCACGTCAATCACGTCGAGTGCACCGGGAGACCGACTCCGGGCGTGTCGGCGCTCGTTCGGCACATCTGGTTTCCGAAAGCTTGCGCATTGACGAGGGTGTGCCTGAGGAACAGCAGGAGTGCTTGGCCTGGCTTGTCGGGTCATGGGAAGGCTTGGTATTCCGGGCAGACGAGCGGGATAAGATGAGAGGGGGTTCTTGGCGGGAGTGTGGCAGGATGCTACTACATGTGTATGGTACTGGGAACTGGGATTGCGGAGAGCCACTGGGGAGGTATATGTGACGGCGCTGTACCTACGCGTCGTGGCGTGATGGGACGCAGGATGGCTCTGCGCATACAGCGCAGAGGAGCAGAATGGGCTGATTGTGACTTCTGGCCATGAGTAGGTCGAAGAGATGTTGTAGTCGCAGGTCACGTATACGCAGGTGAGATTTTCCGTAGTAAGTATGTATGAATGTATGTATGTATGTATGCGGTGCAACAACCAATGCAGTCCGTGTGTCATTAGCAACCCCTCCAGACTTGTTCTATTTCAAGTCACGCGTCCAGATGCTCACTCGGCTCCGTCACCGGCCGAACACGCACACTCGGCTCACCGCCGAAGCTACTACACAGTAAATACCATGTCCCGACGAGCCGCCTGCTCAACACCACGGCTGAAGTATCGTGAAATCTGTCTTTGCCGCTGGCGCGCTGCAGGATACGTTACCAGAAGCGGTACTAGCCCCAACCCCACCAGCCCATGCAAGCTTTTGTTGTCCGACCCCCCTAAAAAGCTGACTCGGTTGGCCCAGAAGGGCCAATTGCGGACTTTGTCGGGTTCCCATTCGTGGAAGTAATCCGTTCAACCGCGGTCCTGCTGTCAGTGGGGTCGTTGTGGCCGCGACCGTTTAGGAGAGATTATCACAACGACGCGTGCTGCCTGCCCCGCACCAATGATGGCCAGGCGGGACAACCACAGGTTAAAGACCATGGCAAGGCGACACGCAGACGGGCAAAAAAGAATCGGGGACCTAGACCGTCGGGCCCAGCTGATCTGCTTCGCTGTGTTTACTTGTCCCTCCCTCTCTTCCTCTCTTTCTTTCCTTCTCCCTTCTTCACTTGACCATATACCCAGGCTGTTCCGCTTCTTCTTCCTTTTCAGTATTCTAAACAGCAAAATCACAAGATGAGTGCTACCGAGATCAAGGCCGAAAAGGCAAACATTGGTGTTTACACCAACCCCGCCCACGATCTATGGGTCGCAGAGGCAGAGCCAAGTCTGGAGGAGGTGCAAAGAGGCGGAGATTTGAAGCCTGGCGAGGTTCTGTTGAACGTCAAGAGCACCGGTATCTGCGGTAGTGACATTCATTTTTGGCATGCTGTATGTTTTTTTTTCTCAGTCTCCCGGTCGACACTGCTGCTCAGGGCTTTGTTGTCAAAAATTGCAACAAGGTTTCCTTTCAAAGAAACAACTCACTGATTTGGTATACAGGGTTGCATTGGTCCCATGATTGTCGAAGACACACATGTCTTGGGCCACGAATCTGCAGGCACAGTCATGGCCTGCCACCCCTCAGTGACACATCTCAAGCCCGGCGACCGCGTAGCCATCGAACCCAACATCATCTGCGGAGAATGTGAGCCCTGCCTTACAGGCCGCTACAACGGCTGCGAGCGTGTCCTCTTCCTGTCCACTCCGCCCGTCACCGGCCTGTTGCGCCGCTACCTCAAGCACCCAGCCATGTGGTGCCACAAGCTTCCAGACAGCATGAGCTTCGAAGACGGCGCCATGCTCGAGCCCCTCAGCGTCGCCCTCGCAGGCATGGACCGCGCCAACGTCCGTCTCGGCGACCCCGTCATCGTGTGCGGTGCCGGCCCCATCGGCCTCGTCACCCTCCTCTGCTGTCAAGCCGCAGGCGCGACTCCCCTCGTCATCACCGACATCGACCAAGGGCGCCTGAACTTCGCCAAAGAGCTCGTCCCCAACGTCCTCACCCACAAAGTCGAATTCAGCCACACCCCCGAAGACTTCCAAGCCGCCATCCTCAAGCTCACCGAGGGCGTCGAGCCCTCGCACGCCATGGAATGCACCGGTGTCGAAAGCTCCATCAACAGCGCCATCCAAACCGTCAAGTTCGGCGGCAAAGTCTTCGTCATTGGCGTCGGCAAAAACGAAATCAAAATCCCCTTCATGCGCCTCAGTACCCGCGAGGTCGACCTCCAGTTCCAATACCGCTACTGCAATACCTGGCCCAAGGCTATTCGGTTGTACAAGAGTGGCGTGATTGATCTGAAGAAGCTGGTTACGCATCGATTTAAGCTCGAGGATGCGGTTGAGGCGTTTAAGACGGCGGCGGATCCAAAAACCGGGTGTATCAAGGTGCAGATTCAGAGCCTGGATTAGGTGTGTGTGTGTGTGTGTGGATTGTATGGATGTGTGAAATGATGATGATGACGATTCGGCGTATTTAGTTTTGCATTTTTTTTTCTGATGGCATGTTAGATTGGGGAGGTAGGTTCCTCTTTGTAGGCATGTGGTTTCCGTATGGCCATTCCTACGGCTTTTTTTTGATTCTTGGTTGCTAGATATGACAAAAGGAAATGAATCAAGAATATCGCACTTGATGTTTTTGTTCTTATGAGGTGGTATCCGTGAGCGTTTTCTGATGTTTTTCATTGTGTGGTGATTATGCGTGTAATTGGATTTTGTAGTGCATATTGCTACTGTCGAATGTCATATGGTTGACTTTCTCACCATCGATCTGGGAGAATAGAACCAAAAGCCAATTACCAAGTTGTATCGAGTGAAGAAGGTAGTCGACCTATTTTGAAAAGAGATCCCAATATATGTATATCCGCGGTGGGATCACATGATGGTACACTACAATACGTTGTTGAAAAATGATCCTTTCATTATTGTGCTTGATTGTTTGTGAACTGCAAGTTTTGAATTTAGAAATTATGCAGTTATCCTCTTGACTTCGCGATCAATACTCTTTTGTCAATTCAATTATGCCGTTTGAACTTTTATTTGTTTTAATCCTAGTCTTTCTATCCACTGCTCTAGCTACTCTGGCTATCTTGCTATATACCTATTTGGGCATTGTTATTTTTCACGTAATCATGCGCTCTTCGCTTATAGGAATTGCCAAAATCTTTGCTTAGCCCTGGGTGGTTGGAGCGGAGGTTCCCAGAGTAAATTGGATCGTTTTTCTTCTTCTAGTATACGTGACTAAGATTGATTGCAATAGACCACTAAAGCCAAACTTACAATGTACTACGTGTACCCAGCACATGTCATGGTGAAATCTCATTCGCGCTACTACCTTTGAGCACACACGTACCTGAGCCTCGCTGGAAAAATCTCACAATCGCTCCCGTATGCTGTTGACACGCTCGGATCCTATCGCTCCAACATTGCAAGCCTCCATAGTATCCATCACCTCCTAGCATCCCATTACATCACAAACTCAACGCCTCATGTTTCTTTATGCACCACGCATTTGATAAATCTAGCTCCCGCATCTTACATCCGCCAAGATAGAATCCCCGATCCTCCAAATAACAGTGGTCCAAGGCCTCCAACCAGGATACGCGGCCCTTGCATCGTTGTCATTCTGCGCAAGCGCCCGCTGCGGTACCAACCTTAACATGAATAGACAAGATTTCCTTACCTATTGTAGCGACTCTAGGTAGAGCGGTGCTGACTTTTTCCAAGAAAGGGGGTCGCGTCGAGTTTCCTTTTTGCACAGATCCTGAGACCGAGGAAGCTAGAAGCGATTGGTGTGGAAGATAGGTCCGGGCCTGGAAAATCAGGTTTGGATCTTTTAGACATAAATCGTAGCATCTCAGACGGAATAGCTGGACTGTGAGTAATCTGGTATAGTAGAGGGTGAAATAGGGAGACTGAGGATATGCGAATGCATATATTGGTACTATCCATGATGCCCTCTTCCTTGATAGCCCTGAATCACTTGAATATGTACTTTTCACTACTACTGTCCGTGCTCACCCAATGCAACAATCAGCCAATGCAACACTATCTGCCCTACCTAAAATATTAACCTACTATTTTTAATACGTAATATCTCTATTACTATAATAGCTTTTATAAAAGTAAT